TGCCCTCAGTAATGGTAGCTGTGAGTGTGGCAGGCTGTGTGTCCACATGGATGTCAGTGTTTGTTGTTTGTGTTCCAGTATGCCCTCAGTAATGGGAACTGTGAGTGTGGCAGGCTGTGTGTCCACATGGATGTCAGTGTTTGTTGTTTGTGTTCCAGTATGCCCTCAGTAATGGTAGCTGTGACTGTGGCAGGCTGTGTGTCCTCATGGATGTCAGTGTTTGTTGTTTGTGTTCCAGTATGACCTCAGTAATGGTAGCTATGAATGTGGCAGGCTGTGTGTCCACATGGATGTCAGTGTTTGTTGTTTGTGTTCCAGTATGCCCTCAGTAATGGTAGCCATGAATGTGGCAGGCTGTGTGTCCACATGGATGTCAGTGTTTGTTGTTTGTGTTCCAGTATGCCCTCAGTAATGGTAGCCATGAATGTGGCAGGCTGTGTGTCCACATGGATGGCAGTGTTTGTTGTTTGTGTTCCAGTATGCCCTCAGTAATGGTAGCTGTGACTGTGGCAGGCTGTGTGTCCACATGGATGTCAGTGTTTGTTGTTTGTGTTCCAGTATGCCCTCAGTAATGGTAGCTGTGACTGTGGCAGGCTGTGTGTCCACATGGATGTCAGTGTTTGTTGTTTGTGTTCCAGTATGCCCTCAGTAATGGTAGCTGTGACTGTGGCAGGCTGTGTGTCCACATGGATGTCAGTGTTTGTTGTTTGTGTTCCAGTATGCCCTCAGTAATGGTAGCTGTGACTGTGGCAGGCTGTGTGTCCACATGGATGTCAGTGTTTGTTGTTTGTGTTCCAGTATGCCCTCAGTAATGGTAGCTGTGACTGTGGCAGGCTGTGTGTCCACATGGATGTCAGTGTTTGTTGTTTGTGTTCCAGTATGCCCTCAGTAATGGTAGCTGTGAATGTGGCAGGCTGTGTGTCCACATGGATGTCAGTGTTTGTTGTTTGTGTTCCAGTATGCCCTCAGTAATGGTAGCTGTGACTGTGGCAGGCTGTGTGTCCACATGGATGTCAGTGTTTGTTGTTTGTGTTCCAGTATGCCCTCAGTAATGGTAGCTGTGACTGTGGCAGGCTGTGTGTCCACATGGATGTCAGTGTTTGTTGTTTGTGTTCCAGTATGCCCTCAGTAATGGTAGCTGTGACTGTGGCAGGCTGTGTGTCCACATGGATGTCAGTGTTTGTTGTTTGTGTTCCAGTATGCCCTCAGTAATGGTAGCTGTGACTGTGGCAGGCTGTGTGTCCACATGGATGTCAGTGTTTGTTGTTTGTGTTCCAGTATGCCCTCAGTAATGGTAGCTGTGACTGTGGCAGGCTGTGTGTCCACATGGATGTCAGTGTTTGTTGTTTGTGTTCCAGTATGCCCTCAGTAATGGTAGCTGTGAATGTGGCAGGCTGTGTGTCCACATGGATGGCAGTGTTTGTTGTTTGTGTTCCAGTATGCCCTCAGTAATGGTAGCTGTGACTGTGGCAGGCTGTGTGTCCACATGGATGTCAGTGTTTGTTGTTTGTGTTCCAGTATGCCCTCAGTAATGGTAGCCATGAATGTGGCAGGCTGTGTGTCCACATGGATGTCAGTGTTTGTTGTTTGTGTTCCAGTATGCCCTCAGTAATGGTAGCCATGAATGTGGCAGGCTGTGTGTCCACATGGATGTCAGTGTTTGTTGTTTGTGTTCCAGTATGCCCTCAGTAATGGTAGCTGTGACTGTGGCAGGCTGTGTGTCCACATGGATGGCAGTGTTTGTTGTTTGTGTTCCAGTATGCCCTCAGTAATGGTAGCTGTGAATGTGGCAGGCTGTGTGTCCACATGGATGTCAGTGTTTGTTGTTTGTGTTCCAGTATGCCCTCAGTAATGGTAGCTGTGACTGTGGCAGGCTGTGTCCACATGGATGTCAGTGTTTGTTGTTTGTGTTCCAGTATGCCCTCAGTAATGGTAGCTGTGACTGGTGGCAGGCTGTGTGTCCACATGGATGGCAGTGTTTGTTGTTTGTGTTCCAGTATGCCCTCAGTAATGGTAGCTGTGACTGTGGCAGGCTGTGTGTCCACATGGATGTCAGTGTTTGTTGTTTGTGTTCCAGTATGCCCTCAGTAATGGTAGCTGTGAATGTGGCAGGCTGTGTGTCCACATGGATGTCAGTGTTTGTTGTTTGTGTTCCAGTATGCCCTCAGTAATGGTAGCTGTGACTGTGGCAGGCTGTGTGTCCCTCATGGATGTCAGTGTTTGTTGTTTGTGTTCCAGTATGCCCTCAGTAATGGTAGCCATGAATGTGGCAGGCTGTGTGTCCACATGGATGTCAGTGTTTGTTGTTTGTGTTCCAGTATGCCCTCAGTAATGGTAGCTGTGAATGTGGCAGGCTGTGTGTCCACATGGATGTCAGTGTTTGTTGTTTGTGTTCCAGTATGCCCTCAGTAATGGTAGCTGTGACTGTGGCAGGCTGTGTGTCCACATGGATGTCAGTGTTTGTTGTTTGTGTTCCAGTATGCCCTCAGTAATGGTAGCTGTGACTGTGGCAGGCTGTGTCCACATGGATGTCAGTGTTTGTTGTTTGTGTTCCAGTATGCCCTCAGTAATGGTAGCTGTGACTGTGGCAGGCTGTGTGTCCCACATGGATGGTCAGTGTTTGTTGTTTGTGTTCCAGTATGCCCTCAGTAATGGTAGCCAGCATGAATGTGGCAGGCTGTGTGTCCACATGGATGTCAGTGTTTGTTGTTTGTGTTCCAGTATGCCCTCAGTAATGGTAGCTGTGAATGTGGCAGGCTGTGTGTCCACATGGATGTCAGTGTTTGTTGTTTGTGTTCCAGTATGCCCCTCAGTAATGGTAGCTGTGACTGTGGCAGCTGCTGTGTCCACATGGATGTCAGTGTTTGTTGTTTGTGTTCCAGTATGCCCTCAGTAATGGTAGCTGTGAATGTGGCAGGCTGTGTGTCCACATGGATGTCAGTGTTTGTTGTTTGTGTTCCAGTATGCCCTCAGTAATGGTAGCTGTGACTGTGGCAGGCTGTGTGTCCACATGGATGTCAGTGTTTGTTGTTTGTGTTCCAGTATGCCCTCAGTAATGGTAGCTGTGACTGTGGCAGGCTGTGTGTCCCACATGGATGTCAGTGTTTGTTGTTTGTGTTCCAGTATGCCCTCAGTAATGGTAGCTGTGACTGTGGCAGGCTGTGTGTCCACATGGATGTCAGTGTTTGTTGTTTGTGTTCCAGTATGCCCTCAGTAATGGTAGCTGTGACTGTGGCAGGCTGTGTGTCCACATGGATGTCAGTGTTTGTTGTTTGTGTTCCAGTATGCCCTCAGTAATGGTAGCTGTGAGCTGTGACTGTGGCAGGCTGTTGTTTGTCCAGTATGCCCATGGATGGCAGGCTGTGTTTGTTGTTTGTGTTCCAGTATGCCCTCAGTAATGGTAGCTGTGACTGTGGCAGGCTGTGTGTCCACATGGATGTCAGTGTTTGTTGTTTGTGTTCCAGTATGACCTCAGTAATGGTAGCTGTGACTGTGGCAGGCTGTGTGTCCACATGGATGTCAGTGTTTGTTGTTTGTGTTCCAGTATGACCTCAGTAATGGTAGCTATGAATGTGGCAGGCTGTGTGTCCACATGGATGTCAGTGTTTGTTGTTTGTGTTCCAGTATGCCCTCAGTAATGGTAGCTGTGAATGTGGCAGGCTGTGTGTCCACATGGATGTCAGTGTTTGTTGTTTGTGTTCCAGTATGCCCTCAGTAATGGTAGCTGTGACTGTGGCAGGCTGTGTGTCCACATGGATGTCAGTGTTTGTTGTTTGTGTTCCAGTATGCCCTCAGTAATGGTAGCTATGAATGTGGCAGGCTGTGTGTCCACATGGATGTCAGTGTTTGTTGTTTGTGTTCCAGTATGACCTCAGTAATGGTAGCCTATGAATGTGGCAGGCTGTGTGTGTCCACATGGATGTCAGTGTTTGTTGTTTGTGTTCCAGTATGACCTCAGTAATGGTAGCTATGAATGTGGCAGGCTGTGTGTCCACATGGATGTCAGTGTTTGTTGTTTGTGTTCCAGTATGCCCTCAGTAATGGTAGCTATGAATGTGGCAGGCTGTGTGTCCACATGGATGTCAGTGTTTGTTGTTTGTGTTCCAGTATGCCCTCAGTAATGGTAGCTATGAGCGGGCTGTGTGATGGATGCAGGCTGTGTGTCCACATGGATGTCAGTGTTTGTTGTTTGTGTTCCAGTATGACCTCAGTAATGGTAGCTGTGACTGTGGCAGGCTGTGTGTCCACATGGATGTCAGTGTTTGTTGTTTGTGTTCCAGTATGCCCTCAGTAATGGTAGCTGTGAATGTGGCAGGCTGTGTGTTCACATGGATGTCAGTGTTTGTTGTTTGTGTTCCAGTATGCCCTCAGTAATGGTAGCTGTGAATGTGGCAGGCTGTGTGTCCACATGGATGTCAGTGTTTGTTGTTTGTGTTCCAGTATGCCCTCAGTAATGGTAGCTGTGACTGTGGCAGGCTGTGTGTCCACATGGATGTCAGTGTTTGTTGTTTGTGTTCCAGTATGCCCTCAGTAATGGTAGCTATGACTGTGGCAGGCTGTGTGTCCACATGGATGTCAGTGTTTGTTGTTTGTGTTCCAGTATGCCCTCAGTAATGGTAGCTATGACTGTGGCAGGCTGTGTGTGTCCACATGGATGTCAGTGTTTGTTGTTTGTGTTCCAGTATGCCCTCAGTAATGGTAGCTGTGACTGTGGCAGGCTGTGTGTCCACATGGATGTCAGTGTTTGTTGTTTGTGTTCCAGTATGCCCCTCAGTAATGGTAGCTGTGACTGTGGCAGGCTGTGTGTCCACATGGATGTCAGTGTTTGTTGTTTGTGTTCCAGTATGCCCTCAGTAATGGTAGCTGTGAATGTGGCAGGCTGTGTGTTCACATGGATGTCAGTGTTTGTTGTTTGTGTTCCAGTATGCCCTCAGTAATGGTAGCTGTGACTGTGGCAGGCTGTGTGTCCACATGGATGTCAGTGTTTGTTTGTGTTCCAGTATGACCATGATCAGAAGGAGACGGAGCGGAGTGCCAAGGCAGACATGTTGGATGCTCTGGAGGCCAAATGGCAGGTGGGTAGAGCGGCACTCTCCGATGTAGGTCCTGGTGTCTGATGAGACAGGAAGACTGCTTACAGTGCCATTGTGTATACATTGACAAATCATTTGCTATTTTTTGTTGGAGAAAGAATTTGCCGCATCAGACTGAAAAAGCTGGTGAGATTCATCAGTAGGAGCAATCTGTCCATTCAACACTCATATCAGCTGAAGCTGAGCAAGTTAGATATACACACTATAATACAGAGGGACTAACAGTTATGGTAATGTTGGTTTAGGGCAACATTTCTACCTTGTGTTGATTGTTCCAACATTGAGAATAACTTAAAGATATTATATCATCAAGACCATTTGTGTTATTCCAATCATATTTTAGGTTCAGCGCCAAGGAAAAAATCCAGATTATGCCTCTTCTTCTTCCTGGTTCTCATATGGGACATCCATGGCTGCCAATGTCCTGGAGAATATTCAGGTGACTATCTGCTAGTGCTAAGCTCTTCTCCAACTTGCGTTCATGCCATATAAGGATATGTGAATGTTGCCAATATAGGTGTTTCTTGGGGGAAGGAAACCGAGTCAGTGCAAGCTACTGACCAGTGCTCTCAGTATCTATACCTTCACCTTGTCCATGGGGCTCAGCAAGACTGCCAGGAAGTGAAAACTCCTAAATGGGGCACACATCTGGGAATGTTTTGTGTTGATGCTTTCTTCATCTTATGCCATTGTCTTAAATCTACCTGTTGTCATTCAATGGAAATTTTACATGAACTGATTTAATGTTTGTACAAGTACAATTATATCTGTGACCGGTAGTACCGAGAAACCCCTCTAGCTTGGACCTTGTTATTCTAGGTATGTTTATCGTTTGTTTGTTTGTTTAACACTGTACTCAGCAATATTCCAGCTAATATTCCAGCGATATATGACAACAGTTTGTAAATTATTGAGTCTGACAAAGAGCAAATCGGTCTATGCTATTGGGATACATTGATGCCAGCGAGCAAGAAAACTTACCCCGGTATTATGGGTTAATGAAGACCAATATTGGCGCAGATCTTCAATGGTCCATGCTTGTGTGTTGAGTAGGATCCCCGCACCCATGAGACATCAAGCTGGACATATGATAATGAGACAGTGGTACACCAACGGGGGCACCATGTATTTGTGTGTTTGACTGGGTTTTGTTTGTTTTCATGTCAGCTACACGTGAAGGATGTACATATCCGATATGAAGACGAGCACCTCAATCCATCCTGTCCCTTTGCTTGCGGTATCACCATCCAGAACCTCAGTGCACAGAGCACAGACAAGAGCTGGGTTGGTATTCATCGCCTTGATTTCAGTACTTGACTGGGTTAAGATTCTTTTCCATTAGGGTAAACCTTTTTAGATATGTAGAATGTTGAATATGATGTAATGTTACATAGTCATTGAGAGGTATATATGTTGCAGTTGTCCAAGTTTGTGAGCCGCTCAGAGAGCGACATTATGTACAAGCTGGCTGACCTGAAGGACTTCTCTGTGTACTGTGATACCAACGCCACCATGCTGGGAGACCTCTCCATGTCAGACCTTGCAGTAAGTCGCACAGTCACATGATAACATTTTCTAAAGCCCAAACAGGAAATATAAAGCTGTGATGTAATAGAGGTAGTATTCTCCACATTATACACATTTTCTTCAGTTTGATGTTTGTGGACATATCATAATATGATTTACCTAAGGTAAATTTTACAGTGATCTTGCACTGGACATGTTGAGGGATGCTCCTATATTGTGTGAACCGTGATCTTGCACTGGACATGTTGGGATGCTCCTATATTGTGTGAACCGTGATCTTGCACTGGACATGTTGAGGGATGCTCCTATATTGTGTGAACCAAGGGACTCACAAACTCGCAACATTAACAACAAGGATTAGCTAACTCTGATATCTGTTTTTGTATTACAGTGATATAGATGGAAAACATGCCTCAGACCCGATTCTACCTAACAAATATATATGGAAGTACATAGCATTACAATGATATGTGTTTGGGGAATATAACAGTAAGGCAATGTTCAAAAATTGGTGTGTCCAGGGGCCATAAGATTTTGTGTTTGGTATTTGAAATGCCGCTGCATTTTTCCTTTTGCATTAGGTCATTTTGAAGACATTCATATCTGTGTTAACTAAACAGGATGCACTTCAGCGTGGCATGTATGTATCCACTGCTGACGGCAACTTCCACGACCACGCAGTACATGTTAAACCCAGTGAGTGTGCCAAGGCTCAGATCAAACGGCGCAGCACCACCCTCCCGCTCGGTCAGCCTCCACCCCCAGGATCAGTGTGGACATAAGCCTGGACAACATCGCGCCTTCCACCTGACCACAGAGCAGTATCAGAGTCTCCTGCTGTGGCAGAGCGAAGTTCGAGAGGCATGGTGTTAGGAGACAACACAGGAAGTGGAGGCCGACCAATACTGTCAAGAACAGGTAGTGTGCATCCGCCGTGTATCAGCCATAGGATAATCAAAATGTGGAACTGACATGCTTCAGTGCCAACCAATAAGATCCTTGTGGAATCATGACAAAATATTGCCCTCTTCCATACTGTGTAATAGTGGTGATCCGATTAATTGAAATAATCGAAGATTGGTCGCAATGACTAAATGATCAAGCAATCGATCATGTTTTCTCATAATCGAACTCAAACAATTTTGGCACACTTGTTTGCATTAACAACATTTCTTACAAGGTTGGTTTTGTCTGTTACATTTCATAAGTACTACAAGCTCGTTCCTTGTCATGATTGAATTCATCTTAAAGATTCCAGGAAATTTATGTTGCTTACATACTAGTCATCCTTTAAAGATGTAAAATTTGTAAATGCATTTTGTGCAATAACAAATATAACCAGGAGAATTTGATAAATCACGCCAACCAATTTTTTTCAATGATTGATCGGTTGTAATGAAGCAATCATCAATTGTGAGATTTTAACCAATCCCAACACTACTGTGTAATGAAGTGGATAATGTGACAGTGAATACCACATGTACGAAAACTGTAAGGTAGCACATTGAACAGTTGCTTCGTTGTGTGATTTTGGCACAGTAGGAATATGGAAATAATTATCATTATCATTATTGTATCCCTAGTCCAAGGAAATGGTGGATGTTTGCCATCGACTGCCATCTGTCGAAGATTCAGGATCGCAACAAGCGTCACACAAAGGCTTTCATGCTGGAGAGGGCTGGAAAGGCTATAGCTTACACAAAGGCCTACACTGCTGTACTGACTGAAGACAACCCAGCACCAGGAGTGAAGGTAACTCTAGACATACCCTTATTATAATCAGAAGTGGTTTTCCAGTGAAGATTCAATTGAAACTGTCAGTTGTTACGTCTGTCACATCAGATCTCAGGATTCATAGAAATATTGACATATTTTGATTGTCAGTTCTTCTTGATTACATCATAAATTACATGCCTGTACTCATAGATTCAACACTGAAATACAATGTCTCATTATACAACATGTTGGAAGGCAGATGAGAGTACCCAGACTGTGGGCTATATGGTTTATGGTAATGTCAGGTTGTTGTCAAGTGCACTCTTGACATATAAAATGGAAGAATTATCCCTACTAGTTTTACCAAACTCAGAATCCATTCTTCTAAGTCTTTCATAACCCAGCTGACTTGCTCTCTCTTGGTGCTGGTGTTTCAGACCTCCCTGGAAGATCTGGAAGAAGAGCTTGGGTTTGATGAGCTGAAGATTCTAAGGGAAGTAATCCTGTCCAAGTTACGCTCTGAAAACAGATTGGTAAGCATTTCATTTTAGAAGTTGACGAATAGAAAAGAAATCTCCCAACTTTATGGTATATTGCATGTAGCAATATTTCCATGTACTTTCTTGTAGAGTTATCTAGCTTGATAACAGTAATAAATGTAAACATAAAGCTATTATCCATTTAGTGCTATGTTTTATAATGGACTGGTAAGCGTGTATCGAATATTACAGTTGTAACAGTTAGATATTCTGTGACCCCGATGGAGATTCTGGGATAGAATTGGTCCTTAACAACCAATGCTGTTTTTTAAGAGGTGACTATGCATCAGGTGGTCTGACACGGTAACGTGGTTCCGTGCTTGGCATCATATTCCATCATCAGTTCCTGGACTGTTGGTCCCTAAGCCTCTGTACAGGCCACCTACATACACCCCCACCCCAACCCCACAAGCACCCACACTTGCTTGCTCGCAAAGTTCGTTACAAGAATGTCACATCATTCATATATGTGACAATTAGATCCCTGCTTATAACCAAACTAACACTGGATTCTGTAGCAGTATATCATGTGAATGAGGCTGTTATTGTTTGTTCACTTCAGCCAAGGAAAAGCCCTTCATCAGTGGACCAGCCTACTCCAAGCCCTGCAGGAGGGGATCAGACCGGACTGTTCCAACGCTGGTTCCCAGGTTGGTCAGGGTGGTACCAAGGGGCTGAACCCCACATGGAGCATGCTGGTCACACCGAGGACACTAAGGGGGAGTCGGATGTAGATGGGCCTGCAGAGGCTGTTGGACAGACAGAGCTGGGTGATTATAACTCTCCTTTCCTTTTCAGTTGGTCTTCAAACCCTTTTCTGACAGTTAATATGGGTGCAGTGGTAGTTGAGCTTTTCTTGTTGTAGTTTTACGCTCTTGTATACACAGTATTTTTGTAGGTAAGTTCATTAGAATTCGAAAATGTGGGTCATGGAATTTACCTTGGTAATATATATATTTAACTGACCGAATCTAGATGCTGCAATCAAGACAATGTTCTATTATGTAGGTAAATAATAAAAAGGGGACGCATTAGGGATGCCACGATACATTGATACATCAATGCATCGATACTTTTTCTAAGACGATACAATTATCGATACATTCAAAACTGTATCAATATTTAGTTTTGAAGGTATCGGTTTAAATATGTTTATGTATCGTTTACATTTTGCAATTGTATCATGTTTTTTGATGTTATGAGAGTTATAAATGATTATTTTTCATGCACAAAGATGGGAAATTAGAACTTTTTAATCTCTGAGAATAAAAAACATGAGCTTTTCATGGACAATTATAAAATATGAAATATTAATGTTCAATATGTAACTAAATTTATGCAATAATGCCGCAAAATAGATATCGTGATACATATCGAATCGTGACATGGGTATCGTGATGCGTATCGATTCATGAAACTTATGTATTGTGACATCCCTAGGAAGCATAGTGTATTTGGGATGTATGTTGGCCATGTCAGATTCCTTCCTTGAACCTATGTAGTTTATAGAGAGGCATGTGACATATCCAGCTGCTTCAGCTATTATAACTATCGGAATCACTTTTTAGGATGTGAGAAGTTTTGATAGTCTGTTCTTTATATTCCAGTAATATTTTTGTATTCCAGAGCAAGAAATCTTAGATGTTATTCTTGATTCCACTGAGAACACATCACTGCTACGTAAAGACACAGTGTAAGCCCGCCAGTATGACTTTCTCCCTGTCTAAAGGATCCTTTGAACTGGTGGAGAGCAGAGGACCACACAAAGGTGAACATCTCTCCCTACGCATCTACTGTTTGTCACATTTAACATATATTTGATCACTTTTATGTTATCAAATTCAGAAGGTATTTTGAGAGCTACAATTTTTCTTATCCTGACTCATGATCTTTTGCTTATCTCCCTTTTCTTTTCGAATGGTAGTGGAACACTTAAATCCCCTTGAAGTTCCCGGCGGACGTTAAAATACACTCACCCCACAAGTTACCTCCCTTTTGCCTTTCCATAAACATTCATGTGACCAGCCTTACTTGTCACTCTCTCCTTTTCGCCCAAGTGGATGGTTGGGCGCTGAGCACTGGAGTCCCATATACAGCACTATATCCTTTTATTTTCCTTATCCTGACTCATGCTTATTGCTTGTCTTCTTCTTCTTCGCGAACATAGTGGAACCGTGTATCTCCCAATTGAAGTTCCTTCAATAAAAATCACTAATTAGTACTCACCACGAGTTACCTCCCTTCCACAAGCGGGAGCGAGAGCATAGCACCTCAACCCATGTGCCTCACTCTCTCCTTCTTGCCCAGTGAGCTGGGCGTCGAGAGCACCCAGTCTCCCGACACACTATATCCTTTAATTATATTTAGTTTAGTACCTCTTATATTCATTTATAGAGGTGTAACTAGTATCCTTATTCAACTTGCATTGATTATTAGTCGTGTTTCTGCTGTTTTATTCATGGTTCGCCGTGTTTGTTCAGCAGTTTACGTTAATGAGAATCTGCACAGGTTGTAAATTACGTTATTCCGCTACCGATCCACATTTAAAATGCCCTAGTTGCATTACTCCATGTTCTATTGTTTCTCGTTGTAAATTATGTATTAATTTGCCAAATTCTGCCTTTGATAAATATTTATGTTCCGTTTTGAGGCGGAAGGCAGATAAATCTCGTAAACAATCTTCAGTCATGGCTAATAGATCGGAAGCTATGATACCCTGTCAACTGTTGACGGACTGACCGCTACCGGCTGGTGGCCGCCTGAGTTTCCCTCGGGGATAAGCGTGGGGGCCTTGATCCGCTATGTCCCAAGCGACCTGCATCTCAAGGCGTTCCTTCTTCACAGTCTAAGACTAGAAGAGCTTCCACATCATCTCAACGTAATGCGCGGCGAACCCCCAGGTCCACAGCTTCGTCAAAGGGAAATCCACGAAAGCTATAAATAATTTTGCCTCTGATATTCTACCTGTCTCAGAATTATGTTTATATGATGATGACATTCCGATTATCATTCAGATGTGCGTCATAAGAGCGTCCAGTATCTGCTACCGTCACTACAGCGCAGATCAACATGCAACCAGAGATGCCTACGCTGGCGCGGAGATTATGACTGAGGGGTCCGTCACTTTCACAGAGAGGCCACCCTCAGCGCCAGCGCAGACCGTCCCAGGCGACCTGGTCAACCAAATCATGAGACTGATGGAGGACCGTTACGGTTTACAGAGGCCCCAGAGCCACGGGCCCCAGAGCCCAACCCATAATAAGTCATACAGGGCCCCAGAGCCCGCCTCGGCTTCGCGTAGGGCCCCAGAGCCCACAAACGTGCCTCCGCGAAGGGCAACCCAGCCCGTGGCGATCACTTCGCTAAGGAAGTCCCAGGCCGCCTCCGCGAAGGAGCTAGAGCCTCACCAGTTGCGAGGGACATCGCGGAGAAGGAGCGCTTCGCCGAGCCCACACCCTGTAGAACACAGAGGTCGTTCGCGAAGCAAGCGCTCATATATTGATTCGGACTCTGACTCGATACATTCGCGAAGGTCGTGAAGGCTAAGTGGCTCCAAGTCTACCTCGCCCAGAAGATCTAGAAGAGCTTCGCGAAGTCCCCAGCGTTCGCCGAGGAAGTCTCCTCCAAGGTCTCCTTACACTAGCCACTCGTCAGTCCGTTCACCACAGTCCTCTCATCGATCTTCCTACAGATCTAGGACTCCAACATGTGACCCTACGTCAGAAGAGGAAGAAGGTATCATTTTCTCAGATGCAGAAATTAGATACTGGATGGTGAATGAGTTACAACTTGCTTCCCCATCGAAGAACGAGAATTCAGCTCAGACTTACTTGATGAAGGATGATGATGTAGACAATATCACCTTACCTCCTATTGACCCGATTGCAGCGGTACCAGCTAATCTGGATACAGCCTGTTCCAAATCTTCGAAAGTCCAATCTACACATTTCCGGTCTTCAGCGCCAAGAAATTTGCAGGACACAATATGGACCCTTTTTCAAGGCCCAAGATATTGATGACAACTTTAAATTAATCAGTGATGCCAAGTCCAGAAATTACAGAATAGAGCGATCATAAATTGGCCCAATTGGATACCATCTCTAGGAGAATGTTCTTTGGATTAAATAGATCTAGAACTATTAATGAAACTCTCATCACCAAGTTCAAGAATGCTACAGAGGAGGAAGATAGAATGATCTACTCAGCTCTACTCATGCAGAAAAGAGACCACCAATTTCTTACAGAGCACCTGTCAGCGCTTACTGAAACTACTACCATGGCTCGTCGGCAAGGCTTACTAGCCTCCTGCTCTTGGGATAAGCAATTCACAGAATCTCTCTACGCAGCTCCATGGTCATCGCCCTTACTTTTTGGTGGCAACATAGACAAGGTCTCCAAAGAAGTATCTAAGGACTCGAGAGAGGTGCTTATGATCAGATCCATGGATACCCTAGTGAACGTCATTAAACAGTCATCACAGAGGTACTACGTTTTCGGGGCTACAGAAAGCACGGGACAAGAAATTAGCTGCAGCTAAAGATCCCAGGGATTCTTTTCGTAAGCCCATACAGCAAATTCAGAGGAGGATCAGCTAGAGGCAGATCATCCAGAGGTTCGAGGATTTAGGCGATGAAATTCAGGTTGGAGCGACTGGAGTCTTCCACCCCAGCCGTTCCAGTACAACCTTCCCAAGTGGGTGGGCGCCTTCAGCTGCACTGGGAAAACTGGGGAATACTACAAGATCCATATGTATCCAACATCCTACAGCACGGATATCTAATACAACTCAAGGCCAAGCCTCCGTTAACAGTCACCCCCTCAGGGTTCAGCGTTCAACCGGCACAACTACCTATGTTAAGAGAAACAGTAGCTACTCTGCTAAACAAACAGGCCTTAGAAGTTCTGGATCAGCGAAACATCGTTACCAGGTTTTACTCCCCAGTTTTTCCTAGTGCCCAAGAAAAATTCCAAGGAGAAGTTTCGTCTCATATACAACATGAGCATCTTCAACAGAGAATATCTATGCAAACCACCAACGTTTAGCATGATACACTTACATAACTTCGCCCTTAATTCGTCTCAAAGATTACATGGCCAGCATAGATTTGCAAGACGCATATCTACACATTCCGATTCATCCCAACTCAAGGAAATATCTAAGATTTATCCTAGACGGGAAACATTACCAATGGAAGGTTCTTCCCTTCAGAATCACATCGGCCCCTTGGGTATTCACAAGAGTGACCAAGCCTATTGTCTCATACCTACATCGTCAAGGTCTTCGCAGCGCATTTTACCTAGACGACGGTATACAAGTGGATCCAGATCCACAGCGTCTCAGACTACAGCTGAACTTTATAATCAAGTTACTAACTCAACTAGGATGGTTAGTAAATCTACTCAAGTCGGACCTAGAACCAACGCCAAGATCTGCAATTTCTAGGTATACGATTTCTAACAGCTCAGAATCGTATAGTAGTCCCGGAGGACAGATGGATCAAGATCCAACAACTTATTCCTCAAGCCCTACTCTCTCCGCTACCACTACGACAGTGGCAGAGCCTATTGGGACTACTCACATCAGCTCAAGACTTGACAGTCAGAGGCAGGCTTCAATTACGTCCGTTACAAGTCCTCATCAATGCTCATCTGAGGACCCTCTACCATTCAGTCTACCAGATTACGTCCAAACCACATCTACTCTGGTGGACCAAGAGATTGAATGTTTTGCTTGGCGTCTCCTTAGTAGAGCCAGAATCGAAAACACATCTCTACGTGAAGCGGCGTCACTACAAGGTTGGGGAGCCCACCTTGCCGGCAAGACAGCGTCAGGCCTATGGAGCAAGCAAGAGAGCAAATGTCACATAAATCTGCTAGAGATGCAAGCAGTCATAAACGCCATAAGTCACTGGAGCAACCTACTACAGAACGCTCAGTTGATGGTTCACACAGACAATTCAACAGTGGCGTTTTTATGTGAACAAACAAGGCTCAACAAGGTCACAGAACCTACTGGCTCCGATGTTTCAGATTATTCGATCTAATCAACAATCTAAACATACACGTCAGAGCTTGCCACATTCCAGGAGCAAAGAATGTATTAGCAGGCGGCTCTCTCGGCCACACCAACCGTCGCCGACAGAATGGATGCTCCACACAGAGATATTCAATCAAATAATCATGGAAATAGGATCTCCACTAATAGACCTATTTGCCAGCCACTCGATTCAACAAACAACTGACAACATTAGTATCGCCAGTTCCAGACCCACTAGCATGGGCAGCGGGCGCACTAAGCATATCGTGGGAGGGACTCAGCGCGTGCACGCTTCCCGCCCAGCGTTAATCCCACAAGTCTTACAGAAAATCAGTCAAGCGCCAGAGCCTCCATCTCATTTTAGTCGCCCTACTGGCCAGCGAGAACCGTGGTTTCAGATCTAATTCAAGACATCGGAAAACCAATTCTTCAGCTCCCACAACGCGCCAATCTATTGATACATCCGCACACCAAACAAGTGCACCAAACAGCAGAAGCACTCCAACTTCACGTATGGATTGTATCAAGGCATGTCTGAATAAGAGAGGTTATTCTACCAGAGCGGTAAAGCAGTCAGCTTGCACTCGTAACTCAACTCACAAATTATACGATCACAAATGGCACAGTTTTGTCAATTACGCTGCTAAGAAAGGATTTACAGCCAGATATGCTACACATCCTCAAGTGGCAGATTTCTTATGTTATCTACGTCAAACTAAGAATCTAAAAGGTTCAACCTTGTCCACTTATCTTGCAGCTATAAGCTCTGTCATAACTATGAGAACGGGCGTCAAGTTAACAAAAACACCAGAGTTACTCGCTTTGTTACGAGCGTTCCGATTGGAGGATCAGGAACAGAAGTTTCACGCTCCAGCCTGGGATCTAAATATAGTGCTCCAACACCTCACTAGTGAGGCTTATGAACCATTGGAATCTACATCGTTTGAATCACTGACCCAGAAAACCTTGTTCCTGTTAGCACTAGCTACGGCAGCCAGGATGTCAGAGATTCACGCACTGGATTACGAGAGAACACTCTTTGATGATATTCATAACATCGTTCATCTGGGACTTAAGCTGGGATTTATATAGCAAAAACAACTGCCAGGTCAACCAGACAGATTATTCCACGTCCCAGCTCTCTCATCCATACTTGGACCTCATGATACGATGGATCTATCACTATGCCCAGTAAGAGCACTGAAAATATATCTCCAGCGATCCAAACAGAGCAGAGGGAAATTCAAGAGATTATTTATCCCTATATCTACAGCTCACATGAGCGGAAGTCTCATTGCACTACTATCTCTATCTGGATCAGAACTGTCATACTCACGTGCTCACAAGGCTGCAGGACTCGACCCTCCAAGAGCTTCTAATCCTCCGCGAAATTAGAGAAGCTAGCCTCAACTCTTGCTCTACATGGGAATTGCTCGTTGAATACCATAATGGAGGGATGTTTCTGGAGATCCGATATGGTGTTTGCCAACCACTATCTGAGAGATATCACCACCGAGGGCGTCTCAGGTATCCACCATTTGGTCCCATGGTCCTCTCGCTCAACAGTTGACAGTTCCACGGAGAAGATAAGTCTATCTTACAGATTTTATACTTATCTGATAACAGTACTAATAGCTACAGGCTATCTATATATTTTGCTTAAGTTTAATCTATTATCTTAAGCTCAGTACTATGGTTTTATATCATACTATATATAAGCTAACAACTCCTAGGAGTTTTGCTATTATATATATAGTTAGCTTAAGTTTCATCAATTCTTAAGCTCAGTTATATGGTCATATTCATAAATGTATTAGCTAACAAACTCTAAGGAGTTGGTTACTATTATACAGCTTAAGATAAAATTATATCTTAAGCACAGTACTATACTCTTATAGCTTAAGTGTATGCATATCTTAAGCTTAGTACTTTGGTTAATTCATAAAAGTATTCACTATAAACTCACAGAAGTTTATACTATCACATTAATAGCTTTAGCTTACATTAATGTTGTATATACTTTATCATAATAACTACATTGTAATAACCTTTATATGGCAGCTGATAAGTTAGCAGCAGGAATTCATCAGTTCAGTGCCTTTATGAAGTTCCCATAGGGTTATTACAATCATCACAGTTCAAATCACTAATTATTAAAATCCAAAGTATTATATATTCCAACCTCCTTTTCCGTCGGATTCTACAAGCAATAAGCATGAGTCAGGATAAGGAAAAATATGTAATTTTTAGAGTAAAATTGATATTTTATACTTATCCTGACTCATGCTTATTGCTTGTCTTCTTCTTCCTTGCGAACATAGTGGAACACGTGTATCTCCCAATTGAAGTTCCCTTCAATAAAAAATCACTAATTAGTACTCACCACGAGTTACCTCCCTTCCACAAGCGTGGGAACGAGGGCGCCACCTCCACCCATGTGCCTCACTCTCTCCTTTTGTTTTGAGCCCGACACTTTATTTTTCCGAAGAAATCCAAAGTGTTAAGTGGGGAGGACGGGAGGGCTTACCTCATGAGTCAGGATAAGTATAAAATATCAATTTTACTCTAAAAATTACATTTTTGGTGGAATCTGTAAGCCAGTTAACATTTGAAATTAACTTCTTTTGGTGTCAAAGCTGCAAGTATATCCGAGTACCACAAATAACTGACATGCCTTGAATCTTTCATGTTTAACCAATGTAGAATCCCATTAATATGTACATGACATCATATCACTGTAATGTTGATGCACTTTCAGTTAGTGATGGTGTCCATTTTTATTGTAACTCATTTTTCTGTTTTATTTTGAGAAACTCCTGTTACCTTGAGTGCTTCCCGCTCAAACAAATAGGAAGAGGAACTAGGAATATATGTCTGCTTTTGTGCTTATGTGACCCTTTAACATCTACTTTAATTCTTTACAGAGAATTCAGGGAGACTAACAATAATGTTGAAATTGGGATCAAGTCTGCCGCCGGTCTCCGGCCAAAAGGTTTATCACTGGAGGAAATCAAGCCTGACCCTATGCGTGAGTTATTCTACACCAGAAAAGAAAAATTTGTGAAGCCTTTTCGACAGTAAAAATGTGCATATTTATAATGCACCAAACCTACACCATAAAACATGCTCGAAGCACTACTTTATTACCCTGGTCACCTGAATTTCTTACTCAGCTCCTAGGGGTTGTACAACCAAAGCTGCACCAGAATGTAAACACTCACCATCTAATCTACCGGGTACCCATTCACTGCTGGGTGAACTTTTCTGAGAGTCCCCAATGTTGTCCTAACGTTGCACTATTTCCAAGGGCAATATGAACTATAATCATGCCCTCATCTGATGGATGAATTGTACATTGCTGTCTGTCCACTTACAGCACCACGGCCGCCAAATGCAGACTGGAAGTTGCTGAGCACCAAGAAACTATCAACAGCTGAGAAGGAGGCACGGTCTAAACCTGTGAGTCTATCCCCACCTTCCCAGTGTCACATCTTATAGAACAGACAGTGGTTAAATTGGTGCAGTGTGTGACTGCTGTGTATTTAGAGAGTTTCTGACTGGCAGTAAATAACACTTTGGTATTACAGCTTTTTACAAAATTTCAACACTCAGAGTTATATGTTTTCTATAAAGTCATGGATTATAATGACTGATATAGATAATAGTGTGATGTTGTTGATCCAGGTGCGTGATGGCCTGAACGCTGTACCGACAACCCAGCAAGAGAAGGTGGACTGTCGCAAGTGGTTGAGTCCACAGGAGTTGCATCAAATTATCATAGGTTAGTTATACTTAGCCCAAATGCTGAGTTATCATACATTGGCCACATCACAGACCCAGTTATACATACATCACAGACCCAGTTATACATACATCACAGACCCAGTTATATATACATTATAGACCCAGTTATACATACATCACAGACCCAGTTATATATACATTACAGACCCAGTTATACATACATCACAGACCCAGTTATACATACATTACAGACCCAGTTATACATACATCACAGACCCAGTTATACATTGGCCACAGACCCAGTTATACATCGATTGTTAAGTAACTCTCTAGTGTTTAGTTATGTAAGGGGAAGGGAGGCCCAAGTTGTTGTGTTATGGACCCAAGTTCAAGTTATTTGTCCTTGATTGCAGGTCCCCCAACCATTGACTTCAGCACAGTGTGTCTGAAATCCAGCAGCCAGAAGGAGCTGAACATCATCAATAACCTCAACCAATACATCCATGTGGTAGCAGAGGTAGGTGTCAGTAGGGTGTACATCCAGTACATCCATGTAGGTGTCAGTAATGTGTACATCCAGTACATCCATGTAGGTGTCAGTGATGTGTACATCCAGTACATCCATGTAGGTGTCAGTGATGTGTACATCCAGTACATCCATGTAGGTGTCAGTAGGGTGTACATCCAGTACATCCATGTAGATGTCAGTAGGGTGTAAATCCAGTACATCCATGTAGGTGTCAGTAGGGTGTACATCCAGTAAATCCATGGAGGTGTCAGTAGGGTGTACATCCAGTACATCCATGTAGGTGTCAGTAGGGTGTACATCCAGTACATCCATGTAGGTGTCAGTAGGGTGTACATCCAGTACATCCATGTAGGTGTCAGTAACGTGTACATCCAGTACACCCATGTAGGTGTCAGTAACGTGTACATCCATGTAGGTGTCAGTAGGGTGTACATCCAGTACATCCATGTAGGTGTCAGTAATGTGTACATCCAGTACATCCATGTAGGTGTCAGTAATGGGTACATCCAGTACATCCATGTAGGTGTCAGTAATGGGTACATCCAGTACATCCATGTAGGTGTCAGTAGGGTGTACATCCATGCAGGTGTCAGTAGGGTGTACATCCATGTAGGTGTCAGTAGGGTGTACATCCAGTACATCCATGTAGGTGTCAGTAATGTGTACATCCAGTACATCTATGTAGGTGTCAGTAATGTGTACATCCAGTACATCCATGTAGGTGTCAGTAATGTGTACATCCAGTACATCCATGTAGGTGTCAGTAATGTGTACATCCAGTACATCCATGTAGGTGTCAGTAATGTGTACGTCCAGTACATCCATGTAGATGTCAGTAATGTGTACATCCAGTACATCCATATAGGTGTCAGTAATGTGTACATCCAGTACATCCATGTAGATGTCAGTAATGTGTACATCCAGTACATCCATGTAGGTGTCAGTAATGTGTACATCCAGTACATCCATGTAGATGTCTGTAGAGTGTACATCCAGTACATCCATGTAGGTGTCAGTAATGTGTACATCCATGTAGGTGTCGGTAATGTGTACATCCATGTAGGTGTCAGTAATGTGTATATCCAGTACATCCAGGTAGGTGTCAGTAATGTGGACATCCAGTAAATCCAGGTAGGTGTCAGTAGGGTGTACATCCAGTACATCCATGTAGGTGTCAGTAATGTGTACATCAAGTACATCCATGTAGGTGTCAGTAATGTGTACATCCAGTACATCCATGTAGATGTCAGTAATGTGTACATCCAGTACATCCATGTAGGTGTCAGTAATGTGTACATCCAGTACATCCATGTAGGTGTCAGTACTGTGTACATCCATATAGGTGTCAGTAATGTGTATATCCAGTACATCCATGTAGGTGTCAGTAATGTGTATATCCAGTACATCCAGGTAGGTGTCAGTAGGGAGTACATCCAGTACATCCATGTAGGTGTCAGTAACGTGTACATCAAGTACATCCATGTAGGTGTCAGTAATGTGTACATCCAGGACATCCATGTAGATGTCAGTAACGTGTTCATCAAGTACATCCATGTAGGTGTCAGTATGGTGTACATCCAGGACATCCATGTAGATGTCAGTAATGTGTACATCCAGTACATCCATGTAGGTGTCAGTAATGTGTACATCCAGTACATCCATGTAGGTGTCAGTAATGTGTACATCCAGTACATCCATGTAGGTGTCAGTAATGGTGACACTGTTGGTCACTGGTAATACATGTTGACCTGATACAGCTTTAAATATTGGTAACTACATCATACCCAAATTTACTCTCTTATGTGATTTCTGTATTTTACGACTGTCAAAGATTTTTCACAGACTTGTCATAGCCTTGCCACAGACTTTTCACAGACTTGTCACAGAGTTGTCACAGACTTACCACAGACATTTCATAGCCTTGCATGCGGTTTGGTGCTACTGTGAATATCTATAATGATATAACTACTAGTGTTGGGAATTGGTTGAAATCCCACAACTGATGATTGCTTCATTACCAACGAGAAATCATCGAAAAAACTTGGTTAGCGTCATATCTCAGATTTTTCTTTCCAGGTTGTTATTGCAGATAAGTATAACATGATGTAACTTGCTACTTTAAAGTGATGATTAATATATCATGAACAGAAACTTCCCAGAGTCTTCAACAAATATTAAGTCATGACTTTTCAGTTAGTGAAGTGAGTTTTCTAAGAATTAAACACATTTTCAGGCCCTGACAACTTCGAAGATATGTTTCATCGACAAGAGTTTCAAAGACTAAAACAGTAGTTCCAAAATCGTTTGTGTTCGATTATGAGAAAATGTGATCGATTGCTTGATCGTTTGGTCACTGCGACCAATCTTCGATTATTCACTTAATCGGAACACCACTAATAACTACACATCTGGTGCTTTGAACTTCCCCAGCCAAGGAAACCAAGCAGCTCCAGCATCTCTGTGTTGCTGAGATGACGCACACTTTTCCAGGTACTATAATGTTTTGGATAACAATCACCATGGTAATCTTGTTTTCAGATTGACTGTCGGGAACTGCGTCAGAGCAGCCCTCTCTCTCAGGTTGTCCCTCCTAAGTCTCGTGCCACCATTCCCATCCTCTTCGAGTCCAACAGTAAAGGAAAGTTTCAGAGGTAGGTCATAGCACATTAGTGTGAGGTTCCCATTAATATGATAAACTTTTTATCTTTATTCTCAGAAACACCACTCTTTATATAAGAGACAGGAATTGACTGTGAGCATAAAAATGTCACCATGTTCTGACAAAGATTAACCTCATACGGGAAACAGAAACTAAAAGGGATGTTTGTGATCACATTCCATTCCTAGTGTGTTTTTGATAGAGAGGTTTGATGTAATAGATGACTACTAGCGCTATATCAAGATTGTAACCTTTTAGTTGAGGGAACAAAGGACATGGTGAAGCCAAGGCCTCAGCTCTCGCAACAGTACTCTTATATCCTGATTACGTACTGGCACAATCTATGTATCTTATCTATCTTAGAGTACAGGCAAATCCTTGAGCTCCTTCAACTAAACACATCACAAACTCAAATTAACCTAAAGTTTATGATCATTTTCTCTATGCAAGTCATGCAATAACGTGTTCTCACAAAATGAGCATCGCTCTCCCTCACCAAGGATCAGCCATGTTTTTGAGATGTAACTATGTGTATATTTTCCGTGTGTGTCAGGTCAGTGATGTACACTGTGAACGGCTTCTACAAGCACCATGTGACAGTGGTGGCAGATGTGGGACCGGTAACCCTCCAGCTGTCCACAGAAGACCTGCTTCTCAAGCCCACCCCGGGGCTGCCAGCTGATGCAGGTACTGTAGCTCACCCTCCCTGTGGCAGAGGCAGATGATGTTGTTGCTTATTGCTGCTCATACCATCAACTGGGGTGGTGTGGTAGCCTAGTGTTTAAAGCATTTGCTCATCATGCCGAAGACCCAGATTTTATTCCCCACATGGGTATAATGTGTTAAGCCATATCTGGTGGCCTCCGCCATGATATTGCTGGAATATTGCTAAAAGCGGCGTAAAACCATACTCACTCATACTATCAACCATCAGTTTGCCTGGCCCAAATTGGTATATTTACAGGCAGCCATTTTGTTGTCCTCTACCTTGGTACGTCAGCAATATTGATTACTAATGTTATTGCCTCTTTGCTATCTATACTCAACATGCATACTAATCATTGATGATATACTGATTGTTGCTGTACCTAAACACTCAAGGTTACCGTGGTGTGGTGACCCTGCACAACCCCCTCAACTACCCCGCAGAGTTCACCTGGTCCCCCAACCTGGGAGAAAAGGGCACTGCTTTCTCCATCAGACCAGCCACAGGTAGGTTCACTTGAGTTTCATATATAAAATAATTATGTCTTCTGTGTGTTTCTTTTTGACAGTATGTTACCAAGTTATGCTGTTTTGTTTTAGGTACGGTGGATGCCTTCAGTGACCTTGACTGTGAGGTTGTGTGGCATCCCTCCTTCATGGCTCCAGAGGATGGCTCCTTCACACTGATGCTCCTCAATGGCAACCCATTACAGTTCCGATGTCTGGCACAGGTGGGCGCATGCTTCATAGACAGCACCCTCCAGCCAACACAGATCACTGAATGCACAACACATCACTGCATGCACAACACACACCACTGCATTCCAAACACACATCCCTGCATCCTGGACTCATGCCATTGCATTTTGGATACATGTCATTCCATTATTGACACATGTCATTGCATTATTGACACATGTCATTCCATTATTGACACATGTCATTCCATTATTGACACATGTCATTCCATTATTGATACATGTCACTGCATTATTGACACGTCATTCCATTATTGACACATGTCATTCCATTATTGACACATGTCATTCCATTATTGATACATGTCACTGCATTATTGACACATGTCATTCCATTATTGACACATGTCATTCCATTATTGACACATGTCACTGCATTCTGAACACTTCACTGAATTCTGGACACGTCACCTCATTCTGAGCACACATCACATCATGCTCACAGCATTGTACACAATTGTTCACACTCAACACGCTATGATGCACGAGCAATACACTATGCTCCATGCTCTGCACACAACTAAACTCACTCCACTCAATTGTTAACACACTAAGCTCCCAACTCAAGACACTACATTGAACACACTACACTGCTTGCTCAAACCTTTTATGAACCATTTTCGAATGTTATGTTTTGTTGATGTCATTATTTTGTTTTTTCTACAAATAAATTGGCTCCAGACTTAAATACATCCATGCTCAAAATCAATAACTTGGTTGCATTTACATTTTAGCTTGGCAACAGCTCGGTTCAGTTTGTGGAACGAAGGGTAATGTTCGGCCAGGTTCCAGTAAACCTGACTACCACCAGGACAGCCCTGCTGCACAATGCTGGTCAAAACCATGCTTTCTTCCAGGTCAGAACACAAGAGTGTACACACATACACACAGTCACACAAAATGTAAATTCAGGCCAACATTTTCAAACAACTGTATGTTAACATTATACTCTACTGAATACTGTTCCAAAGTATATTCAAGCAGTGACTTTCAAATGAATATGATACTTTTGAATACTGTCAAGACAATGACAAAAGGTATGCATATCTTTTGTCTCTGCAAGACTTCAATGTAGATTGTTATACCAAGTCCCATTCCTTTGTGCTAAAATGTTTGTAAATCCTGTACAGTTGCATTGAATATCAACTTATGGCTAAGACCACATTGTTGAAGAGGGCGCTGGAATCAGCCATAACTTGAAAACAACTGACAAGTGGGAGGATGCAATATTTCCCTTGGCTGACCATTAGTGCCGTGTCCTGGAGGTTGTGCATCCCTATGTATGCTCTGTGTACAGGTCCTGGACCCCAACCCTTTCCCTGGGCTCACCGTGAGTCCGGTCCATGGCGTGGTGCCTGTGGGAGGAACAGCTGAGTTGCGGGTGTCGCTGACCCCAGACGCTGTGCTGAAGTTCGACACGCGGGTCCAGCTGGCCATCAAGGGTGGGAAGACCATTGATCTGAGAATGGGTGGGACAGTGGAGCCTCCAAGTGTCGACATCAGCATGGTACGTCATTTTCACAAGTCAGGAATAGCAAGATAGTTTGACATCATTGTCACTGTATTTGTGTAATCGTTGGAACATGAATAGTGTTTCCTTTATAGAGGATAAGTATATAGCATATTAGAAGCTTTAGTTTCAGTGGAGACAGAAATGACTTGGGGATTTCAACAAGCAAGTGATAAAGACAATAGCATCTGTAGAATCAGAATGGGAGCTTGTGGTTAAAGCAATTATAGGCTTAAACATTCCCTCTGGGTTGTGTAGCCTTTTCCTCCTTCTTGTGGTTAAAGTGTTAATAACAAAGGGAAGTAATCCTTACTTAGATAACACGTCCCGCTTTGATTAGACCTTTGGCAGTTCGATTCTGTACTCACATAGGTACAACATGTGAAGCTATTTCTGGTGTCCCCCACCGTGATTTAGCTGGAATATTGCTAAACGCAGTGTAAAACCATACTCAGTCAGTGTAGCTGAATGTTGCATTGACAAAAATAAAGAAGTTGAAATTCGTAAGATAATTATATGTTCATACATACAGAGCATTAATGATAGACATGCTGTAATTACTACTGTGTACCATATACATGTTTGATCTATAGACCAAGATAAATCCATATATCATGATAACCAGATGTACATTTGTCTACTTCAGTATTTTGATGTTTGGGAACCTACAGAATTTTAGATGCATCATCTAATTCAGCTGTTATGTGGAATCAACTATGATTGACAAAGAACTAGAGCTTGAGTTTACATTGGATATCGATGAAAGGCTAAACTAGAGCAGCTTGTATTGTGCCGACATCACCTGGTAGTTATTGGTCGTGGGATGTCTGTGTTACAGCCTTCCTTCAACTTCGGTGGCGTGTACTGCGGATCAGGATCCACCATACAGTTCCAGCTCCTCAACAAGGTAACTCTTCGCCCAGTGTGCTGACCTGTGGGGACCAGGGTAAAACTGGTTCCTGCCTGGTCTTAGAGGCAACTTAAAGGCCGGACATTTCATGCTCATTGACTTAAGTGTCATCATACTCTGACAGCAGGGGTGGCTGTTCTTAATATCAATCACTGGAATGTCTGGTCCTTTCTTGATTACTGCTGGCCACTGTAGGTTGGAATGCTGCTTAGAGTGGTGTTAAACAACAAGTAAACCAAATACATGTGTGATTGTGTGTGTCACATGTGTGATTGTGTGTCATGTGTGATTGTGTGTATCACATGTGTGATTGTGTGACATTGTACCCGATTTAGGTGAATTGTTGCTCATTCAGTATACAGCTGGATTATTTACTGTCCGCTTTGTAATGGTTGAAATGTTTGTGACTGGTGTAGGACAGCAGGTACCTACTCATTTTGCTGATTAACTGGGCACAGGGAGCTGAAATGATCTGTTAATTTGCAGTAGATAATGAAGGCCTGATAGTTCAATGCTTTTCAAATTGTTTTTCTTGACTGGGTTGAGAGTGTTTGTTTACGACCCATGTTGGATCTTGAACAGGTGTAGAGAGACTTACCCAAAAGATGCAAGTTAACATGAAGTGACACCTGAATCATCTCTGACATTTTTATCATTGCTGTTTCTGTCCATCTAAGCTAGTTGTATTATGATAATGTACACCAGCGGAGGTGTTCACATTTGTCTTTATGTTGTATTATGGTGTAGACTGTCACCAAGGCAAAGATGGAGTTCGACCTGACACGCTTCAAGGACTTCACGCTGGCCTTCCCAGGATTCCAGACTCAAGGTCAGTGTCAAGGTCATTCTAGCAACTGAAGCACAGCAACCACGAGTCAGAGATTAACTGAAATTCTGCTGGTCATTACTATGAACCTCAGTTGATGTACCACCTGACCTCTTTTGACCCATCACACATATGGATATAATCTGTGTCCTTTCACATAGCATGGTCAGTAGGGTAGTTACCATCTGGACTGAATGGAGCTTTCACTGAAAAGATGAAACAAAGAGCCTCCAAATATTTTTTAACCTAATGTTGTTCCTATGAACTCTGTTGTGTACTATTCAACATCCTAAACAGAGCAATACATGAAGATCTGGGTTAGAATTGGTCTTCCATACACCCTTGCCTATGATAAAAGTTGACTAACAAGATCCGGTGGTCAGGCTTGCTGACTTGATAGATGTCAATCACTGATCTGTCTGGGTTGATCCAGTCCAGACTCAGTTATTTACAGACTGCTGTCATATGGCTGGAAAATAGCTGAGTTCAGTTTCAGCAAGCAGAAGAACATTCATTGAATGTTTTAAATTTTTTTTAATGACTTATAACTATTCTGTGGCATAGCTATTCCTGATATCAACTATTATTCTAATGCATAGCTATTTCTGATATAAGCTATTCTATGTCATAGCTATTCCTGATATCAACTATTGTGTGGCATAGGTATTCTTGATATAAGCTATTCTATGGCATAGCTATTCCTGATATCAACTATTCTATGGCATAGCTATTCCTGATATAAGCTATTCCATGGCATAGCTATTCTTGATATCAACTATTCTATGACATAGCTATTCTTGATATAAGCTATTCTATGGCATAGCTATTCCTGATATAAGCTATTCTATGGCATAGCTATTCCTGATATAAGCTATTCCATGGCATAGCTATTCTTGATATCAACTATTCCATGACATAGCTATTCTTGATATAAGCTATTCTATGGCATAGCTATTCCTGATATCAACTATTATTCTATGGCATAGCTGTTCCTGATATTGACTATTCTATGGCATAGCTATTCCTGATATCAACTATTCTATGGCATAGCTATTCCTGATATCAGCTATTCCATGGCATAGCTGTTCCTGATATAAGCTATTCTATCGCATTGCTATTCCTGATATCAACTATTCCATGGCATAGCTGTTCCTGATATCAACCATTCTATGGCATAGCTATTCCTGATATAAGCTATTCTATCGCATTGCTATTCCTGATATCAACTATTCCATGACATAGTTATTTTTTGATATCAACTATTCTATGGCATAGCTATTCCTGATATCAGCTGTTCCATGGCATAGCTATTCCTGATATCAATTATTCCACGGCATAGCTATTCCTGATATCAACTACTGTATGACAATGCAGATGACTACAACTACCAGATGATGAACCAAGGGATGTATTCGGTGACGCTGGGTCCGGAGGAGACTGTGCCAGGGGAGATAACCTTCATGCCCACAGAGGTAGGAAATTGCTCTTCTTGCCACATTTTGAAGCTCAGTAACAAAGTTCCACAGATACTCCTTCAGTTTTAAACATTTCTTTTTCTTCATGCTGTCTGTTATCTAAAGTAACAGTTCCTTAGTGAGGTGATTGAGTTAACCGGTTAAGTTATCTTTGAAATAAGTTTTCATAGGATTAACATGTCTTTTGGGGGCGAAAAAATAATTTTTCTTACTTCTAATTTATACTACAAACAAAAAGTTTAAGAACACCCTAAAATTTGATAGTCATATATCATTGATACTCTAAGGTAAATGTAACTTTTTGTGTGCTTAATGGGCACTTCAAACGACATGTTAGAGCATGCAGTGAAGCAACTGATTCAATATTCATTGAGTTTGAGCAAAATGAAACATTGTCAAAAACAGCAAACAAACAAGGGTGCTGAAACACACCAGCACCGTGTTTGATTCAAACGCCCAAACACAACAGCCTAGTGCATGTGGAAGACAGACTTCCCATGCAGCTTGTGGCAACGTTTCCTTTAAAAGAAGCTACAGACATTATTGAAGCCTCACAACTTCTTCACCATGCCACAGTGCAGACCATGACAGAAGCAAGGCCATTGCATGGTTACAGGATGGTGAAGAAGTGTTGCTCGCCGTCTTCAGGTGCCATCTCTGTCATTCATAAACTGAGGTACAGGTTCCAGGCCACTGGTAGAGTACAGGGCAGATCTCGCTCTGGAACATCCAGAAAAACATCAAGGGCAGATGACCGATATGTTATGCTCCAAGCCCTTGAAAACCGATTCACAACTGCCAGTGCCCAGTTGCCACAAGCTGCAAGGGAAGTCTGTCTTCCACATGCACTAGGCTGTTGTGTTTGGGCATTTGAATCAAACACGGTGCTGGTGTGTTTCAGCACCCTTGTTTTCACTGTTTTTGACATTGTTTCATTTCACTCAAACTCAACGAATATTGAATCAGTTGCTTCACTGCATGCTCTAATATGTCGTTTGAAGTGCCCATTAAGCACACAAAAAGTTACATTTACCTTAGAGTATAATGACCTCACCAAGTATAAGTTTATATATGACTATCAAATTTTAGGGTGTTCCCATACTTTTTGTTTGTAGTATATGTTGTGGTCCTGGACCAATTTGAAAACATGTTAGTAATGATAATAGAGACACCTTACCTGTGTTTCTCTCTTCAGGTGGCTGCATACGACTTTGTGATGCCATGTGTCATCAATCATGTGGGTGCCCCCCACCCTGCCCCCACACCTTTCCCTCCTACCCCAGCCCCCCTCCCAGAAGAACAGTCTACAGCACATCATCAACCCCCGGCCCCAGCCATTTATGGTTGTCACACCCAGGAAGCATGTCATAGCCACAGCTCTGCGGCAGCCGTTACAGCTATCCCAGAACAGGATAGAGTTCTTCCTTCCTGCTAGCATGCATGAGCTGTACAAGAATACAGGCATCGGAGAATCAAAGGTAGGGATCAGATTGTCTTTACTGAAACACAGTGCTTGGCTATATATCTGCTTTATTGTATATTATGCTAATTGTTAAGTGGCTACATCAGTTTATGCTATTGTTTCATAATGTGTGTTCCCAAACTTGTTACAGAAACCAAAAACAAAATATTTGAAAATGTGTCCAAACGTATTCATTCAAACTCATTATTTCGAAAAGAAAACCTTTGTTTGTATTTCTGTTTCAACTATTAGTCTCGGGGCCATTGTGCAGAGTTGCATCCCTTAGGTTTTCAAGGATCCTATGATCTAAAGTGTTTGAATCCCAGATTTGCCCTGTTATGTTCTAGGTTTGTCAGCACCATACCTGAGCTTGTGTGTTTCACTAAAGTCGTAAATCACTGGTATCATGTGTGGCTTTCCTCCCTTATTGAGCTGACAAGCCATGACATAACTGAAAGTTCAGTTTGACATTAACCTAGACTCACTCACTCACTCACTCACTATATGTAACTAGTAAGACCAGTTGGTTGTAGATGTGTATTAGCTCCCATACCCTTATGTCCTTCCATTTCTGTTCACAGACACGTGTCAAGGTATATATATCACAGATTTCAGTTTGGTGACTGATGGTTTTGCATGAGCACTGATACCAGTTTAAAGAAGATATTGGAAGCTGGATTTATATCATTGTTTCACTATTTTACTTCCACAAAACTCTCTTGCACTTAAATCCACAACTAATATAATAGCTATAACATTTTAAAATGATATATTGTTTTCATTATAAAGCTATTAATGAAAGAAATACATATTAAAATGATGATTTTTTCCCAAGAATTTGAAGTTCCTATTAGAACAATGGAGTTGTATGCCTGTTTTATGCCATGTCTGCCAAGATTGGAGGCGAGGTCAAATAGACAGCAGATTTTACATTCCTGTACGAGGGCTGTTCAATAAGTAATGGCAACAAGAGTGTAAAAACATACTGCATTAACATACATCATTCCTTGGCTGTCTATAATCTCTCTGAGTTGAGAAATCACTGTTTTTGTCTTGTGGGACTGCCAGCCAGCATTGTCATGAAGTGAAGAGCAGGTCGGGACGACATTGTTCCCGTCTCAGGTTGCTTCTTTTCCATAGCTTCAACCATCTTGGGGAGGACAGTGTTGCAGTAGTAAGTGCCAGTAACAGTACTCTTCACAGGCAGGATATCAACAAGTACTGGCCCTTCATAGTTGAAAAATATGGAAAAAAGTCTCTTCCTGCTCTGAAATCCTGGCTTGGCCACCACTGGATGCTGATTTTCCTTACCCATCCACACATGTATGATCCCCAGGGAGTTGAGATTGACAATACGATGTGCCGTTGAGATTGACATCCAGTGAACGAGGGAAAAACAAAGCGACTTTGAGCAGCTCAGCTGTTGGGGATACCATAAAAGTAGATCCAAGTCTCATCACCAGTGACAATGTCTGTGAGCCGCTTTGGTCCATTTGGTTCCAACATATTTAATATTTATACACAGTTGAATGTGGATCCTCGTTGTTTCTGTTCAAGGGTCAGCACATGAGGTCCCCAACGAGCACAAATCTTCCTAAACTTCAAATGGTCATGAAGGATTGAGTGGGTAGATCTAAGTGATATGTCCAATGATGAACTAATTTCATCTTCATCAATGCATTTCTGGACAATTGTCATTACCTCTTCGTTCATAACTGATTTTGGATGTCCTGAGCGGTGTTCATGATTAAAATCTCTCAACCATCTAGCAACTGTCCTATATGATGGAGCTTGGTCCCCACACACATTAACCAAATCTACATGGATTTTGGTCACATCTTCAGAAAACTGTGATCTCATGAAGACATAGAAGTGAAGGTTCTCCTTGCTGAACTCCATCTTTTTTAATCACAGTTATGACATCATCACATTGTGACATCATAACCACTTTTCATATTAGATATGACATCACAAAATTTAGTCAGGTGGTTAGAACTCATCTGAGGCTTTCCATAGATGCTAAATGTGCAGGGGTTATATTTGATATATAGATATGATAATGGCATTGCCATTATTTGTTGAACGGCCCTCGTACTTTCTGAATAAGCAAATGGGGGATTGAAAGAGAAAAAGACAAAACAACTTCATTGCTTTAATGTGAACTTTTGATTCCAGTGATACATTTACTTGTGCTGAAAATAGCTTGATGACAGGTTCAACAGTTCCACCTCTCTAACTGTTCTGTATCATGCTTGATTCAGTCACAGGTCGCCATTACAGTGATGTTGTAATACTGACAGTGACATAAAACAACATTCACTCATACTAATGTCATGCACTTGAATCCCTTTGTGTCATCATGCACTGTCCTTTATCATTTTACCACTTTAACATTTCACTACATTTCAAAATTGGTCTTCAGTAACAGATTCTTGTCCTGAGACGTGATGGACAGGATCAGATGGTCAGGTTCACTGACTTAGACTTTGCACAACATCCCACTCATGATGCTCATGACGTCAGTCACTGATTGTCTGGTCCAGCCTTTAGCCGGGTTACAATATTGATCTTCAGTAACCCATGCTTGTTGTAAGAGGCGACTAACGGGATTGGGTGGTCAGGCTCGCCAACTTGGTTGACCCATGTCATCGGTTCCCAAGTGCACAGATTGATGCTCATACCGTTGATCACTGGATTGTCTGGTCCAGACTCAATTATTTACAGACCGCCGTCAAATAGCTGGAATATTGCTGAGTGCGGCGTAAAACTAAACTCACTCACTCACTGGTCCAGACTTGATTGTTTACATATCACTGTGTTGAATATCACAGCTTGAATGTTGCTGAGTCAAGTGTTAAGCAACAAACTGACAAATTTAACAAGTCATGACCGATATCTGAACATATCATTCATGCATTGTCATGTATAGTTTTGATACATGACTAGTCCATCATTCAGTACACCACTAATCATGAGGTGTATTGACTGTATTGATACACAATGCATGTATAGTCACCATGTCAAGTTTCTATGGTTTTAAATGTATTTTTTTTTAAATATTTTTTTTATTATATGTATACTTCTGAAAAAAAACCAGTTACATAACACCCACAGGTGGAAGGCTGTGTGTTGCAATAAGTCATGACAGATGGTGATTTGGTTGTATACTCCCCAGGAAGTTGGGAATATGAATATACACTGATCCTTAGAGATGGGTAAAATATGACATGTGCTTGGAGTTTGAATGTGGCACTGCTACTGCTAATCTTTGTCATTTTATTTATCATTCAGTTTATCATCACCTTTTCTTTAAATATCAATTAAATATTCTTTTTGTATACAGACTTAATTAACTATCAGAACAGACCTAGATCTTCCAGATTACAAGGGTCTTCACTACACAACCTCCTCAACTACAGATCAAAACTGATGGTGTTGTCTCTCTGCCCTTCTGTCTGTTGCATGTTGTCATACTATTGCAGCCTCTCATCATAGTAAACAACAGTCCTCGCAACATCAAGTGGGCATTTGACCTGTCCAAGCCCACAAAGGCCCTGGAGGACGGGGCGCTAAAGTTCACCCATTCCTCTGGCGTACCATTCCTGAACCTACAGAACAAGCCGAGTCGGGGAATCGAGGGGGAGCTGGAGCCAGGCCAGACACAGGAGATCTCCGTCCACTTCTGTCCAGGTCAGTGTCAAGTAACAGATGAAAAGCTTGAGTACTCTGCAACCTGTATATTAATATGTCAATAATTTATTGATATCAAGAAATCTAATTAGTACTACTTTAAGACTGTAATGTAAAAGATCATATGTTTTGTTATCTGTGTGACCTTGTAGTTTCTGGGGACCAACTCTATGGTCTAGCGGATGGAGTGTATGACTGGGATAAGGACAGTCAGTGGTTCAAATCCCTGGCTACATCATGCCCCAAACTGTTTAGGTGTGATTGTTGTAACCATTAAAGGTATGAAACAAGGATTGGCTGGATTGGAAGCAGTATACTGTCTGAGAGGGGTATCCATATTAAACTGCAACATGGTGTCCCTGAGTTCTAGCACAGTAAAACCAGGTTTAGTCAAGACTAGCACAAGCAGCCATACACATACAGATTGCTATAGAAGTCCGAGAATCTTGAGTGTGAGCTTAAACCCCCACCAACCCGGGCCCTCACTTCACCTTCCCCTACTGAGGGAGCAGTTATTGTAGAATGGGAACAGATTGTGCAGTTGTTCAAACTAACGAAAACACTTACATCATGTGATTTGCTTTTTCTACATCCCAGCAACTGTTGAACAGACAAAATAAACCATTGCCTCTGTCAGTTCAACCATACTTTGACTAAGGTTTCAGATGTTCAAAATCACAAATTCCTTCCACTCATTTCTAAAATCATCATCTCAATGGTGGGATGTTTCAATGTTGTGTATGTTACAGCTCAACCTGGCAAGATGGAGTGTCTGGTGCCTGTGGTCCTGGATGACTTGTGGGACAAGCCCTACCAGTACCTGCATATACTGGGGGAGCTGAAGGCGCCCCGGATCTGGTTTGACCCCCTGGCTATCTGCCTCACCCCTGTCCCCCTCACCACCGAAGTCGCTTGAATTCAACATCCTGGCCTCGCAGTACAGAGTGTAGGTTGATCTCCAATGATCTTAAATCTAAGAATGCCACAACTCAAACTGACATACCTTTTACATAGACTCAGGCCAGTGTTAGCATGTTGGAAATGTATTTTTATGTGGTCAACAAAGTAGTGCCAAGGCCTTCACAAATGTTCAGGGCTAGTCAACTCTCTCTCTCTATATATAAGTTCTCTTCTTTATTATATACTGTATTTATCTCCAAAAATGTCAACTGATATAACCCAAGTGAAATAACATTTTATACCGGAACTATTTTCAGTCTGCTTCAATGTCAATGGTTTTCGTAGTAAGATCAGAAGATGAGTTATTACATAATAAACCGAACATTTGTCCTTGTCAATATTACGTGTTAATACCAGGTCAGTTTATAAAACATTTACCTGGATGTAAATTGTACAGTGTGTGTGAAGTGTTCAAAGTTGAGAACGAAAGGCAAATAGTCCTTGTCAAAGCCATTATGCAGTGTTAGAGGGTAGCTACATTCAAATACTAAAGCTTTAAACCTGAGGGATTCCAGGACTCTTTCATTTCTAATGGTGGTATCACTTGTATCTGAGCAGATCTGACACTCTGAGTTTCGAGCTCCCTGAGGTGGAGTGTGAAGATGGCAGCAAGATCAGTCCTCTCACTCTCCAGTTCTCTCAAGGTCAAGGTCAGTCACAGTGGAGCAAATAATTAGCCTTGTCTATAATCTACTGATCATTAAGTCTAAGGTTTAAAAGGACAAATAAACTGAATACAGTTATCCCTTTTGTTGCGAATATAAATTATATAATATTTTCAGAAGCAAAATTAATGTGCCACGAGTCAAACACCAGGAATCCATTTTCACCCCAGCAAGGGGAATAGGGAAAGAGTTTATCAGATGCCCTATTTATACTATTACTGTTTTCCAGATATAAATTTGGGCAGGTGTTTGTTATTAGGTATACCCTGATGTACTAAGGTAATATAATCTTTAAAACTACTATGTTGATTTTAATTTCCCTTTAAAACTTACTTAAGCTAAACACTGAAAGGAAATCAAATATGTATGTTTTGTTATATTATGGTCTGAAAATATTCTCGTTTGTCATATGTTTCTTTTTCTTATTATATACAAATATGGTCTACTTTCATCTGATCCAGAAATCAAGCCTTGTGCAGGAGATGAGGGGCAGATTGACCCCTGTTGTATTCCCTGCAAGGTCACCTTTGTCAGCCCCAAACCGATCTCCTTTGCTCAGCCAATCATCTTCAAAGACACTGAGGGCAGAATGTAAGGGAGATAACTCTCTCTCTCTATATATATATATATGTTTCTTATAAGTCTTGATTCTTTATTTTCAGAGTGTTGGAGACTACTTTGAATTGGCATTTGTTACAATTCAATGCTACTTACACACAAAATTCAGTTGTTCACAAAGAATAATGTAATTTAAAATCTACCATTTGAATATTTGACTTTCTTGCTGTATTGGCTACTCATGCTATATTACATCATTAACTTGATGTTTTAGTACCTGTCAGTACAGATTTGCTGCATGGTCAAGTGACTTCATGTCTTTACCTCTTGGTTCACCTTGGTTCCCAGGTTTCCCCTGATGGTGACGGCATCGTCGGACAACAGCCTGATGACCTGCTACCCATTCCTGGCTCTCCATCGCAGTGACCATCAGATAGTCTGTGAAAATGTACTTCGATCTATTCTGTGTTAAAAGAGGGACTATGCTGTACATGGTGTATCTTTCACAGCCCATTTGCCGGCAAGGTCCAGATGGTGTTGTGTCATGTTTGAAACTGAAACTCTGTAATTTGTGCAATAATTAAATACCATGATATGCATATCATTATTTGAGTCAGCAGACTAAGATTTTAAATGTTTGGATCACTTACTAGAACAGTCAAATAACTTAAGCCTAGTCCCTCTTGAAAGTGCACTAAGTAAAGCGAGTCTTATGAAGGAGGAAGCCTGTCCGTATTGAGGAATATCGGCTGTGCAGAGCTCTATTCCTTGGGCACTCCAGACACTTACAATTGTGGGTTTGAATCACAGCGCACCCAGATTTTTTTTCTATGTTTGTGAGCACCATGTTTGTTGATTTCACCAAAGTAGGAAACACTGACATCACTTCAGGCTTCCCTCCCAAATCAGACAGACACGCCATGGTATAACCCAAGTACCTGTCAATGCAGCATTAAACCCAACTCACATATAGAAACCCCAGGTTAATTCCCCTAATGGGTGCCATTTGTCTTACCCATTTGAGGAGTATAAAGTTTAAATTACAAGTATATTTATCAGTTGTTTAGACTAACATTCACACTTTTATGAGACACTGAATCAAGATAAGTATCAACTAAGTCCCTGTGTGGTACTCTTGGTCAGTTTTGAAATACTAGTAAATGAATCACTTGTTTGTTCATGTAAGCACTCACCGTCCATCTGTGCATCTGTTCATGCATTCATTCACTCATTTTGTAAGTAGACCTAACTGACCATCCTCTGTGTACAGGGCTCTTCCCCCAAGGGTCATAAGCTGTTAGGCTGCAAGGATTCTGTGAGTGCTGGTGAGGCTGTGCTGGTTCCGTGTCAGTCCCCCAACCACTCCGGCAGCCGCCCCAGCACCAGCGCCACCAGCTCCAACTTCCAGATTTCCACCTCCAGCTACGAGTCCAGCGACAGCATTACAGGTAGGGATGTCATTGTTGGCCAGGACTATGATAATAGGGCCACTAATATAGTGCTGAAGTCCACACCACATGGGCATACTCTAAGTGCATACAGATAAACAGATTAGCAATAGGCAGCAATTAAGTGAGTGAGTGAGTGAGTTTAGTTTTACGCTTCACTCAGCAATATTCCAGCTATATGGCGGCGGTCTGTAAATAATCAAGTCTGGACCAGACAATCCAGTGATCAACAGCATGAGTATCAATCCGCGAAATTGGGAACCGATGACATGTGTCAACCAAGTCAGCGAGCCTGACCACCCGGGCAGCAATTAAGGAACAGATGGGTCTTTAGACTAGGAAGGAAGGTGCACATCCAAGCTGAAGGGAGGAGAGATCCATACCACATCAACAGTGTTTGAAGGATCTATTCATTTCCTTGTGGATGTACATTAATTAAAAGTTACTCAAAACCCTCTACACCTAATTCATTGTCAAATCATTCAGAGATGTCTCTTGGATTGATCTGCTTCAGATTCAGCCGACAACAGCACGCCTCACCCTCGTGATGGTGCCATGAACAAGCCGCAGTCTGGGTCGGACACTAACTGCCGAATCAATGCTGGACTGGCTACACGATCACTGGGGTCGGCCATGTTCCCTGATGAAGATACTGAGGAAGGAATATTCCACATGGAGGTCCTGTTTGCTGTGCAGAGATGGTTCTCCTCCATGGGCTGGCCAGGGGGACCCTTTCCCATCACCATTCCAGAGTCTCTCCGAGTGTAAGTAGAAACCAATACCAGTCTCTCCCAGTGTAGGTACATCACCATACCAGAGTCTCTCCCAGTGTAGGTACATCACCATACCAGAGTCTCTCCGAGTGTAAGAAGAAACCAATACCAGAGTCTCTCCCAGTGTAGGTACATCACCATACCAGAGTCTCTCCCAGTGTAGGCACATCACCATACCAGAGTCTCTCCCAGTGTAGGTACATCACCATACCAGAGTCTCTCCCAGTGTAGCTACATCAGCATACTAGAGTCTCTCCCAGTGTAGGCACATCACCATACCAGAGTCTCTCCCAGTGTAGGCACATCACCATACCAGAGTCTCTCCCAGTGTAGGTACATCACCATACTAGAGTCTCTCCCAGTGTAGGTACATCACCATACCAGAGTCTCTCCCAGTGTAGGTACATCACCATACCAGAGTCTCTCCCAGTGTAGGCACATCACCATACCAGAGTCTCTCCCAGTGTAGGCACATCACCATTCCAGAGTCTCTCCCAGTGTAGGCACATCACCATTCCAGAGTCTCTCCAAGTGTAGGCACATCACCATACCAGAGTCTCTCCCAGTGTAGGTACATCACCATACCAGAGTCTCTCCCAGTGTAAGTATCAACCAATACCAGTCTCTCCCAGTGTAGGCACATCACCATACCAGAGTCTCTCCCAGTGTAGGTACATCACCATACCAGAGTCTCTCCCAGTGTAAGTATCAACCAATACCAGTCTCTCCCAGTGTAGGCACATCACCATACCAGAGTCTCTCCCAGTGTAGGCACATCACCATACCAGAGTCTCTCCCAGTGTAGGTACATCACCATACTAGAGTCTCTCCCAGTGTAGGTACATCACTATACCAGAGTCTTTCCCTCTGTAGCTACATCACCATAGTCGAGTCTCTCCCAGTGTAGGTACATCACCATACCAGAGTCTCTCCCAGTGTAGGTACATCAGCATACCAGAGTCTCTCCCAGTGTAGGCACATCACCATACCAGAGTCTCTCCCAGTGTAGGCAGATCACCATACCAGAGTCTCTCCCAGTGTAGGTACATCTCAATACTGGAGTCTCTCCCAGTGTAGGCACATCACCATACCAGAGTCTCTCCCAGTGTAGGCACATCACCATACCAGTCTCTCCCAGTGTAGGCACATCACCATACCAGTGTCTCTCCCAGTGTAGCTACATCACCATACCAGAGTCTCTCCCAGTGTAGGCACATCACCATACCAGAGTCTCTCCCAGTGTAGGTACATCAACATACCAGAGTCTCTCCGAGTGTAAGTAGAAACCAATACCAGTCTCTCCCAGTGTAGGCACATCACCATACCAGAGTCTCTCCCAGTGTAGGCACATCACCATACTAGAGTCTCTCCCAGTGTAGGCACATCACCATACCAGAGTCTCTCCCAGGTAGGCACATCACCATTCCAGAGTCTCTCCCAGTGTAGGCACATCACCATTCCAGAGTCTCTCCAAGTGTAGGCACATCACCATACCAGAGTCTCTCCCAGTGTAGGTACATCACCATACCAGAGTCTCTCCCAGTGTAAGTATCAACCAATACCAGTCTCTCCCGGTGTAGGCACATCACCATACCAGAGTCTCTCCCAGTGTAGGTACATCACCATACCAGAGTGTCTCCCAGTGTAAGTTGAAACCAATACCAGCCTCTCCCAGTGTAGGCACATCACCATTCCAGAGTCTCTCCAAGTGTAGGCACATCACCATACCAGAGTCTCTCCCAGTGTAGGTACATCACCATACCAGAGTCTCTCCCAGTGTAAGTATCAACCAATACCAGTCTCTCCCAGTGTAGGCACATCACCATACCAGAGTCTCTCCCAGTGTAGGTACATCACCATACCAGAGTCTCTCCCAGTGTAAGTATCAACCACCATACCAGAGTCTCCCAGTGTAGGCACATCACCATACCAGAGTCTCTCCCAGTGTAGGCACATCACCATACCAGAGTCTCTCCCAGTGTAGGTACATCACCATACAGAGTCTCTCCCAGTGTAGGTACATCACTATACCAGAGTCTTTCCCCTGTGTACATCACCATAGTCAGAGTCTCCCAGTGTAGGTACATCACCATACCAGAGTCTCTCCCAGTGTAGGTACATCAGCATACCAGAGTCTCTCCCAGTGTAGGCACATCACCATACCAGAGTCTCTCCCAGTGTAGGCAGATCACCATACCAGAGTCTCTCCCAGTGTAGGTACATCTCAATACTGGAGTCTCTCCCAGTGTAGGCACATCACCATACCAGAGTCTCTCCCAGTGTAGGCACATCACCATACCAGTGTAGGCACATCACCATACCAGAGTCTCTCCCAGTGTAGGCACATCACCATACCAGAGTCTCTCCCAGTGTAGGTACATCAGCATACCAGAGTCTCTCCCAGTGTAGGAACATCACCATACCAGAGTCTCTCCCAGTGTAGGTACATCACCATACCAGAGTCTCTCCCAGTGTAGGTACATCAGCATACCAGAGTCTCTCCCAGTGTAGGTACATCAGCATACCAGAGTCTCTCCCAGTTTAGGAACATCAGCATACCAGAGTCTCTCCCAGTGTAGCTACATCACCATACCAGAGTCTCTCCCAGTGTAGGTACATCACCATACCAGAGTCTCTCCCAGTGTAGCTACATCACCATACCAGAGTCTCTCCCAGTGTAGGCACATCACCATACCAGTTTAGGAACATCAGCATACCAGAGTCTCTCCCAGTGTAGGTACATCAGCATACCAGTGTCTCTCCCAGTGTAGCTACATCACCATACCAGAGTCTCTCCCAGTGTAGGTACATCACCATACCAGAGTCTCTCCCAGTGTAGGTACATCAGCATACCAGAGTCTCTCCCAGTGTAGGCAGATCACCATACCAGAGTCTCTCCCAGTTTAGGAACATCAGCATACCAGAGTCTCTCCCAGTGTAGGTACGTCACCATACTTGAGTCTCTCCCAGTGTAGGTACATCACCATACCAGAGTCTCTCCCAGTGTAGGAACATCACCATACCAGAATGTCTCCCAGTGTAGTTACATCACCATACTAGAGTCTCTCCCAGTGTAGGCAGATCACCATACCAGAATGTCTCCCAGTGTAGTTACATCACCATACCAGAGTCTCTCCCAGTGTAGGTACATCAGCATACCAGAGTCTCCCAGTGTAGCTACATCACCATACCAGAGTCTCTCCCAGTGTAGGAACATCACCATACTAGAGTCTCTCCCGGTGTAGGAACATCACCATACCAGAGTCTCCCAGTGTAGCTACATCACCATACACAATATCAATCTGTCCCAGTGTTAGACCATCACAATGTTATGTTTTAGTGTTTGTTGATTTGTTTCAGGGATGACCGGCCACGCTCCGTGTAAGTGAAGGATCTAGAGTCTATATGATGTAGCTGACAGACTGTATAACATCAGTAGTTGTTCCTAACTCAGGGAAACATGTAGATTCACTCACTGCTTCAGATATATATCAATTATAACACTAACTGGCTATATATATTGTGCTATATACCCACCTTACAGGGGCTTGCTCAAAGCGCTGCACTTATATTACGCCAGTCAATAAATCATTGTACACTGGATTCCATTCTCAAACTCCCTAGGGAGTATATATAATCAAAGCTTCCTGTGAAGCACTAAAGGGTTAACAGCACCCATGATCATGTCCATCCAATCATGAGTATAGTGATAATATTACTGTGCATTTAAACAGATATGTGTACCGGAGGAACATGACTTCCACCTGTGTTAACATTATTTCATGTACTATCCATATGGTGAAACATAACCAGTGTCATATATATCATATTAGCACATGTGCAAATAACACTTCGCCTAGCAACCATTGTTTCTGTATTAAGTTGTCTGTGATGTCATTAAACAATTGAACGTGACATCAATGAACAGGGCAGTCACACTTGCTTACCATGTTTTACTGCACAAATGTACATGAATAAAATGGATACTAAAGAAATTATTACACTCGCAAGTGTGCCACACGACTTATACGAAACTCGGGCAATACAAAATTTCACACTCGTTTCGTAAACGCCGTATGACATACTTGCTCCTGTAATAATTTCTATTTATGAATCAATTTTAAATCAGTATGCCACAGTATGTGCACTATATCTGCACATGCTGTCATATTTAGCATGCATCCAATTACTGACAAACTTCAACTAATTAGCAAAGACCTATAATTAGTGATTCTGTAGATATATTTTCTTCTTTCCTTTCATCTGACCAATCTGAGCATCTCTCATCAAGAAAGCATACTTAGGAATGTGTTCCCTAATCATGCAGCCTTGAAGTGGTTAACACAGGAAACCACAGTTACAGGCTGCATGACTGTACTTCATCATCAACCATGAATCCACATGGGTACAATGTGTGAAGCCCATTTCTGGTGTCCCCCGCCGTGATGTTGCTGGAATATTGCTAAAAGCGGCGTAAAACCAAACTCAGTCAGTCAGTCAGTCATCATCAACCATCTCTCACTTAAATGGTCTGAACATTTAAACAAAAGTGACTAGCTTCTATAGTGCCTGACAAACTTGACTATCTGTTAGACATTCCAAACTGTTCATTTTTAAAACTTTGACTAGAGAACATGTAGAGACAATATAATATATGGAATGGAAGTAACCAGTAGCAAGTACAAGAGCAAGGTTGAGAAAGCTGCTATCAGAGTGGCTAATGTCCTCTGTTCATCAGTTTACTGGCTCATCAATGTTCAAGAAAAGTTGTTCTTACATTACCAGCAATGGATGTACGCAGACCTTTGTTTAGTGGGAGCGATAACTAAGATATGATTTTAATAAAATTGGTCCAGCATTTTGCTCTGTGATAGATAGGAAGGAATCTTTAGCTTGAATGATAGACTTTACAACTAGAAGTGATGGCAGCAATGAACAGATTTCTTCATGAAGGACATGTGGAATGTTTTGAACATATTTTTCTGAGAATTACATGCATGATATGAAATATGTGTTGAACAATTTCTCCATGAAATACATGTGGTATGTACTGTACCATTTCTCCAGGGTTTAAATGTGGTATGCGCTCCACAAATGACATGTACTATATTTCAAACTGTTACCCGTGAAAGTCTGGGTTAGAATATTGATCTTCAGTAACCCATGCTTGTCGTAAGAGGCGACTAATGGGATCGGGTGGTCAGGCTCGCTGACTTGGTTGACACATGTCATCGGTTCCCAATTGAGCAGGTCGATGCTCATGCTGTTGATCACTGGATTGTGTGGTCCAGACTCAATTATTTACAGACAACTTCCATATAGCTGGAATATTGCTGAGTGCGACATAAAACTAAACTCACTCACTCACTCACTTCTCCAGGAATAACATGTAGTACAGTTTATATATTGTTTATACAATACTTGTCTGTGTATCATTGTCCAGGTGTCAGTGATGACACACACACTCTGAGCTGAACATCAGTTTGATCAGTGATTACACAGTATGTACAGAATCTCTGTATGTTGTAGGGGTATCACCCGTAAGCCAGCGGAGGAAGAGCGTGGCAAGGGGCCAAAGTCTGGAGGCTGGGACACCAACAACCTCAAAAAAGACTTTAAGACCATCTATGACATGATCAGTCATCTGAGTGGACGCCCTGTCCCTGGCATCCCCCTCAACTCCTCCCTCCCCGCAGACCCACTAGAGAGAGTCAAGCAGATCTACTGGCAGCACTCAACCCTTCTCACCTTCCTCAGGTAATTCATTTCCTGGTGTAATCTACAAGTTCATTTCCCCAGGTAAGGTTTTGTTGAATTGACCTGTTCACTTATCAAGTTAAGTTGTTATTGAATCAACTTGTTTACTTTCTCAGGTAAGGTATTAATAAATTGACCTGTTTCACTTTCTCAGCTAAGTCATAGTTGAATCAAACTGTCCACTTTCTCAGGTATGTCATTGGTGAATTGACCTGTTCACATTCTCAGGTAAGTCATTGGTGAATCAACCTGTTTACTTTCTCAGGTAAGTAATTGGTGAATCAACCTGTTTACTTTCTCAGGTAAGTCATTGGTGAATCAACATGTTAACTTTCTCAGGTAAGTCATTGGTGAATCAACCTGTTCACTTTCTCAGGTAAGTCATTGGTGAATTGACCTGTTCACTTTCTCAGGTAAGTCATTGGTGAATCAACCTGTTCACTTTCTCAGGTAAGTCATTGGTGAAACGACCTGTTCACTTTCTCAGGTAAGTCATTGGTGAATCAACCTGTTCACTTTCTCAGGTAAGTCATTGGTGAATCAACCTGTTCACATTCTCAGGTAAGTCATTGGTGAATCAACCTGTTCACTTTCTCAGCTGATTCAGACCAAGTTATTTCTTGTTTATTAGATGTTTGTGTTGGTTTGTGCAGGTGTCAGGGAGCCTGTGTGGCTGCAATCAGGCCGGAGCATCTGATGGAGCCACGTGACTACAGTCTGTGGAAACGTCTTCAGCAGCAGCTCCAGATGGAGCTGGTGAACCAGGGTATGACTGAGGAGGCTGGTCGTATCCATGACGATGAGGAAGAGCTGGAGGAGGAGGTGTTTGAAGCTGTGTCCAAGAGAGCATGGACGGATATACTGCTTCAGATATACAAGGTGAGACAGAGGTGGCACAGCAGGTACACATTGTCTTACAGGCCTGTAATATTCAATGACAAATTAGAATAATTACTATAATATGGTCCCATGTCACAATGGTGTGCATGTACAGTGATTACAAGGGTGCAGAGACCTGCCAGTATTGGGCCTACTTTATAAATGTGTCTACTCCTTGTGCCTTCCTTATCTCCAACACTGAGAAGTGCTGATATACACTAGGGGTCTGGACAAGATGGGGACAGGCTGGGGAAGATCTTCATGACGTAGATCCATATGACACTCATCTTTCATTTGCAGTCTCTGGTCCTGGCAAAGATTACACCTCGCACACTGAAGACCATGGCGTCTCCTGACCGCCATGTGACCCTACCAAGTATCAACCCTGACCCTCTGTCCAGCAACATCTACTGTGTGTCTGAGCGGATAGTCTTGTCCTGGCTGAACCACCATTTTGAACACTATCGGCATTCAGTGTGGGAAAACTGTCCTAATGGTATGTCAGTCCGTAAGCGTGGGGGACCTGAAATATGAACAAAATGTATCTGGTTACATTTGATCATAATTTTGAGTCACACAAAGTTATTGAATAAATATGTTTCATGTTGTTTCTCTCAATTTTGTTTTCCTTCATTCAAAGGTGGGGTCCCATCCTCAAGATGGATAGTCAACTATGACTTTGACCTTCTGGATGGCCTGGTGTTTGGTGCAGTGTTGGGAGCTCACATGCCCTTCCTGGTGAGTGTACAGTGTTGAGAGCTCACATGCCCTTCCTGGTAAATATGTGCAGTGTTGGGAGCTCTCATGCCTGTTTTCTCCCAAACATGCAATTGTTGACATGAGCAAAGTCTAATCATGTGTTTTAATCTTCCTGCTACAGGAAATCATTCTGAATGTCCTGTGTTCTAGTGTTTGTCATGGAAATTTATGTTTCAGTGTTGGCAATTATTCTGTATGTCTTCTGGGTTTTTTTGTGTGTTTTTTTCGCGGAATGTTCCATGGTGTCTGGTGTATGTTCTAGTTTTTGTCATTGAACATTCCAATGTACCGTCTGAATGTCTGGTGTTTGTGATGAGTGAGTGAGTGATTATGGTTTTTCACAACTTTTAGCAATTTTCCAGCAATATCACAGTTAGGGACACCAGAATGGGCTTCACACACTGTACCCATGTGGGGAATCAAACCCGGATCTTCAGCATGATGAGCAGACACTTTAACCATTAGGCTACCCGACGCCTCTGTTTGTCATGACCTGGTGTGTGTAGTGGAATGTTGGACAGTATCTGCTGAATGTCATGCATGCTGGTGTTTGTCATGACCTACTGAATGTCATGCATGCTAGTGTTTGTCATGACCTACAGAATGTTTTGCATGCTGGTGTTTGTCATGACCTACTGAATGTTTTGCATGCTGGTGTTTGTCATGACCTACTGAATGTCATGCATGCTGGTGTTTGTCATGACCTACTGAATGTCATGCATGCTGGTGTTTGTCATGACCTACTGAATGTTTTGCATGCTGGTGTTTGTCATGACCTACTGAATGTTTTGCATGCTGGTGTTTGTCATGACCTACTGAATGTCATGCATGCTGGTGTTTGTCATGACCTACTGAATGTCATGCATGCTGGTGTTTGTCATGACCTACTGAATGTTTTGCATGCTGCTGTTTGTCATGACCTACTGAATGTCATGCATGCTGGTCTTTGTCATGACCTACTGAATGCTTTGCATGCTGGTGTTTGTCATGACCTACTGAATGTCATGCATGCTGGTGTTTGTCATGACCTACTGAATGTTTGTGTTGCAGATTGCGAGCCACCTAAAGGACATGTACACCCATCCAACCAATGCTGAGCAGTGCCTGCACAATGCCCTCAAGGTCGTGTCTGCCATGAGATATGCGGGGATTGACTATGATATACAGGTGAGGGGACCTCTACACATACTATATGTTTTGTTTCATCAGCAAGATCTTTCAAAACTGAGCCCCATTTGATCATGATTCTACCTCTGACTCTACTTTGATTCTTGTAAATTAACAATACTTACTTCTCAGGCTGCTTATTTAAACATTAACACAACAAAAACTGTAAACAACAAAATAAAACAACTGCCATTGTTCAGAGCAATAACGCAACTCGCGCAGTCCCCTTCAGTCATCCACCAGTCAGGAAACAGTTGTCTACCAGTGGGCCATGGCCTTATTCTCTTTAGATTTATTTGACCATACATGCAAAAATATTTCAAACTATTACTTTATCAAGTGCGATGAAATCACCTGTAATATATTTATATAAATATCAGTGTAACAGTTAGTATCCAGAGTTTTTGTTAGATTAATGGAGGTTTTTTGACGAACTGGGTTTCACTGTATAAAAGGGTAGCATTCTCATGATGCAGAGGTATATAGACTATTGAAAACATATTCACAAACTATCATAGATAACTTCATTCTCCTGAAGGTTTTGTATGGGCAGATCGTTTCATGCTTCTCTGCTGTTTCCAGGCCATCGACATCACCGACCCGAACCCCATCTCCCTGCTCCTACTCAGTGTTCACCTGTACCAGCACCTACCTCAGTACCTCCCCAAGTCTACTGTCGACTTCACTGGCAGTCTACACGACACAGTCGCCAGACAGGTAAACATTGGGCCATAGTGTGTGCCAGCTGTTGGTTGTAGCAGTGAAGACAGGATGGTCTATTTAATAGACTTATTTAAAATGTTGATTATGTTGGAGATATTGTCAAAGGAGCTACCTGTTTTGTGAACAACTGGTAATGATAATGTTGCTGTTTGAGGTTCGTCTTTGTCTTTTATTACCACAGCGCTAAGCAATAGTTGGCTATATGTCGACAGTCTGGGAATAATCAACAGTCAAGTAATTCACATAATGAACTTTGATTTCTGTAATTGGGATTTCATGACATGCATCAACCAGATCACTTAACCAGGGCCTCCTTTCACAAAGCACTAAGGTGATCGTAAGTCACTAAGGTAACCTTAGTGCAGTGTTAAAGAATGGGAGTTAAGGTTAACCTTAGTAAAGGTTGCTTCGTGAAAGGATCCCCTGACCATGCAATCTTACAGTCACTAAGGTAACGTTAGTGCAGTGTTAAAGAAAGGCAGTTAAGGTTAACCTTAGTAAAGGTTGCTTCGTGAAAGGATCCCCTGACCATGCAATCTTACAGGTGCTTCCTTCAAAAACCATGGGCTGCTGAAGTCCAATTCTAACCCAAGTTCGTCAACTACAGTTGTTGAACAAACAGAAGATGGTTTGTGACTTAAGTTGATAGACAAGTAATCATTGTAAATCTAACAGAGTGCAAGGGGACTGCTTGGTAGTGAGTGAAATTTAGAATTATGATAATCAGTGTTTAGTTTGTACAATAAGGACATTTAGAATGAACGTATTTTATTTCCACCTAGATTAAATTCATTCATCAAAACATGTAAAGTTTTCTAATTTTAAAATTCAAGGGTCTGCATAGCTTTGAAGGGAGCTACTAAATGAGCAGATTTGTTAGTGCTAGCATGTGACTGTAGGTGACCTTACCCTCTCTATGTTCAGGTGAAGTTGAGCAATCCCAGTGGTAAGCCGTTGGTGTACCAAGTACTGGTGGCAGGAAGAGATGCCCGGAACTTCCGTATCCCAAAGGGGGATGTCATCACAGTCCCGGCCCGCAGCACGTTCCCCATGGCTGTAGAGTTCACCAGCTGCTTCCTACGACCAGCTGAAGCTGTGCTGGTATTGGTTGGACGCAGACAGGGATCAGCCACTGCAACAACCTTAACCTTTAACCTTCGAACACAAATTGATAACATCACACCCAAGGTACATTTGTGTAGAATTTGCTGCTGATTATTTAAATATTTTCTCAATGCTATCATTATATAATCTGATTGCAGTATAAGCTGTTCATCTCCTCAATGCATATTCAGTTGGTTTTCTCAAAATATTTGCTTGCTTCTTTTAATACTTTCAATACCTTATTTACCCATTCCTTATCTAGTCATATTTTTATCTTATATCCAAACTTAGTGATTTTTAGTGAATAATGTGTGTTAATCATAATTCTAACACTTCTGTCTAGCTGAAAATCTTGTCTGTCTTAATTAGCATGCATGATACAGTACCAATGCCTCTGCTTACAGACTTCAAGCAACTGTGAGGTATATGGTTTGTTTTGATAATCTTGTGGTTTGTTTGACTAACTCTTACTAACTGAGTGCTGCTGTTGCTTTCCTGTTCTGAGATTAATTAACTTATCTAATCCGTGATCTTTTCAGGGTCCACTTGCACAAAAGGATCTAACACTGACTTTCCGCAGTTGTAGGTCTAACAAAGCTTTGTGCATGTGGGCCCTGGGCCCTTTCTCACAAAGCTGTTGCAGCACAAAGACTGGCTTCAGTAGATGTTAAGCTTTTGAAGCTGCAACTATTGTAGGCCAATGACTGGTTTGTTCACGTATGGTTAAGTGATGTCTATCACGTGACATGACATATCAGTGCAGTTGACAATATACACACAGGATTATCTACCCCTGTGTTAAGATTCTTCAGTTCCCTTTCGGTTTTACTCTGATTTTGGAATGTATTATTTTCCCGTCCGCCCAGGTCAGGTCTGAATTTCCCATTTCACTATGGCTCCTTTTCAATTTAAACTTTACCTTGACAAATGTGTCTCTGTTCATTCACCGCACTTCATATGGCACCAACTAGACAACGTCACAAAAAATGTTTGGATTTTTTAAATATATGTACATTGAGTTTGTTGTTGCCCCTGCTGACAGAGACGGGCTTGAAGGTAAGTGGGACAGTATTTCTACTGTATGTGCTCTTGGCCCAATCACTCACTAGCTGTCTTCTCTGTTCGTGTTTCACTGGCTACCTTATTTGTCAGGTTGGAATAGAGACAGTAACCGATTTTTACCACTTGGTGATGTAGGTCCCTGATAACCCATGATTGCCACATGTCCCCAGTTGCCACTACTGGACACAATAGGTCCCTGATAACCCATGATTGCCACAAGTCCCCAGTTGCCACTACAGGACACAATGGGTCCCAGATAACCCATGAATGTCCCAAGTTCCCAGTTGCCAAAAGTGGACACAATAGGTCCCAGATAACCCATGATTGCCACAAGTCCCCAGTTGCCACTACTGGACACAATAGGTCCCAGATAACCCATGAATGTCCCAAGTCCCCAGTGGCCACTACTGAACACAATAGGTCCCAGATAACCCATGATTGCCACAAGTCCCCAGTTGCCACTACTGGACACAATAGGTCCCAGATAACCCATGATTGCCACAAGTCCCCAGTTGCCACTACAGGACACAATAGGTCCCTGATAACCCATGATTGCCACAAGTCCCCAGTTGCCACTACTAAACACAATAGGTCCCAGATAACCCATGAATGTCCAAAGTCCCGAGTTGCCACTACTGAACACAATAGGTCCCAGATAACCCATGATTGCCACAAGTCCCCAGTTGCCACTACTGGACACAATATGTCCCAGATAACCCATGATTGCCACAAGTCCCCAGTTGCCACTACTGAACACAATAGGTCCCAGATAACCCATGATTGCCACAAGTCCCCAGTTGCCACTACTGGACACAATAGGTCCCAGATAACCCATGATTGCCACAAGTCCCCAGTTGCCACTACTGAACACAATAGGTCCCAGATAACCCATGATTGCCACAAGTCCCCAGTTGCCACTACTGAACACAATAGGTCCCTGATAACCCATGATTGCCACAAGTCCCCAGTTGCCACTACTGAACACAATAGGTCCCTGATAACCCATGATTGCCACAAGTCCCCCAGTTGCCACTACTGAACACAATAGGTCCCTGATAACCCATGATTGCCACAAGTCCCCAGTTGCCACTACTGAACACAATAGGTCCCTGATAACCCATGATTGCCACAAGTCCCCAGTTGCCACTACTGAACACAATAGGTCCCTGATAACCCATGATTGCCACAAGTCCCCAGTTGCCACTACTGAACACAATAGGTCCCCTGATAACCCATGATTGCCACAAGTCCCCAGTTGCCACTACTGAACACAATAGGTCCCTGATAACCCATGATTGCCACAAGTCCCCAGTTGCCACTACTGAACACAATAGGTCCCTGATAACCCATGATTGCCACAAGTCCCCAGTTGCCACTACTGGACACAATAGGTCCCTGATAACCCATGATTGTCACAAGTCCCCAGTTGCCACTACTGAACACAATAGGTCCCTGATAACCCATGATTGCCACAAGTCCCCAGTTGCCACTACTGAACACAATAGGTCCCTGATAACCCATGATTGCCACAAGTCCCCAGTTGCCACTACAGGACACAATAGGTCCCAGATAACCCATGATTGCCACAAGTCCCCAGTTGCCACTACTGAACACAATAGGTCCCAGATAACCCATCATTGCCACATGTCCCCAGTTGCCACAATAGCAGTCTAAGTAAACTTAGGCTCAATATTATTTGTTACATTGCTGTACTGAGTCTAAAAAACCCTAGTAGAAGGTCACGTCAGCTAATCTTTGAGCGACCTATGACCGTCCAATCAAACTCGAGACGGACGAACGCATTTAACCGATCAGACAACAGCTACTATTTAAGGTTTCAGTGGGACTTACAAAACGGTTTTGGATTTTTTCTCCCCGGTCGCTGACACAGATTTCTCAACAAACGAACATCCACATAAAACACAGATATTTGATCTGCAGTATATACACTTAGGGGTTTCTGATGACATGGTTAGGGTTAGCTTATATTTCCGCAAAATCACCTCCTGGAATATTGACAAAAATGCTATATTCAGCGACTGTTTACTCATTGTGTATCACTCGTAAGCGATCATGCGGATAAAAGCACTCGGAATCGTGTGTTTTCGAAGTAAAAGTTCAAATGGTATGTGCGAATGTTACTTTTGCAATTTGTTATGCTGCGTTCTGATTGGTCAATTCAAAAGGTTAGCTGACGACCTTCTACTAGGGTTTGTCAGACTCAGTATAGAGTTTAGAGTTTACTTAGACTGAACACAATAGGTCCCTGATAGCTCATGATTGTCACTAGTCAAAAGTTGCCCTGATTGTGCACACAAAAGCCCCCAACAAGCCATGCTAATGTCACAAGTCCACAGTCAATGTCACTGACTGCTTATTGTGGATGTAATTTTTTTAGTTATAAAACTGTGAACTGCTGGATTGTCTGCACCAGACCACTGTGATTGGACAATCAGACATCGGTATTTATTCAGTATGATGACACACAGCCTGTTCACTCAGTACAACCAGATAAGCTGCTGCTGTCGATGGCATTACTGAACATGACATACTTGATGTGATGGAGGAGGCTGTGTCCTGCAGTAATAAAGCAATGCACGACTGTATTGCCTTACTGTTATTGTACAACATGCCGTCCAGGTTCACTCAGTACAACCAGATAAGCTGCTGCTGTCGATGGCGTTACTGAACATGACATACTTGATGTGATGGAGGAGGCTGTGTCCTGCAGTAATGCACCGACTGTACTGCCTTACTGTTATTGTACAACATGCCGTCCAGGGTCACTCAGTACAACCAGATAAGTTGCTGCTGTCGATGGCGTTACTGAACATGACATACTTGATGTGATGGAGGAGGCTGTGTCCTGCAGTAATGCACCGACTGTACTGCCTTACTGTTATTGTACAACATGCCGTCCAGGGTCACTCAGTACAACCAGATAAGCTGCTGCTGCTGTCGATGTCCGCGTTACTGAACATGACATACTTGATGTGATGGAGGAGGGTGTGTCCTGCAGTGAGACACTCTAAAGCAATGCACTGACTGTACTGCCTTACTGTTATTGTACAACATGCCGTCCAGGGTCACTCAGTACAACCAGATAAGCTGCTGCTGTCGCGTATGCTTACTGAACATGACATACTTGATGTGATGGAGGAGGGTGTGTCCTGCAGTGAGACACTCTAAAGCAATGCACTGACTGTACTGCCTTACTGTTATTGTACAACATGCCGTCCAGGGTCACTCAGTACAACCAGATAAGCTGCTGCTGTCGATGGCGTTACTGAACATGACATACTTGATGTGATGGAGGAGGCTGTGTCCTGCAGTAATGCACCGACTGTACTGCCTTACTGTTATTGTACAACATGCCGTCCAGGGTCACTCAGTACAACCAGATAAGTTGCTGCTGTCGAGCAATAAACCAGATATGGCTGACATACTTACTGACATGACATACTTGATGTCCTGGAGGCTGTGTCCTGCAGTAATGCACCGACTGTACTGCCTTACTGTTATTGTACAACATGCCGTCCAGGGTCACTCAGTACAACCAGATAAGCTGCTGCTGTCGATGGCGTTACTGAACATGACATACTTGATGTGATGGAGGAGGGTGTGTCCTGCAGTGAGACACTCTAAAGCAATGCACCGACTGTACTGCCTTACTGTTATTGTACAACATGCCGTCCAGGTTCACTCAGTACAACCAGATAAGTTGCTGCTGTCGATGGCGTGTTTCTGAACATGACATACTTGATGTGATGGAGGAGGCTGTGTCCTGCAGTGAGACACTCTAAAGCAATGCACCGACTGTACTGCCTTACTGTTATTGTACAACATGCCGTCCAGGTTCACTCAGTACTCACAGCATGCTATGCACACAATACCTGTAGGGAAATACCTGTTCGTATCACATAGCCGCAGTCAATGCACAGGAAGCATGCATAAGTTCAAACTGTTGTCTTATTGAAAATCACTGCCCTAGTTTAAATTTAATTGATAGGTTAATATTCAAACTGTAGTTTTAAGTAATCTTTCCTATATTGAATAAAGTTTATTATGCCAATGTATTAAGGGACTGTTCATAATTTATGGCTAGAGTTGGTGATGATGATTTTAAGGGGAGTCATCCATTTTGTTCTGGTGAGGTTGTGTGTCATGTTGTATGTCTAGGGGTCACCTTTCTTTGTACATGACAAGTGTGTGTGTGGGGGTGGGGTGGGGTCCACTTTCTTTGTACATAATTTTTTTTATTTATATTTTTATTTTTATTTTTATTTATTTATTTATATTTCCATATTTTTTGGGGGCATATTGTACATACTTCTCCATATAAAACATCATCACCTCGCTTGCCATAAATTATGAACGGTCCTTACAGACCACTAATTACAGGGTATAGTTTTCATTACAATACACAATTTGCTTTCCTTTGTATGTCCAGCATAGTATTTGATCTAATACTACACTAATGAACTGACGCTGTGACAATGTTTGCACCAGCATGGTACTTTAATGTGTCTGTTCTTGTCTAGCAGTGGAGTTAGAGAATCTCACAACAGTGTCTTTTGATACCAAATGCATCAGCATGGATCAAGGAAAGTTGAAAACACTGTGGCTTCCTGAGGGGTTTTAGTAATTTATCAAAGATTGTTGATCTATTTAATATCAAAAGGACACAAGAGTAAGATTCTATTTACAATCTGAAATCCCACTTACAATTTTTTTTCAGTTTGTAATTTTTACAGTTATGATCTGGAGTGTACAAAGTACAACTGACCAGCTTAGTGGCTGAGAGTATAGTGATATCAGTTGAATGTGATGCCAATTGATTGTGAAGCCAAAGTGAACAATGACATGAGAATGGTCTTCCAAGCATTATGATGCAATATCACTGAAGCTGCATCTCCTAGGTTCCAGTAGGTTCCAGTAGGTTCCAGTAGGTTCCAGTAGGTTCCCAGCAACCTGGCCATAGGACTCAACATAATGGTTCAAGTTTTGAAAGACTGAGTGGATCGTTACCACAAACATCAATCACTGGATTGTGTGACCCAGACTCAGATATTTACAGACTGCTGTCATATATTGGAATATTACTGAGTGCATCATTAAACAAACACAAACACTGATTCCGTAGCAGTCAGTTGCTGTATAACCCTGTTTGTATTACAGTCCACAGTCAAGGTAGAGTCTCCATGTTACGAGCTAGAACGCATCCTGCTAGACGTCACCAACCCATTTGACGAAGGAGCCGAGTTTCGCATCATCCTAGTGGAAGCAAGCAATGATGCGGCACTGGACCCAAGTAAACCCACTGCCCTCATGAGACCCAAGGAAAAGAAAAAGAAGGTGATCAAGTCCAAGGTGAACCATGGACAGAAGCGACCTGATACACCACCTTCTTCACCTACTGTTAAGCCTGGAGAGACTGCAGAGATCATTGATGCACAGAAAGGTTTGCTTGTTTCTCTGACTTGTACCATAACAACCTCCATGACAATTTACCAGGTTTAACTTAGGTAGATTACCATTTTGTCTGTGTTATCCCAGTTCTAATTGAGAACCATTAATTACTATTGTTCCCCTTAGGGCAGCAGTTTTATTTGTTGTGTTTCTCATCGCCCGACCGATCCTTCTAATTTTATTGCCGACGACCCCAAAAATTTTCTTTCTTTTTTCATTCCAACACCGCTGACTTGAACCTAAAACATACCGCCTCATCATATAAAATGGTTATATACAAGTATCTAAAATGTTTTAATCAGTCGCTGCCACAAGTCCAACGAATGTGAGAAAGTGTAATAAGAATTACAATAAATGAGATTCAAGAACATTATTTGGATAATTTTGTCTTAATAAGTGGGTTTTTTTAGTTTTCCCCGACCGACCAACCCATGTTCAGAATTTGGTGGCTATGTGAAACACATAAAAAAAAGATGCCCTTTCTGATGCTCATTCACTTACTCCAACCTGTTTTTCTTCTATCCTGCTGCTATCCTTGATGAACGGCTGTATGTGTTCCAGAGGGATCTTCCTCCTCCCTCAGTGCCTTCTTCAGCCCCATGAAGACAGTGTATCTGGACCCACATGCAACGGCAGAAGTCGAAATCCAGTTCCTGCCGTTTGCTGTAGGAGAACGTCAGTGTTCTGTGATTTTTCTTAATGAGACTGTAGGAGAGTTCCTGTACTCCATTGAAGCCAAGGCCAAGCTGCCTCTCCCTTCCATCCTGCCTTTTGTCCCCTCCAACCACAGCGTCAGGATCAGCAGTGCTGCTGCAGCAGGTATGTACAGTACAACATCGTTTTCACCAGCAGGTGTTTCAGTCGTGTTCATATTATGCTTATATCTATTGCCTGTGTTTCTGAGGTCAAAGTACCCCATTTTGTGACTTGTCACCCTTTGGCAGAAATACTGCCAATTCAAATTTAAGTCAGTATTGTGTGAATTCACCCCCAACGTGGAATGGAAGGGTTAGATTAAAAGCTGTGAGTCTCTGTGTGGGATAGTGGTCATTGTATGAGCAATATGTCAGGGCAATGAGTATTTGTCCCTGCCATCCCTGTTTTTGGACACCATTGTATCATCTTGCTGAGAGAGACTACACTTTCACATCCGTCTCACTCCGTTGGTCAGCAGTATGTGCTAATCTGATCAACATGCGACCTTTAGAGTTTGCAACTTGAGTCAAGCAAATTTATGTTTGGTGTCGACAGCTAATAATCATTTATATAATAAATAATCACTAAAATCTATTGGAAATGTTGCTAAGAGCCCGGGCCCTGTTCTTCAAAGTGATCATAGTGTATGTTAAAGTATGGGTGTTATGATTTCCTTGGCTGTACGATCACTTTGTGAAACGGGACCAAGTTGGAGCTAGTTGACTCAAAGTATGTGACACGCGAAGCCTTTATAAACACATGCCAGAGTCCCATCCTTACAGTTAAACATTTGGGTGGCTGCAGGTTCCGGGCGAGGTATGTTTGGTGGAGACGACCGGGTGATATACTGGAAGTGTGAGGCTGGTCAGACATTGAAGGAGAACCTGTTGATCCCCGTCACCAACATGTCCAAGGAGAGAAGTCTCACCCTCGCTGCCCAACAGGTGAGTCCTGCTCTCCACCATCACTGACCACTTCATTGCCATGGTAACATATGGTTTTCTTGGGTAAATGCACATTGTACAGGGTTAGAATTAACACAAACACCAGGGAAAAGATAGCATACCTTTGTAATATCAAAACCATTTGGAAATTGGGCTAGCAGACAAGTGTTGGTTTCTAACCCTGTTGTTCTGGTAACATATGGTTGTCTTGTTAACACATATTGTTGCAATGTTAACACATACTGTAGTCATGGTTACATATATTGTTGTCATGGTAACAGTATTCATGCAGACTGAGTTGATTCTAAATAGTTTCACCACACTAAAGATGACCTTTTCACCTAAGTGTTGAACTGTGGCACATCACCTGCCTAGCAACAAGAAGCACTGTTCACACAGCACCACTAACAACTCCATGCAGAATCAGTTATTCTTGTTTCTCTGATCAGACAGAAATTTGAGGACAAAGTTTCTAGAAGTCATGTGTTTTTTCTAGTACATCTTAGGTAATGGAGAAATAGTGTATGTTGTAGAGATGTACTGGAAATAACATCAAGGTATACAGATCCTCAGTACTGAGACCTTATACACATTTGACAACACCGTGCATGTTATGTCTAGTAGTCCTTCAGATATATAGTAGTGGTGGGGTTTATCATTCGTCACCACTCGCCTCTTCCTGTAACCTCCAAGAAGACTCGTCCCCCACTCGATGCTTGTTATGTGCGAAAATACGACAAACCAATCAGAATGCCCGTAAATGACTGCGGTGCTTTGGTAAAAATAATCCTGAGTACTTAAATCGTTTATGGCATTATGTCATTGTTTAAAAAAATCATGAAAAATATATATCGCCATATTGAAAGTACAAAGAACTTAGCTAACAGGATATTGCTGCCTATTATGAAGTTTTTGATAAGAATCATGCGATTGACGGTGAGAGATTCAAATACACGCACGTTTTTGACATAACGTCTCTCATGGGTCCAACTGAGGGTATTTCTGACGATCTTGCAGGCTTGCTATGGAGATTGTACATGCGCTTCCAACAAGTTGAGGAAATGTAATTATAAATCGCTACGAGTTTCAAAACAATAATATTAGACTTATATCTGTATGCTACTAATCGACTTTAATCTTTAACATTGGGCATATATTTCACATCACTGGGAATATTTTAATCTGACTTTGTTTTTGGTCATTCATATGTTTTTCCGCGAATTCATTAAAAATTCCACCTGGGATATGACAGCAAGGTTACACAAATGTTTAGTTTGAGAAATATTTTAAAGTCATTTTGAGTTTCTGCTTTGGGATTTAATGTAGCTTTTATAAATTCTATTTACATATTTAATAAAACAAATCCCTATGGTGATTATCAAACCCTATTTAGAAATATACTTGGAAATATAAGGTGAACATCTGGTAATAATTACATCAGAATAAGTCTGTAACAAATAAGTTTTTCTCCTTCTTTTAGTTGTATCAAAAAGGTTTAATTCTTTGAAAACATAAACAGCAATACAATGTATGATTACTTCGGTGATATTAAGTACCATTGGAATCAAACAAGAATAGAGTTATCGTTCCTGTTTGAAGTAGGTCTGATGTTCATGCGCCAATATGAAATCCTTCCAGAGGGGCACGAGTAGCTATTCGGCTTGTCCCGAATAACATGAGTTGGTCACGAATGAGGGTTTATGTGAGAATATCCAGAGAATAAAATGAAAATGAATAATTGTACCTCTGTATTTTTTATCTATTTTGCATTTTCTTTTCTGGCTCTATAGATTTTGTAGCGAAATCTGATAAGAATACAAAATGTGTACATTTTTTTAACAAACAACATTTGATAAAATAGTATTTAAAAAGTTAACAGCATTGTTCCATGATATTGTTCTATATGTTTTTGGTTTATTTATCCATTAAAGAATGATTGTGCAAATGCATGTAAGTGTAAACTACTTTTTTACTGATTGTGCTTTTTGCTTAATTTGGTTGCTTCAGTAAAATGAAACATTACAAAAGAGATATCTCGTGATTAGTTATATGCAGGTGCCCCTGTAGAAGACAAAACAAAGGTTATTATCTGTATTGGAAATGTGCTCCACCTGTATGGTGATCAGCTGTTCAGTGCTCCACCTGTATTTACCTGCCCCAGTACCAGGAATCTGTTGTATCTGTTTATCTGTTGTATCATCTGATCAGTCATGGAGTTGGGAGTAACCAGTTTGTTTTTCCACCAGCACATGTCAGACGTGGAGTTGCAACGCCGTCACGTGACCAACACGTTGATGAGTTGTAGCGTGACCGCCAAGACAGTCAAGAAGTTGTCCACTAACCCAGTCTCTGCTGTCCAACAAGCTAAGGTAGATGTGGTTGTAGATGTAGAGGTAGATGTGGTTGAAGATGTGGTTGTAGATGTAGAGGTAGATGTAGAGGTAGATCCAGGGGTGGTTGTAGATGTAGAGGTAGATGTAGAGGTAGATCCAGGGGTGGTTGTAGATGTAGAGGTAGATGTGGTTGAAGATGTAGAGGTAGATCTAGAGGTAGTTGTAGATGTGGTTGTAGATGTAGAGGTAGATCCAGGGGTGGTTGTAGATGTAGAGGTAGATGTAGAGGTAGATCCAGGGGTGGTTGTAGATGTAGAGGTAGATCCAGGGGTGGTTGTAGATGTAGAGGTAGATGTGGTTGAAGATGTAGAGGTAGATCTAGAGGTAGTTGTAGATGTGGTTGTAGATGTAGAGGTAGATCCAGGGGTGGTTGTAGATGTAGAGATAGATGTAGAGGTAGATCCAGGGGTGGTTGTAGATGTGGTTGTAGATGTAGAGGTAGATCCAGGGGTGGTTGTAGATGTGGTTGTAGATGTAGAGGTAGATCCAGGGGTGGTTGTAGATGTAGAGATAGATGTAGAGGTAGATCCAGGGGTGTAGATTGTAGATGTAGAGGTAGATCCAGGGGTTGTAGATGTAGAGGTAGATCCAGGGGTGGTTGTAGATGTGGTTGTAGAGGTAGATCCAGGGGTGGTTGTAGATGTGGTTGTAGATGTAGAGGTAGATCCAGGGGTGGTTGTAGATGTGGTTGTAGATGTAGAGGTAGATCCAGGGGTGGTTGTAGATGTGGTTGTAGATGTAGAGGTAGATCCAGGGGTGGTTGTAGATGTAGAGGTAGATCCAGGGGTGGTTGTAGATGTGGTTGTAGATGTAGAGGTAGATCCAGGGGTGGTTGTAGATGTGGTTGTAGATGTAGAGGTAGATCCAGGGGTGGTTGTAGATGTAGAGGTAGATCCAGGGGTGGTTGTAGATGGGGAGGGAAAATAATGGTTAAGTCATCAATAGAGAAGTTACCATTGGATTAGTCAGAGATATAGTGATCAGAAGTGGTACATACTGGTAAACCTTAAATTCCTAGGGAGAAAAGTACCACTATCAAAGTTGATTGTAAACATTATTACATCCTAATGAAAGTACTTTTATACCCAGTATTCTCATATTTGAGACAAGGAGAACCTAAACCGAAATAAAACAAGAATTAACAAATTACTGAAAAGAACAAAGCTTCTATGACTTACTCTGTAGCCGGTACTAACATGATGTGCCCCTCCTACAGACTCTCCCCCCAGAGGGCATCACCTACACTGTGGAGACGGACTCGGAGTACTTCAAGGTGTCAAAGAAGCTGACCGTACCAAGTCCTGTTGAAGCTCATGCCAATAGCGCCCCACCAAATGTCCGAGTCCCCAGAGGTATGTAGATCATGTCACATGTAGACAGGTGATGACTATGGAAGTGAAGAATTCATAGGTGATGCCTATGTTGTGACAGCTATGTAAGTATTGGCTACCCCTAATGGCTGTGTAAACGATACCCATGCAAATGATGATCACCTATGTAGGTGATGACTATGTAAGTGATGAATTCATAGGTGATGCCTATGTTGTGACAGCTATGTAAGTATTGGCTATCCTGCTGATGGCTGTGTAAGTGATGCCCATGCAAGTGATGATCACCTATGTAGGTGATGACTATGTAAGTGATGAATTCATAGGTGATGCCTATGTTGTGACAGCTATGTAAGTATTGGCTATCCTGCTGATGGCTTTGTAAGTGATGCCATGCAAGTGATGATCTTGTGAGAAGTATGCCGGTGATGACTACATAGGTGATGGACATGTACATTATGACTGTGTAGGCAATTACTATACATGTGTGTCTTTGGTTCAGTGTTTATAATCTGTGAAATCACTTTCAGTATCTCCAGGGGTGATATAGTTTGGCTGCAATCATTAGACAACGTTTACTTTCATGTTGTATGTTGCAAAAGCAGCACCAAGTGTTGTTTGGTTAACAGAATTTCCTGGTTCTGTGTTCAACCTCCAGTTTTACACCAATAATAGTTTTACAAGTCAGCACTGCTTTCATGCCTGTAGGTTTCACAAAAGTGTTTTGACAAGAGTGGTATGGCACACATTATGTTTGGTTTGCTTTTAAGTAAGGCTGACATGTCAGAACTGTACTAGCAGTCAATGAAAATTCACCCACTCACTTTCATATACTTCATGTTCTGTTCAAACACACACCAATCATCAGAATGTTATATCTAGTTTAAGTGACTACAGCACTCTCATTCTCCATCTTGTTGTGTTTGTCCAGGAGTAAAGCTTGACGATGGTGTGGTGGGACTTCCCATCACCTTCTTGGCCCACGAGCCAGGCCACTACCCTTGTGAGATTGTACTCCAGTCATCAGAAGATGTGCGCGTCTACCGTATTGAGTGTACTGTCAACCCTGAGGGCAGCACCGCAGAGCTGGACTTCGCAGCCCCTGTCCACCAGTCGGTCACTCAGATGATTCCAATCGTAAGTCTATAATCTCATACTATATGTAATTAGGAGTCATTATAGGTCATGGACAAGAATTCTTGTGGATTGTCAGAGATCTGGAGAAGTTTTTATGAATTTAGAGAAATTATTTTGGTAAGTCTCTCTATGGGCTGATTGGCTATATCATGCTTATTGTTTCATTGTTTGTGAAACAGACCCTTAGCAACAGATGTTGCAACGTCACATCTGTTGCAAATACTGAAGATCATGGGAGTCACAGTTCCTCATGTCACAACAGATGTATTGACCAGGGTGCCGTTGTACAAAGCGATCTTAGCGCTAAGGTGACCATAACTCCCATACCTTAACATAGACTATAGGTAGTCTTAGCGCTAAGGTTGCTTTGTACACCAGCACCCTCCTGGTGCTGATTCATGTGTTCAAGGAGAATGAATGTGGGAGATAGGAAGAATAACTAAACAAAAGTGAAGCCCATCACATTACACAAAATTCCTTATGGATTGAAGGTTATTTTCTAAGAAGGGTATCTAATGTGGTTTGTTGCTGTTGACCATGTATTTTTATGGCCTGGACACCTGACATTTCTGTCTGTATTTTAGATGAACATGACAAACCATGACTGGCCACTACGAGCAAAGATGTCTGGGGAGGGGTTCTTGGTCCCCCTACCATGCTGGCCAAAGCTTTCCAGAGTAGCCACTACCCTCTCACCTTCAAGCCTTTATACGAGAAGGAGATCCAGGTGAGTTCACAGTGTAGCCACTACCCTCTCACCTTCAAGCCTTTGTACGAGAAGGAGGTGAGGTGAGATGAAATTGGGTTTAACGTCAGTGCTTGAGAATATTTCGCTCATATGACGATGTACGAGAAGGAGATCCAGGTGGGTACACAGTGTAACGTTAGTTTAGGTCTGAGATACACAAACCAACAATGAACCACAACTGTCATGTTTCATTGGCTACAGACATTTAACTCTTCACTCTTTACTTCCTGTTTCCACAGTATTCAGTTATTTTTAGGGTATGTCGCTACATGAACCCACTCTTGTGTCCCCCAGGGTAAGCTGGTGTTGAGCAACACGGATGACGGCACAGACCACACTTTCCACCTCCAGGGCCGTGCTACCAAACCACTAGCGCTTGAGCACATCGTCATCAACTGCCAGGCCAAGAGCAGGTCAGTTCAGAAAGGATCAGTCTGTATTGTATTAAGTGGCGGAGATACTGTAGTGTCTTCCCAGGGATTCTGGGTATGAATCGGTCCCTGCGACCTATGACTATTAACCAATTCCCAACACTAGTGAGAGTCAACCAAATGGATTGGGTGGCCACACTTGATATCTGTTTCATAGTGTGTCCTTGTACCCCAATGCAGTGGATTGTTGCTGGTAATATCAATCACTGGTTAGTCTAGTACTGAACTGATAATTTAATGGCTGAAATATAGCTTGCATATCACAGAGTGCATTGTTTAACTCTTTAGTTTGTTTATTTGTCATGCTGAATTGGGAGGTACGATTTGTACAGTCTCTGATTATTGTGATGCTGGAGTAAGGCTGAATACACCTTCAAGTGTTTCCCATTCCACAAAGCAATCTGATGCTAAGATGATTGTAATGCCCATACTTGCGACAATCATAGCAAGAAGATCCCTCTCTTAAACATTACTCCAGACTTTTTTGGTCAATCACTTAATATACAGATTTGATTTGTAAAATGTACCTCCTTGCTTGCAGCCATGTCCACCAACTGAAGATCCCCAACATGACCAAGAAAAAGCTGATCTACCAGGTAAATGTCACATTCCTTGACAGAAACATAGTAGAAAATATGTACATGTTCATTGTCTCATGGTAGTTTATATGCAGTATGTCTCCAGAGTCAGTATGTCCCATGGTAGTTTATATGGGTCAGTATGTCTCATGGTAGTTTATATGGGTCAGTATGTCCCATAGTGTCCCATTAGGCAGGGAGTATGATGTGTGTTTCTGTGTGTCCAGGTGGAGACTGACATCCCCTTTGTGAGCGGCCCGAACGCTGTGTCAGTGCTGCAGAGTAAGACTGGTACATACGACATGGTGGTCACGCCCAAGAGGAGGGGGGTCTACAAGGGCATCATCGCCTTCGTCGCTGGGAGGAGTCCTGTCAGGTGAGGCAGTGGGTTCAGTAATCTCAGGTAATCAGATGGATGTTAATTGTAGATGAGGATTGAAGCATTCAATGAATAATATCTGGAGGACATTCACTCAGGTAATTGGACACATGGTAAGGTGGACAAGTGGTTACGGCATTCAGTGCTCTGGTATAAACCTGTGTTTGCTTCCACATTTGAGGATAATATCTGAAGGACATTCACTCAGGTAATTGGACACATGGTAAGGTGGACAAGTGGTTAAGGCATTCAATACTCTGGTATAAACCTGTGTTTTGGTTCACCTTTCAGAAGAATGTAAATCAAGAAGGTCTTACACATGAAGATAATTTTGTGCTTCACATAAAGGGTCATTTATGTTCTGAAGTGCTGTTATTGTGGAATTATATGTATGATTGCTGACTGTGATGTTCCTCTGTCACTGTTGTGGGGGAAATATGTTGGTGTAGTTTGTGAATGCTGAGACTTATGTTGACGATGTTGTACCTACAGGGAGGTAGACAGTGATGGAGATGATGTGCCATCAGATGATGAGACCAAAGAGTATGATGGCTACAGAATCTGGTACTCATTGGAACTGAACGTATCGCCGCCGCCACCAGAACGCACCATGGAGATTGGCTGTGCTTGCCAGGTAAGGCAGTACCATATGATCATAGTGATGTATCATTTGATTATCACAATGATATTATGTGATCATCGTGATAATTTGTTATGATCATCCTATGATTGTACAATGCATATGTGTAATTGTTTACCGTCTATAAAGCAACCCCATGTATAAGGCATGGGGAAACTGTGGTGGTTGAGTTGGTTAGGCAGCTAACTTTGTGTGCTGGCGAGTAGGTGCCTGACTCTGGGGATGTAGGTTCGAATCCCGTATGGGACTCAACCCAACAAAAGTACTACAATCTGTACTTTACTGAGAAAGTGTAATCCCAAATATAGCATATGTTACTTGCTATTAGGGAATGGATATCACGTTCATATCATTTTAGCCGCAGGAGCAATTTAAAGATTACTGACAACAATATTTCAGAAAAAGGCTGTGTTGGAGGTAGTTGTCAGGAACCCCACACCCAATGACATTACCTTGGAAGCAGTGGTGAGCGGGCGTGACCTTGAGGGCCAGGAATCCATCACCCTGGGGGCAGGGGAGAAAGAGCCATACCTCGTGACATTCTCCCCTGCTGTCGTCGGCACCAGGAAGGGAAGGTGGGTCTCTCATGGTTCGATGTTCTGAAATCCAAAGTGTCTGTCAACATGAGCTTCTTTCATCATACTTGGATGAGGTGCTCTCTCATTCATGCTTGAGTATAGTCACTTTGAAGATAGACCATACAGTCTTACGAAATATTGAATTTTTTCCAAAATTTGGCTACTGATTAGGTGCTCTTTTCACAGATGAGGAAGTAACTATTTGATTTTCAAACTGGTAGGTGGCAGACAGGATTATCATTGAGATCAGCAGATTTATTGTTATGTTTAGGAACTGAATTATGTTTTCAACGTAACCAAGAGCTATAAATGTATCATTAATATCCAAAAAAACAATTAACTGTATTCTTTGAGCATACCATCTGCAAGAAGAAAGCATACATGTAATTGTACAAGGCATATGTTTAAAAATTCAGTGAAACAGGAACTTGATAATTTTCTTGGACAAAATGGCAAACTCCCCATCCCTGAAAATGAAATTGTTTCTCCCTTGTGGTGAAATGTCTTATTACCTGTATGGTTCCATTAGAGATGTATACCTGTTTGGGAAGGAATGAAAATTTGAAAATCAGCAATATTACAGCTCTATATTCATGGTAAACCCATAGAGATGAAGTTCTTGCCAAAGTTTAAGTGCACTCTGATTAAATTGCTTGTGTCTTAAATTTCATTACAAGAGTTTTTCAACCTCTGTCATGAGTCTGTAGCACAGTTTTGCCATCAGATGATATATATTTAGATGTCAAATATCGATGTGTCAGTATTGTAATTCTGTGTCTTGATGGGCAGTCTGGTGTTCTACAATGAGGCTGTCGGGGAGTTCTGGTATGAGCTGATACTGAAGGCAGAGCCACCACAACCAACCACACTGCCTCACATGGAGTGTGAGCTTGGCAGGTAATCATGTCTCTTCATGTCAGGAATGTAATATTTCCTAAGAAGAAATAGGAAATAATAGGATCATTACTAATCAATTTCAGATTTTACATTCAGATATGGTAAAGAAATGTGACAAGATTTTGTAAACCTTACTTCTAGCTGCCAGCTGCCCCAAATTCTCTGTCTATCATGGATTTGCATCTAAAATATGAATAATTGTTTCTACCTTAATTCATACAATTATGGTGCCTATTTCTATAAACAACATCAGACACTATCAGACAGAACTTCTAAATCTGTGAGAATCTGATGATTGTCTGAAAAAGTCTGACATGAGTATCTTGTCTATCTGATTGTGTCACATGTCCACCAAATATCAGATACTGGTGGAAATCAGGGTCATATAGCTCACCAGACTCTATACTGACAACAGCACAACTGTATAGTCAGGCTACCATCCCTAGACAACCTTTAACCTGCCTTGTGTCTGTGTCAGATGGACGAAGCAGGCTCTGTTGCTGGAGAACCCAACAGATGAGATGCTGGAGCTAGTGCCAACAGTGTCCAACATCAACAACTTCTCCTTGGAGCGGGACAACGAGCGAGCGCCCCCTCCTCCTCCGACCTCACTCCCAGATTGAGGTCCCTCTTCACTTCATGCCCTCCACCCTGGGACAAGGGGAGCACCATGCCAACATCACATTTCACAGTGAACAGGTACATGCATGTAGTTGTCTTGGCACAGTCTGCCACCTTCTTGTCATAATTTGTTATCATGTTGTTGTGAAAACCTGCAGCCATCTTGTCACAGTTTTGAGAAATCATTCTGTATTGTAAAATACATGATGTGTAATATTTCCTGCTGTCTGTTGTACAGCTGGGAGAGTGGGTGTTTATGGCCACAGGCACTGGTCAGCTGCCCCAGCCCCAGGATCCGGTCAGCGTCTTCACCGCTGCTGGCACCAACACCACCCTCATCATCCCCTTCCGAAACCCCCTCGACCACGCAGTTCTGGCCAACATCATTCTCACTGGTAAGCAAACGTAGAATGTTCCTACCTATTGGTTTATATGTTTGAATGACCCTTGGGAAGTTAGGTCAAAGCACTGCCTTGCCATTGCGATTGCATACCAACAATAGCTTGACTGACCCAGCATCTCTTCATGTGATCAAGAAGCCTAGCTACATTTTTCCTGAGACTTTCTAAAACATTCCAAATTATTGACTTAAGGACAGATACTCTATGAATAAGAGCAATAATCTTGAATGTGACTTTATAGCTGATCTCACCTTATACTATATGTAATGAAAGCTATTTTCTAATTCTGTTGCACAAGCTGACTGTTAAATGTCATTTATCCATCCAACCAGACAATGAGCAGCAACTGCAGCGTGTCACTACTGGCCTGGAGTCGGAGGAGTCTCCCTTCTGCCTGTTGCTGAAACACAACAACAGCTTGAGGGTGGGGCCAAAGTCCACCCTGGACATCCCAGTCAGCTTCGCCCCTAGCCAGATGAGGAAGTACGAGGGACTGTGTACTGTGGTTGTCCGCAGGGAGGACGGCGCACCCTGGCAGTACGTCCCCACAGATGCTAATGGGTGAGTTGAAATACACCATGTTATTGCTTACAATCTACATTCTGAGACAAATGTCCAAGTTGAAGAATGAGGACAATATCTATGGATATACAACTTCTTATTATTCTCATATAGGTGATGTTTCAACATAGATTCTAATGCCGTTGTCAAGCAAGTGACGACATTAGAATTTATGAGAATACAAGAATAAAGAAGTTGTATATCCATAAAAATTGCCCTCATTCTTCATCTCCTCAACTTCTAGAATGCCAGTCTAAGAAGAAATATCCTAGTTGGCAGTTCTGTAATGGTACAATGTGTGAAGCCCTCTCATGGTGTACACCACCCTTATATTGCTGGTATATCAATAAAACCATATTCACTCACCCCTTTTGTTAACAGAGATCATCCATGCACATAGAGATGGCTTTTCCACAATATAAAGAAACATTTCCGTGAGATAATATGCATCATGAAGATGAGAGACTATAGGATTAATTTTCCAGCTCAGAAATTGTTGAGTAATCATATTTTATTTAACTGATTAAGTATGAAAATATTCGGCTTATCTCTGGTAATATACGGTATGTGTAATCTCTGATACACAACTACTCCAGAAGTTGCTAGTTGCTATGGAAACAAAGGCAGATCAGTACCTCCATCACCCACTGTATGTCCAGGTACCCTGTGTCACGAACCAGCAGTGGCGGGCTGATGGAGATCAGATGGCTGTTCCCTATCAATGGCATCCCTGAATCAAAGCCTGTGCGGGACAGCCAGGGCGCCATCATCTGAGTGTCGGGCCAGGGAGGTCATTGAAGAGCGTCTGGAAGTGACGTTGGCTGGGGTTGCGCCATGTTCTGCTGGACCACAGAAGCGGATGAAGACACGGGCCAAGACTCCCAAGGATGCTGCTCCTCAAGTCCCTGATGGCATCGTAGTGGGAGAGAGTGAGTGGATAGTTATGTAATATGCTTATATAATTGCAAGGGTGGATGGTCCTGTTCTATGATGGTGGGATAGGATAGTCAGTATTGTCTGATGGTGGGAGTGGATAGTCGGTATACTCTGATGGTGGGACTGGATAGTCGGTATTCTCTGATGGTGGGAGTGGATAGTTGGTATTCTCTGATGGTGGGAGTAGATAGTCAGTATTGTCTGATGGTGGGAGTGGATAGTCGGTATACTCTGATGGTGGGAGTTGGATAGTCGGTATTCTCTGATGGTGGGAGTGGATAGTCAGTATTGTCTGATGGTGGGAGTGGATAGTCGGTATACTCTGATGGTGGGAGTGGATAGTCGGTATTCTCTGATGGTGGGATAGGATAGTCGGTGTTCTCTGGTGGGATAGGATAGTTGGTATACCCTGATGGTGGGACAGGATAGTCGGTATTCTCTGATGGTGGGAGTGGATAGTCGGTGTTCTCTGGTGGGATAGGATAGTCGGTATACTCTGATGGTGGGATAGGATAGTCGGTATATTCTGATGGTGGGACTGGATAGTCGGTATACTCTGATGGTGGGATAGGATAGTTGATATATTCTGATGGTGGGACTAGATAGTCGGTATTCTCTGATGGTGGGATAGGATAGTCGGTATACTCTGATGGTGGGACTGGATAGTTGGTATTCTCTGATGGTGGGTTAGGATAGTCGGTGTTCTCTGGTGGGATAGGATAGTCGGTATACTCTGATGGTGGGAGTGGATAGTTGGTATTCTCTGATGTTAGGAGGGGATGGTCAGTATTCTCTGATGTTGGGAGTGGATAGTTGGTATTCTCTTATTTTTGGAGTGGATAGTTGATATTCTCTGATGTGAGTGGATAGTTGATATTCTCTGATGTTGTGAGTGGATAGTTGATATTCTCTGATGTTGTGAGTGGATAGTTGGTCACTGATGTGAGTGGATAGATGTGCTTCATGATGTTGGAAGGAGAATATTGGGGTCTTGACCACTTATTGCAACATATACAGAGAAGAGTAACTCTTTCAGATTACCGGTACTTTAGAATAGACACATTCTTTGTGTGGGGTAATCCAATTGCTCTATTTATTGTGTATTTGCTTTCTTTAACAACTCAGTGGAAAAGAAATCCTTACTTTTCCTGTTCTAAAATAGTGTTTCTTTAGGATATTGACATATATTTTATGTTTTGCACAGCTCTTGCCACAGCTGATGAGTTTAGTCATGAGCTGACATTCAATACCGAGGATGCCAACAGCCAGCTGAAGGATTCTGTCAGCATAACACTGGTGCGAGAGCACCGAGATATAAACACAGGACTGGTGGTGCTGGTGTTTAATGTCAAGTTCAACCCCTTCAAACCTCTCAGGTAACACCTGTAACACCTGTAACACATATACCACCTACAGCACTTACACTGACAGAAAATGTAACTGTGCTTTCTATTAAGTAGTGTAGATGTTGCTGAAACTAGTCAATATTTGGTGAATCAGGTGATTAATGTTTTATAATTACTAATTTATTCACTAAACCCATGCCTGGTAACAGGAGACAGAACGACATGCCACACAGACGATCAATGTCAGTAACCCATGCTTGTCGTAAGAGGCGACCAGTTCACCCTGGTTGTGTCCATAAGTTTCTCAGCACCATACTCATGGCTGTGGGTTTCACCAGTCTGGTAAATGTGCAAGACCTGCCTCACTTACTCCTGCCCCTTCAGCATATTGTTCAGAGAGGCTACAGAACACTCAAGCCGTCCATCATTAAAATACCCGTGAAGGTCCGGGTTAGAATATTGATCTTCAGTAACCCTGGCTAATGGTCGCTGACTTAGTTGACACATGTCACTGGTTCCCAATTTCGCAGATCGATGCTCATGCTGTTGATCACTGGATTGTCTGGTCCAGACTCGATTATTTACAGACCACCGTCATATAGCTGGAATATTGCTGAGTGCGGTGAAAAACTAAACTCACTCACTCACTCAATGTCAAAATTGTGGACAACCACCATTAGCACTGATACAGATGAGGCAGTGCATTGTAGACACCTGATGTTAGATAAACAGTTTGGGGTATGTTGTTCCAAACGCTGGACATGTTCTTTGGGGTTAGGTTGTGAGAAGAGCTTTTTGAGTTATCCTGCCTCAAAACAGCACATACAATGTGTGGGTGGCGTTATCCTGATGCAACATGACATTGTATCCTTGCATCTGTATAAGGGATGGAAATTTCTCTCGGAGAAATCAGATGATATGACAAAGGAGGGCACAGATGTCCTGGCCTGCAGCTTTTAGACAGACAAGAAAAACCTATCATCACTACCACAAATCTCAGATGTGTCCTGATTGTCTCTGGGCTTGTTGCCTCAGTACTTGGGTTCACTGGATTCATCAACATCTCGGTCTTCCTTCACCCCAGGCATTCTTTCCACATGAAGTTGTTACATACACTCCAATGCTATTCAAAGGGATGCTAAACCAAACTCACATACTTACTGATATCGAGGAGTGGTCTGTAACTGTGACATTCTTCTGTCTCCAGTCATGATGCCCAGCTGCATGTAACAGCAGCCACTGGTGGAGTGTGGAAGTTCCCGCTTCGATTTGTAGCCACGGCACCACCAGTTGATGACAAGATACTCATTGAAGCCACAGGCCTCTGCAAGATGTCAACCATTGGTTTCTGGCTCACAAGTCAATCCAGGTAACAAACACATACCTCAAGGCCCATCTCAAGGCCCAAGGGTAACACCCCATCTCAAGGTCAAGTGATTAACAGCTCACAATATAACCCAGTAGATCTCAGCCCATGTTAAGGAGTAGTTGCTAAAATAGATCATCTAAAGGCACAGTTGTTAGCTACCCTTCTCAAGGCCATTTGGGTAACAGCCTGTTTCAAGGCCCAGTTGTGAAAATTCCATCTCAAGATATAGTGGTTAAGATAGTCTGAAGGCTCTGTGTCTAACAGCTCATGTTAACGTGTAATGGTTAACAGCCCAAGGCACAGTTAAGGAAGTTAACAATAACATTACCTCCTGTAGTTGTTTGTATACTGTAGTAGACAGATTTGTAATCACTGTTTCAGTCGCACTGTTCACTTTGATGCCTTCTTTGAGGGTGGAAGCGACCCAGAGTTTACCATCTCACCGGGAGCACGGGGAACTTCTCCCTGAAGGGACACAAGGCACTATGTTTCACATCAACTTCCTGCCTGCTGTGTACGGCAAACTGTACCAGGCCAAACTTGTCATACAGGTGAGTAGGGGCCAGTGTTGACTTAAAGCACTATCTTCTGAGAATTTTGTTGAAGTGATTATCCTGTGTTTGAATGTACATTTGAACATTATTTAGAATGCATTCACTCTTATGAGTGAATATTGTGGCTGGTCGGGGCAGTGGGAGAAAATTAGTTAAATTCATTCCAGTATCTCTACTGGGACACACTGAGGAGATGACAAGCTCTTGACTCAGCATGGTCTAAATATGTCTAGAGATGAGAGATGCTGTCATTGTGCTTCTAGCTTTACACGCATCACACAGTTGCACTCATGCAAACTTCCTGCCAAAAGTGTTAAGTTTGTCCCTTGCATGTACACATGACACATTTCTAAACATACTGGACAAAATAAGTTAGGGATATTGGTATTGTTATGATTGATATTTTATCAATGTGTCAATGAATAAATACATTATTATTCATAATTTCAAAATTAACATATATCCCTAACTATTTTTGTCCAGTATACATCCCAACACATCAGTTCATGGTGCAGAGTTGATGTGCCAGAAACTCAAGAGTTGGAATCCCAGTTCACCCTGGTTGTGTCCATAGGTCTCTCACATTGGCAAGCTGTTGCTGACATATGACTGAAATATTGATACATATTTTTGTAATAGCACCATAGTTAGTGTCCTTGTAGTCTGTCTCACAGTCCCTGAACCACATTATATTCCCTGCTGGCAAGCCCTCTCTGCAATGCTAAAGTCCTAAACGAAGCAAGTCTAGATTTCCTCAGGTTCTGAATCTCCAAACTCACCAGGGCTCCTTTTCAATTTAAATGGGTTTGTTACTATCAAATTTATATACTAAGTATTCAGAGACTAAGCGTCAGTCTAGTGTCCTTGCTGCACAATGTATGTATTTCATGAATTGTTTCCTCAGACCCCAGACATGCAGTGGAGCTATGAGATTCAAGGTGTCATCCCTGAATATACCCCTCCCCGTGGCAAGTCCTCTCGACCCATGGCAGGCCCTCATCCTGACCCCAGACACCGAGGTGACCGCGTCAACTACGTACGAGACAACCTTCAAATCATAACAACAGCTGTGTCCTCTCCTATCAAGGGAGCTCCTCTACTGCGGACACATAAAGTGCTGTGATGTGTGACAGTACCTCTCACACAAACTTCATCTGTGATATTGCACATAGAGTGCCGTGATTGTTGAAGTCAGTGAAACTGCGGAGTCATCCTTCATGTAGATGAAGATTCGGCAAGCTACATTATATATTTCAAGGCTTTAAGATACTTGTCCATTCCATCTCAAACTGGGTCTTTTATGTATTAATCAGGGCTGTCTTCATCTCTGGGTTGGTGACGTCAAACATTCCATACTTAGCTATGTACATGTATATATGCCACTTCAGTACATATTTTATATGTAGAGATCAATTCTTGCGTATGAAGTAAAACCAAATATTTTAACATATTTAGTATCTCAGTATTATAATATGAATATGAAAAGTGTATTTTATATAATGTCATGAGTATTGTTCCTTTATTCCACACTTTTTGTCATTGTTGCTGTGATAAACTATTGTATAAAACCTTTTGTTATGGTAGCTTCTTTAGAAGTCATTGACCAGTGTTTTAATTATCCAGTATTAAACATGTCAAAAATAGATTTGGCATATTTTTCTTAAACTTTTTATGAGAAGTGTGATATAAGGTGTCCATTGAGAAGACGTCAACATAAAGACGTTAAAGTGACGTATCTTACCTGAATATATATAAACTCATTTAGCATTATTTGTACATACACAAAGCCAAATGAACAATTCCGGGAGTGGAATCCTCAAGCTTGTACCACCAGCTACCAGGTATTATATCCTCTGTGATACAGCCACAAAACCTTATGGTATCTACCTGTGATACATCAGTCAAACATATACAGTATCTACCTGTGATACATCAGTGAAACCTATACAGTATCTACCTGTGATGCATCAGTGAAACCTATACAGTATCTACCTGTGATGCAAGTAGCTGCTGAATGCTATTGTGGCTGCTCCCTGTAGCTTTGTGACAGAGCTTAGTATTCTGAGTTTGTATACATCTGTGCCAGTGTTCTTTGTTCTCACATATACACTGTCCGTCCAATGATTTACTGAAAATAAACATGATCCAACAGCTGTGCTTTTGTTGAATGTAAATACAAACACCATGGTGTGTAAGTTGGAAGGACCTATGTAAATACACAACCACAAAATGATAACTAAGGAATATGCAATTAACCAAGCTTACTTCAAGACAGCTGTAAGGGGCGGTGGGGTAGCCTAGTCATTAAAGCATTGGCTCGTCACACCGAAGACCTGGGTTCAAATCCCCACATGGGTACAATGTGTGAAGCCCATTTCTGGTGTCCCCCGCAGTGATGTTGCTGGAATGTTGCTAAAAGCGGCGTAAAACCAAACTCAATCAGTCAAGACAGCTGTAAGTTCGACTCATGAAAGTTTGACTTAATTATTTTTTTCATGTTGAGGTGTTGGGGTCAGATGTTTTTTTAAGTTGGAAACACCACAATTAAATATGAAGGAAATGTGTAGTGTGAGTATGACGTAGGGTAAGTATGTGTACAATTTACTGTAAATAAATTAAGCTGGAAATAATAGTAATAGTCCGCTCATATGGCGCTCATACCCAGGCACATTGCCTGCTCACGGCGCTATGTACATTACTATCTCCAGTCATAGGACTCTATCATACTTTCTGATACTTTTTCAACTCCCTGGGGACCATACAGCCATGCTGCCTGTTAGGCGCAATGAACAAAACATTCACATTGCCAGCACATCCTCATGGGTATATTTTACAGCTGGGTGAACTGAGACAATTTGGATCTACATATCTTGTCCAAGTATACTATGCAAATGTGCCCACCTCGGGACCCGTACCTAGGTGCCGCAACCAGGGTTCGAACCCGTGCCTTCAGCCCGATAGGCAGACGCCTTACCACTGCACTATTGCGCTCCATAAGACTCTGTTGGTTGTCAGCATGGGTAAGACAATCTGTATCTAGGTATCTTTCTGTATACACAAATTTGGCCAAACAAAAATTCAAATATATACTACACATATGACTGAGCTGACAGCATATGACAGCTGGATTACAGGCATAACCAGCTTTTATAAATTATGCAAATCAACACGTTCGAACACCAGGACTCCAGACACAACTCTGCACAGTGAATTACAGCACATACGATGACTGGGCCACTCCCTGTGAAATGAAGATGTAGAGAACATCTCAATAGGGGCTCAAGTCATCAATGTCAGTTACTTAGATGTATCTAGGCCTACCAAAGGCTCAATAACTGACTCCAAGTCTATAGCAATTGCATGTATAAATTCCATAGTCGGAAATAGCCTTTGCTCTTTTGTGTTAATATAATATACTGAACATCATTGCAAACGCACCACTATCAAAGTTCAGATTATTAAAAGCATGTGTAAGGAATTGATATTTTTTGAGTCGATAATAACAGATGGACGACTGACAAAAACAACACAGATAAGACGCTCATTCATTGAAATGTTCCACAGTCAGAAAGGATCAAACACACGTGGGGTCAAATCGAAAAGTCAATATCGTGTGTGACTGCCATTTGCATTGACACATGCAGTTCAACGTCTCCTCATTGAGTCAATAAGCATCCAAATAGAGTTCTTGTGGATGGCATTCCACTTCTGTAGTAGTGCAGCCTCAAGTTCCCGGATGTTTCGCATCTGTTGTCGCCGCGAAAGACTTTGATCAATTTCATCCCACAAGTGCTCCATGGGGGGGATACATCTGGCGACTCATTCTCTTCCCACAGAGGTTACTCCTGTCATATCTTCCTACGTAACCTCTGTTCTAATACGGCCCTTTCATGGTGTGAACGTTCAAGACTCGTGATTGGAGACAATCAGATTTAGTTGTGCAATCAGCGACGCCGTTTCAAAAGTGATCATTCGCAAGGCCTCGGTAATTTCCGTATGCTTCGAGAAAACTAAACTTCTTCCCCTGCGCGATGCGCAACCGTTTCTTCTAGACAGAACTCAGTCATGTTATGGCGGATCAGTGGCGTCTCCCTCGCCCTCGTTGACAACGGACAAGCTAGCCATTAAACGTCTTGTGTGTAACATCAACACAAGTCCCCGGCAGATGGAGGATATTTGTGGCCCCACATTTGCTCGTGTTAGTCAAGTTGAATCTAAATCGATGTAACACGTGTTCTGATTGGATAGAAAGAAGGGAGATAATTCGTGTTTCGATCTTTTGCCGCTAGGGGATTTTACGAGAACCGGGAAATATGGCCGGATTAGAACAGAGGTTACGTAGGAAGATATGACAGGAGTAACCTCTGTGGGAAGAGAATGCTGGCGACTGTGCTGGCCAATGAATAACCTGGATGTGTTGCTGGGCCAGATACTGCATGGAAAGTCTTGTTGTGTGTGCCCGTACGTTGTCCTGTTGAAAAGTATGGACATCGTGATGGTGATTGAAGACAGATATGATGTGATTCTGAAGAATCTGCTCACGGTAATAATGGGCATTAACTCTCCCTTGAAAGACATGAAGGCAGTCCTGTGATTGCAATTATTTCCACCCCAGACCCATGACACTCCCAGCACCCAAAGGTCTGTCTGAACCACACCCTCATCAGCATAGCATTCACCACGTCTACGCCAAACACGTAATCGGCCGTCAGCATTACTTACATGAAGACGTGACTCGTCAGTGACTACCACACCATGCCATTGTCACCTTTACTGAAAATGCCTGCTAGCCCATTGTATACGCTCATTACGGTGTCTGTCCGTCAGAATTGGTCCAACGTAAGGACGTCGAGCATGGAGCCCTGTCGCGTGTAGACGGCATCGCATGGAGTCAACGCTGATGACCCCACGTCAACCTTGAACTAGTGCAGCAGTCCTGGCAGTCGGCAGTGTTCAATCACTGATAAGGACAAGGTCAATATGGCTATCCTGATGGAGTGTCGTAACACGTTGTTGCTAAGGTCATTGAAGGTCACGGGTGCTGCCTGTCTACTGATGTCGTCTATGAAGCTTAACGATGGTGGAGTGGCCAAGTCCAAGTTTTCAAGCAATATCCCTGCTGCTGGCGCCAACCTGAATCATGAATAGTGCACGTTCTCTTTCGTGAGGTGTTAACCTCGGCATCTCTGTCCTCGTTTCACAATCGTTAGTGAAGCAATGAGAATTGGTTCTCATACACCTGCTTTTAATGTCACAGTCAGTATGATTTCAGAATGAAATTCACGCTTTTTTCATGGCGTGGCTGCATGTTGATGCATTTTGGAATTAAGAGTCATACTGTGGACAGGAATTTGTTTCTTAAGCATTTTTTAACTGGACATGCCCTTGGATTTCATGTTAGTTATATTCATTGATCATTGTCATGCTGAAATCCATCTTGATGAAAATATGGACAATTTTAGACTGGTGCGTTTTCAATGATGTTCAGTATATAACTGTTTTGATGGCTTGTAGAGGCTACTTGTATTCAACAGAATTATTACATGAAAAACATACAAACATATTTTAAAATAGCAATGAATTTAAAACAATGCATAAAAATATCACAATTTTCTTACAATTTCACTAAGTGGGAAATTCAAGCATAGAATCCTAGATACATTCTAGATTCATTTACCTGTAGACCTGGCCAGACAAGCCAGTGATCAACACCTAGGCTGCACCAATCAGATGGAAGACATCGAACAATACTGATGTTTCATGATGCTTTGAACAGTGCATCAAATTTCTCACTGCCCATCAGCTTGTGGTCTTCAATGTTTACCCTTTGGATTTGGTTTGGTTTATGCCACACTCAGCAATATTCCAGCTATATGGCGGCGGTCTGTAAATAATCAAGTCTGGACCAGACAATCCAGTGATCAACAGCATAAGCATCAATCTACGCACTTGGGTTACAATGATATATAACATAATTCAGTGAGCCTGACCACCCGATCCAGTTAATTGTCTCTTACCACAAGCATGAGTTACCCAGATCTTCGCCCTTTGGAGCCAACCAGGAAAAGTCAGAGGTCTGCGTGCTTGAGGCAATAAATGGTCAACCCATGTCCACATAATAGTCCCCCTTGTAAACAAGCACTGGGAGAAGTCTGAAGTTCACACAATCAGCTATTGTCTACCTGAATCAATCCAAATAACAGCCAATATTATTTTCATTTGGTTCCATGTCTGTAGGACCTACCACATGGAGTCATTAAGACAGGAAAAGAGAGTCAAACACAAATCTATAGTCAACAGAATTTATTTCAATTTCTTTTAGCAAAATATAGACATTTCCATGACCCAAATATAATCAAACATTAGAATATAGTGCATAAATAGGAAGCAGTTGCTGGTACAACAGAATTAACTTGTGCATTTAAACCAAACTCAAAACTATTTCAGATGAGCAAATTTTACTCAACATAAAATACTGGACGAATAAAGGTATAGGTCATATTCTTGAAATGTTGAAAAGCTACATGTTCAGAATCTCATGAATGCTGTTCAAACTTTAAAGGCTCTGAAAAATACAGGAAACCTAGCTAACACATTTGAAGGTTTTCTGAAGTTTAAGCATAAATTATCTTATAATGTAGCAAATATCCACACTTAAACCATAGCAATATCCATAAGCAGCCCTCTGTAACCACGACAACAGAACAGGGCTTGTTACCAAGTAGCATAACATGTCAATCATATTAAGTCCCATTTTGAGTTAAAGTCGTCAAGTAGATCTAATAGTTCAAAAACATATTTACAAAAACAAAACAAATGACAATATCAAACAATATTACAAATATGTTGCACTAAAAACCCTCTAACTGTGAAAGATGTATGATGATGTTTGTCATAATATTAACATGATTAAGTAACTTACTACACAAGACCTGACTTATCTGATTCTTTTCACACTGACTTCATATCCACAATTTTACTTCTAGTAATTATTATTCATTCCACACTACAAGCTCAGTACACAGTGATGAAGAAAACTCAAGGATAAATCAATTGTCAAACATTTTATTGGATACAGTCTATGGACTTTTTTCAAACATCCAATCTTAAACAGCGCTATTCGCCCATTGCAATGCTCCATCAATGTACAGACTATTATCCCTCATACATGCCCTCGGAGCCATGGCGAATGTCAGAGACAAGTTGTCAACAACATCATTCATGATATCAGTGCGTGCAAACAAAGCAATACTGACAGGACAATACGGCTGGGACAAAAGATATTCAAGGACAAAATGTGGCCATGATATATATATGAACATACTGTACATACAATCAAATATGGTAAAGACTGAAGAAACAAACATGACTCAGATGATGACATATACTACTCAAATAAGTTAAAGAACACTGCATCTCATGACCATACCTAACTATAGTCATATGGAAATACAAATCAGGTGTTCTTAACTTCTTGTGTGTAGTATTCTTTGCTTCTAATCATAATGAGCTGGCATATGAACAAACTGAGTTAAAAGGAGAGCGAATGAGTATGACGACATAATATGCTTCTAACAGCACAGATGCCAACCCTGAATCAAATGAAAGTGGAGTCAAGCCTTGCTAAAACAAATTCCTAAGCCCTGAAGGTGCGAGTTGGGTTTTAGCGTGAGAAGGGGTTTGGGCCCCCTTTGATGGTGGGGGTCTGGGGGGCTTCCAATATGAAAATCTTTAGATTTAGCCTGGAAATATGCCAGGAAATTTCCGGGCATACTTAACCAAATAATTCTTAACTCAAACTAACATATTTACTAAAATTCTTTCAAACATTCTAAATTTATAAACAAATTTGTATTTTCTAAAAAATCGGAGTTTTTGATAGACAAATTGGAGAGTGGAGTTTGTATTTGAAAATCGGAATAACTCCTCCAAAATCGGAGTGGTTGGCATCCCTGTAACAGTGATATCTAAAAGTGATATCATTACCGGGGACACCAAGAATCAGATTCACACATACTAATGACATAGGATTCATTTCAGGAATACAACCCTTATCACTGATGCGACTCACTTTCTGCACTCGGCTACCCTACCTGCTCTTGATGACATGAGATCTTGGCTTTGTGACTTTCAACACGTGGTCATGACACTCACTGAGAGCAATTAAGCTTCATGGAGGAGTAGAGACATGCAAAATGTCTTCCTAACTCTCTGGTGAAATCCAGGACAAAGTTGCAGCACATCAAGCCAGAGACAACATGTCCACAGTGGTCCACTGATTAACTGACTGAGTGAGTTTGGTTTTACACCGCTTTTAGCAATATTCCAGCAACATCACGACGGGGGACACCAGAAATGGGCTTCACATATTGTGCCCATGTGTGGATTCGAATCCGGGTTCCAATGATTAACAATCATGTAGGGTCTTGCATATTTCAGCAAATTCTCACAATATCACTGTTAAATAACGTGGTATGACTGAGCAGCCTGGACACCCAGAGGAAACACTGCTACCGCTGGGCTGCCCTGTATTCAACCATTTGATGACATGTCAATTTCAGATGACATGTCCTCTCCTCGAGGAATATGCCAGCCCGTAGTCCAGTCAAAGTGGTATGGCCAAACACTTCCGGACATGTTTATTACTCAGGTGACATCTATGACAGCAGTTTGAGGGAGACAAGATACAACACTGCTTTAAACAGTATTCCAGTTATATCACAGCATGTCAGCTCAATGTGATAGGAAAGTCCAAAGTGATGCTGGCCTCAGACTTCGGTGAGACACGTGCATTTGCTATGGTGTTGACAAACCTAGCAACATCATCAGTGAATGCCCAATTTCCCCACTCTGCCTTTTCTACTTTAACCAACATATCAACATCAGTACATATCAACATTCGGAACTCTCCACAAAAGCTTCAACAAATGTATGAACGTCTGCTTTCATGACTGCTACTTTAACTGGAACATACAGTGATAAGCTAATGTTGAGATGTCACTGCTAAATATTCAGATCAGCTTCAAGTTCTATTTACTTCATCTGTTGATCTGTTTTACTTGATCTGAACACTGATGCGCCTCTTCCACCAGCTCACACGTCAAGCTTCCACCACTTACATAAGTCTAGCTTAATGGAAATCTGACTGCACTCCTGTCAACCCTGAGTCACTTAAATGCCCAATTAGACAGTCTTTTTTCCCCAGTTTAATCAAACTTGACAGAGTGAACATTCATGTCAATGGCACCTCCTTTGTAACTCCCCCTTTTCTTCTTTGTCTTCTCATGGCGGAAACTTTTCCCTTTTGTGAATTTGAGGTCTTTGTTGGCCTTCTCTCCCCATGATCCTCTGGCTCCACTCTGACAACACATGGTGTACAATATTAATACACAACCCGACATTCACATTTAAAAGGTTTCATTTTGATTGTAAAATATTCTAGCTGTGTAATGGCAGTCAGTAAATAATAGCCTGGTCCCTGTTTCACAAAGCGATCGTAGCGCTAAGATGATCGTAACTCCCATACTTTAACATAGACGTACGACAGTCATAGCACTAAGATGATCGTCGCACTAAGATGATCGTAACTCCCATACTTTAACATAGACTTACGACAGTCGTAGCACTAAGATGATCGTAACTCCCATACTTTAACATAGACTTACGACAGTCGTAGGGCTACGATCGCTTTGAGGAACGGGGCTCTGGACCAGATAAATCAGTCATTCATACTGCGATCAACCATCCACACCACCACTAAGTCTGACATCCAGATCCATTCACAAACCCCTCACAACCACAAGTTGCTGGGGACAAGTGCTTGTCAAAAGAGGTGACTAATGGGATCAGGGTTTAGGCTCGCTGACTTGGTTGACATATGTTATCGTATCACAACTGCGTAGATCGATGCTCATTTTCATTATTGGATTGTCTGGACCAGACTCAATTATTGACAGACCGCCACCATGTAGCTGGAATATTGATGAGTGAGGCATTAAACAACTAACAACAAATCTAACCCTAAAATCAACTATATTTGAATGTTATCAAACATATAATCTGAGGATGATTAAAGGGTGTAGGTCATTGATGGTTAAGGCACCTGTGAACCCCAACAGTAAGGATATGGTGCTTACAAACCAAGGATGATAACTTTGCTAAAACATTGGATTCAAACCCATAATCAGAATATCCTGGAAAATCAAAGGGATGCAACTCTGCAAACTGCACTGTACAACCACTGGACATTATCCCAGAGAGGCAGTTCAGAAGCTGTACACTTTAAATGACATTATTTTGTTTTCCAAGCTCTTGTGTACCATGTTTCGGACTATATACATACAAAATTACATAACCTGATACATACTCTGATCTACCACCCAGCATATATCTGGAATCTAAACTGCATTCACTACGTCTTTAATTTCTAAGTTATTGTTTTCCTCCATTAAAATTGATATTCTTATACCTTGGTGCCATATGAAATACAGTAACAAACTGTTTTTGCAATTACCTTGGCTTCAAACGAATTGTTGGAAAACTTGGCATCCACGAGCACCTCTTCAGCCTTAACACGCCTGAAGGGCTCACTTGTTCTTCGCTGAAAAGGTAATGTACACTGAAAATCACACCAGAATACAATACATGGTCTAATACTTATCTGAGTCTAAGAAAGCATGTTCTACTGCAAACATGACAAACATAATCTATAAAATTCTTAAATGTTACATGACAAGGTGAGATGGGGGTGAGATGGGGGGTGAAATTGGGCTTATAGTTGCATTCAAGATCGTTTTACTGATATGACAACATGCATATATGCAGGGGTGGAAATAACCCATTGCCCGACGCCCGAGTCCAGTGTTTTTTTCTGTTGGGCAAGCAAATTTGTATATCACACTGTACCGGTGTCTAGTTGACTTTCCAATATTAATTATGTTGTTTATTTAAGAAATCAGCAAGAAAACGGCCAGTATAGTGGAAAACTTATCAGGGCAAGTGATTTTACATGTGCCACTGTACCGGAGTACACTAGCAATTTTAAAGTTATTTCCACCCCTGATATGTGTATGTGTGTGAGGCTGACTGTACTACGCTGTATTATGTGCTAACCCACTGAGAAGTAACACCATTTAAACATACAGACACAGTATATTGATCCTGAGCCGACCATGTCATGTATTATGCTCTAGTACTAGGCAGAGGAACAAGTATCACCCTTTAATATCCTGTTGGTATTATGTGGCCAGGGACTAAACCACAGCCTTCAACTTCAGTGATTGGATCACGTAGGCAGTCCATGATGACAAACAAAACAGAACATACCATGTAACAAACAAATCCCTACTGTAGTCTGTATGCTTTTAATTCATCGTATGGTGATCATAGGCATTAGATAATACTGTGTAATAGGGTTAGGAACAGCTAAACGAGAACGAGTGTTACTTGACATACCTGGTGCCCTTTATGATTTGTATTGTCAGCATCTGCAGAAGTTTTCTAGAAAGAAAAAAGACAAAATACAATTGCAATATTTCCTGCAACATTCTATTCATCACTACTTGAGCTATAAACCTAAGAATGAAAACATGAACAAAGCCCACATGAGCAAAGCCAGAGAGCCTGGTCTGTTCCTCAAAGCAGTCGTAGCACTAAGGTGATCTGAACACCCATACTTGAACACAGCCTTATGAAGGTTACAGCACTACAATGACTTAGGGGCATGGGATCAGATATCTGAAAGCAAGCCTGAATAAGCTTCAGTATTACAAATCAACAATGCATGCAATATCCAAAAGACTTTCCAATTGGTTGGTTGGTGTTTAACGCCACAATCAACAATATTCCAGCAATATGGCAGTGGTCTGTAAATAATTGAGTCTGGACCAGACAATCCAGTGATCAACAAAGACTTTCTGGGTTTTCTCATCTTGACATCTAAAGTTACTTGTTAATCACTGTGTTGGTGAGACTTCCAGTGTGTCAAGTGTGATTTGAGAGAGTTTCTTCTATAGATTGGAGCAGTATATAACTTATATCACAGTATAATGACAGAAGAGTTCAAAGATATGCAGGTCTTCAGACATTTACCCGTTTTAAACCATGAGCATTAGTATTGTATCCATAAAAATATTTTATATCTCATTTGTTTTAAGAGAGTGAGCGAGTTCCGTTTTACGCCACTTTTAGCAATATTTCACCAATATCACGGAGGGGGACACCAGAAAATGGGCTGTACCCATGTGGGGAATTGAACCCAGGTTTTCAGCGTGACGAGCGAACGCTTTAACCACTAGGCTACTCCACCGCCCATTTGTTTTAAGAAGACAAGGGAATGTTATAAAGGTAACTACAAAAGTTTACACTAACCTTCACCTGATCCGATGCTGTAGACACCCCTGAATCAGAGTTATCGGAGCTCTTCCCATTCATAATGGGTGTTTTTGCTTTCGAATTGTCCTCTGACTCACTAGAACTGTCGGACTCTGTGCTACTCGCATCCTTCACAGTCTTGGCTGGAGTAGACTTAGGAGTCGTTTTAACACTGGCTTTGTGAGTCTGTTTCTTACCACTGTCAGTATCACTATCTGAACTATCAGAATCAGAGCTGCTGTCCTTCGAAGCTTGCTTAACAGGTGTCTTTGTCACTGAGGTAGAAGCCTTCTGCTTAGGCTTGTCATCATCACTATCAGAGTCCGAACTAGAACTGGATTCAGCCTTTTTGCTGACAATTTTCTGTAAAGGGGTGCTTTTTGCAGCAGGGGTGCCTATTGCTCTCTTCAAATTCTTGCCAGTTGGAGTCTTTTTGACATCATCAGAATCAGAGCTTGAGTCTGAACTGTCAGAACTGGAAGACTCTTGTTTTTTCGGGGCGACTTTTGGAGTTGTTTTGCCTTGGGCTGCTCCCTTAGCAGAATGGCTACCTTCTTAGCAGATGCTTTTTTCGTATCCTCGTCGGAACTAGAATCAGAATCTGAGCTGCTGGAGTCTGCCTTTTTCGGTGTACTCTTGGCTGCAGCTGGGCTCTTAGCAGGAGTGGCTACTTTCTTAGCAGGAGTAGGTACCTTCTTAGCAGATGCTTTTTTCGTATCCTCGTCGGAACTAGAATCAGAATCTGAGCTGCTGGAGTCTGCCTTTTTCGGTGTACTCTTGGCTGCAGCTGGGCTGACTTAGCAGGAGTGGCTACCTTCTTAGCAGCTGCTTTTTTCGTATCCTCGTCGGAACTAGAATCAGAATCTGAGCTGCTGGAGTCTGCCTTTTTCGGTGTGCTCTTGGCTGCAGCTGGGCTCTTAGCAGGAGTGGCTACCTTCTTAGCAGATGCTTTTTTTGTATCCTCGTCGGAACTAGAATCAGAATCTGAGCTGCTGGAGTCTGCCTTTTTCGGTGTGCTCTTGGCTGCAGCTGGGCTCTTAGCAGGAGTGGCTACTTTCTTAGCAGGAGTAGCTACCTTCTTAGCAGATGCTTTTTGGGTATCCTCGTCGGAACTAGAATCAGAATCTGAGCTGCTGGAGTCTGCCTTCTTTTTCGGTGTACTCTTGGCTGCAGCTGGGCTCTTGGCAGGAGTGGCTACCTTCTTAGCAGATGCTTTTTTTGTATCCTCATCAGAACTAGAATCAGAATCTGAGCTGCTGGAGTCTGCCTTCTTTTTCGGTGTACTCTTGGCTGCAGCTGGGCTCTTAGCAGGAGTAGCTACCTTCTTAACTGCTACTTTTTTTGTATCCTCGTCGGAACTAGAATCAGAATCTGAGCTGCTGGAGTCTGCCTTCTTTTTCGGTGTACTCTTGGCTGCAGCTGGGCTCTTAGCAGGAGTAGCTACCTTCTTAGCAGATGCTTTTTTTGTATCCTCGTCGGAACTAGAATCAGAATCTGAGCTGCTGGAGTCTGCCTTCTTTTTCGGTGTACTCTTGGCTGCAGCTGGGCTCTTAGCAGGAGTAGCTACCTTCTTAACTGCTACTTTTTTTGTATCCTCATCGGAACTAGAATCAGAATCTGAGCTGCTGGAGTCTGCCTTCTTTTTCGGTGTACTCTTGGCTGCAGCTGGGCTCTTAGCAGGAGTGGCTACCTTCTTAGCAGATGCTTTTTTTGTATCCTCATCGGAACTAGAATCAGAATCTGAGCTGCTGGAGTCTGCCTTCTTTTTCGGTGTACTCTTGGCTGCAGCTGGGCTCTTAGCAGGAGTGGCTACCTTCTTAGCAGATGCTTTTTTTGTATCCTCATCAGAACTAGAATCAGAATCTGAGCTGCTGGAGTCTGCCTTCTTTTTTCGGTGTGTGCTCTTGGCTGCAGCTGGGCTCTTGGCAGGAGTGGCTACCTTCTTAGCAGATGCTTTTTTTGTATCCTCGTCGGAACTAGAATCAGAATCTGAGCTGCTGGAGTCTGCCTTCTTTTTCGGTGTGCTCTTGGCTGCAGCTGGGCTCTTGGCAGGAGTGGCTACCTTCTTAGCAGATGCTTTTTGTATCCTCATCGGAACTAGAATCAGAATCTGAGCTGCTGGAGTCTGCCTTCTTTTTCGGTGTGCTCTTGGCTGCAGCTGGGCTCTTAGCAGGAGAGGCTACTTTCTTAGCAGGAGTAGGTACCTTCTTAGCAGATGCTTTTTTTGTATCCTCATCGGAACTAGAATCAGAATCTGAGCTGCTGGAGTCTGCCTTCTTTTTCGGTGTACTCTTGGCTGCAGCTTGGCTCTTAGCAGGAGTGGCTAATTTCTTAGCAGGAGTAGGTACCTTCTTAGCAGATGCTTTTTTTGTATCCTCATCGGAACTAGAATCAGAATCTGAGCTGCTGGAGTCTGCCTTCTTTTTCGGGGTACTCTTTGATGCAGCTGGGCTCTTAGCAGGAGTGGCTACTTTCTTAGCAGGAGTGGCTACTTTCTTAGCAGCTGTTTTCTTAGTATCTTCATCAGAACTAGAATCAGAATCTGAGCTGCTTGAATCATCCTTGTTCTTCTTTACTACTGAAATAGGCTTCTTTCCAGGGGCAGCTTTACTGGCAGCACTTTTAGGAGCTTCTTCCTCAGAGCTGGAGTCTGAACTTGAAGATTCAGCTTTTTTTGCCTGAACTTTCTTTCCAGGCATCTGTTTAAATGCAGGCTTTGCTGGTACTTTCTTTGGAACATCATCCTCATCAGAACTTGAATCATCTGATGAAGAAGAATCACCCTTCTTGGAAGCAACTTGCTTAGAAGCAGCAGTTTTGGATGCTGGTGCCTTCTTCTGGACAGGTTTCTTAGGGTCCTCATCTTCATCATCAGAACTGTCAGAGTCACTACTAGAGCTCTTCTTCACCGGCACTTTCTTCTGCATTGCCGCTTTCTTGGCTACAGCCAGTTTGACAGCTTTCTTCTTGTCTTCATTAGAACTATCAGAATCGGAGTCAGAATCAGACGTTCCACTGTCCTTCTTTGCTGCCTTAGCAACAGGTTTAGCAGGAGCTTTCTTCTCTTCCTCAGAGCTGCTATCAGAGCTACTACTCTCATGTGTCCTCTTGTTGCCAGCCTTAGGGGTGCCCTTTGATAAAGTGGGTGTGGCTGCTTTTTTCTGTGGTTCTGCATCACTGTGGAATAATAAATACAAAGTATGTAATTTTCTGACTAAAATTGATATTTTATACTTATCCTGACTCATACTAATTATGCTTGTCTCCTTCCTCTTGCAAATGATAGTGGAACACTTGAAACCCTTTGAAGTTCCCTTTAAAAAGCGGACGTAAAATCACTCACCCAGAGTAGCGTCCCTTTCCTCCCTTTGGCGCCTTTTGGTCACCTGACCGACCATGCCTTGTCACTCTCTCCGTATGAAAGCCCGACACCCGGATTTACAGGGAAATCCAGAGTGCCATAAGAGGGAGGTTGGGAGGGCTAACCTCATGAGTCGGGATAAGTATAAAATATCAATTTTAGTCAGAAAATTACATATTTTTCCTTATCCTGACTCATGCTAATTATGCTTACAGAATCCGTCGGAAACAGTGGTGGGTCAGGCCACGTTCTGGATTCACTAGTTGTAGATTTACGTCCTGTATTACCCCCCATGGGAACTTATGACGGCACTGTTGAAGATTCTGTTCTTTCAACTTCTCTCTGATGAGTCTGGGGGGAACCACAACTTGTCAGATTTCTTCCGAAACTTCTGACATTTTCGTGTGGATTTAGATATACTAATATTCCATTAGTTATCTATTGCAACTCCATCGCTTGATGTCCTATACAAGTACAGGGTCTATCACTCATTCTAATCTGTCCTAGACGTGTGCATGGACTTATAGCCATTGCTCTCCAGAGCGTTGGTTTTCACAAGTCACGTGATAAAAGGGGTGAGATTTACTCAGCGCCTTTGTGGAACCGTTAGTTGTTGTGCTACAACAAGTGGCCCAAACTGGTGAATGCCTGAGACGTCTTCGGTGGCAATGTCTCTGAGGTAGTGGTTGGCAAACACTGTGTTCGATCTCCAAAAGCAGCCCTCCATTATAGTTGTAATCGAGCAGTTTCCATGCAGAGCAAGTGTTGACGCCAGGGCTCTGACTTCGTGTGGGTTGGAGGCTCGTGGAGGCTCAAGTCCTGCTGCTTTATAGGCCCTTAGTATAACAGCTCTCATCCATATCGATATCGTTGTCCGTGAGACTTCCATGGGCGTCTCAGTGGATAAAGGGATGAATAGGCGTTTGAATTTTTGTCTCCTTGTTTTAGTTCTCTGTAGGTAGACTTTAAGTGCTCTGAATGGGCATAAGGATAGATCCTGCGTATCGTGTGGCCCAAGGACTGTAGATAATGCTGGGATGTGGAACTGTCTGTCAGGCTGACCGGGCAGTTGGTTCTTGGTGATGAAATCCCATCTCAGTCCAAGACGTACGATGTCACAATGTCTTGTTTCAAATCAGAGCATGTATTTCTGACATCCGTGCAGCTGCTGCTAGAGGCGATCAGGAACAGCATTTTTTGAGTAAGTAGCTCAAAGGATGTCCGCCCTAGAGGCTCGTGAGGCATCACTGGTGAGATGTTGTAGAACTGTGTTGAGATCCCAGGCAGAAGCCTTTAAAAATTTCTTTTGTTGGTCTTCCAACTTGAACAAGTGTAGTGAGCTTGCTGTAGTGCTGTAGTGCCAGAATTTCTGGTACTTTGGTCAGCTTGATACCCGTTTTCATGGTGATAACTGTACTGAGGGCAGCCAAGTAAGGTGAGAGTGTTGAACCTTTTAAGTGTCTCGTCTGTTGAAGATGACATAAGTATTCCGCCACTGGAGGATGTGTTGCTTTCACCGCTGTAAAGCCTTTCCTCTTTGCATACTGTTCAAAGTTCTGCCACTTGTCGTCGTACAAGTTGCGAGTTGATCTGCGTAGAGCTAGTGTAACTGCTTTAGTTGCTCTGGCGGAGTACCCTCTGGTCTTCAGGCAAGCTTTAATATGTTCCACGTGTGTAGCTGGAACAGTGTTGGGTTCCCGTGAGCTTGCTTGGTGTGTGGATGGACGAGTAGGTTCGACCATTCTGGTAGTTTCAGGGTTGGACTTCCGAGTTCTTGTATGAGGACAGGAAACCATGTCCTCGCTGGCCAATAGGGCGCAACCAAAATCAGTTGCAACGTAGTCGTCTGCTTGATTTTCTGTAGTACTTGTGGTAGCAGTGCAGGAGGTGGAAACGCGTAAGCGTTTAGTCCTTCCCATGAGATGCTTAGAGCGTCTGTTGCCCATGCCTGAGGATCTGGAATCGGTGAGACGAATGTTGGTAGCTGTTTGTTGAACTTTGTTACAAACAGGTCTATTAGTGGGGATCCTATAGTCTGTATGATGAACTGGAATTCTTCTAGATGCAACATCCATTCCGTCGGGGATGGTTGTAGTGGACGAGATAGGGCGTCTGCTATTACATTCCTTGCTCCAGGAATGTGGCATGCCTTCATGTAGATGTTCAGGTCGTCGACTATGCTGAACAGGAAAAAGCTGAGTTGTAGCAGACTTGTTGATCTTGTTGACCCTTGTTTGTTGATGTAAAACGCCACTGTGGAGTTGTCCGTCTGTACCATGATACGTGCGTTCTTTAGTACGCTGGACCAATGTTGTAAAGCGTTGATTACTGCTTTCATCTCCAACAGATTGATGTGTGACTTCTGATCCTGACTCGACCACTTCCCTGCTGCCACTTCGTTGTTGAAGTGTGCACCCCATCCTTGTAGGGAGGCATCCACGTAGTGATGAGTGTTGCAAACCGGCTCTGTCAAAAAGGTTCCTCCGCAAACATTCGACTTCCGAGTCCACCATAGGAGATATGGTTTCAAGCTGTCCGGTAGTATTAATGGATCTAGGCTGTCTGGGTGGGCGTTCACAAATACTTGTAGTGGACGCAACTGTAGTCTCCCTCTGCGAGTCATGTCTTGAGCTGACGTGAGGACACCGAGCATGCTTTGCCAAGCACGTAGTGTCAACGGAGAGAGCATTGCTTGAGATATCATCTGTTGTATCTTGACCCAACGATCCTCTGGAACGACTATGTGATTCACTGGTGTGATGAGTCAAATTCCTAGAAATTGCAGATCTTGTTTCGGCTCCAGTTCCAACTTGAGATTTACTAGCCATCCTAGTTGAGTGAGCAGCCTGATGGTCAAGTCTAGTTGCAGTCTGAGTTGACTGGGATCTTGATGAGCTTGAATCCCGTCGTCCAGGTAGAACGCACTGCGTAGACCTCGATGATGTAAATATGTGACGATGGGCTTGGTCACTCGAGTAAACAACCAGGGGCTGACGATATTCCAAATGGTAGAACCTTCCACTGGAAGTGATGTCCGGTGAACAGGAATCGTAGGTATTTCCTTGAGTCTGGATAGATCTGTGCTGGCGAGGGAGATGCTGGAGCTGAGCTGAGGAAGATGTATCATTTTGAATTTTGCTGGTCTGCGTAGATACTCCCGGTTGAACTTCCTCATGTTGTAGATGAGCCAAAATTTCTCCTTGGAATTCTTCTTCAGTACCAGGAAAATTGGGGAGTAGAACCCGGCGTGATGAGATCTTGATCTATCTCTTCTACTGCCTCTTTGTCGAGCAGGGTCTTGGTAGCGTCGTCCAGTTTCTCTACCTGGTCGGCTGCATAGTTGAAGGCCATCGGGTTGCTTGTGAGCGGCGGGGTGGCTTCCAACTGTATCTTGTATCTTGTCCCCTCTGCGTAGTATCTAGGACACATAGTCGTCTTGTAGAATTCCCCAATTTTCCCAGTATCGTTGAAGATGTCCACCCACTGTTGAAGGTTGTACAGGAACGGCTGGGGGTGGAAGACTCCAGTCGTTCCGAACCTGGCCTTCAGCGCTTGATTCCTCTTGCACCCCTAGGTGCTCGGCCTCTTCCGGGGTTACCTCTAGGAGCTCCGGTTGGGCGACAGAAGGAGCCTCTTCCTCCTTTCATGCTGGAATACTTCTTTTCTCTGGCTCTCTGGACTCCTGCAAACTTGGATTTGTTGGAGTTGCGATGGGATGTCTGACGAATCACATTAGCCAAAGTGTCGATGGATTTAATCATCATTACCTCCCTCGAGTCGCGAGAGACTTCTCTGGCGACTTCTTCAATTCCTCCTCCAAAGATGTAAGATGCTGACCATGGGGCTCTGTATAAGGACTTGGTGAAGCGTTCACGCCAAGTGCATGCTGACAATAACCCTCGTCTTCTCAGGAAAGTCAGGCCCACTGATGTGGATGCTAGGTGCTCTGACATAAACTGATGGTCCCTCTTCTGCATTAGTAGAGCGGAGGAGTTCTTGAACTTCAAGATGAGTGCTTCGTTGATAGCCCTCGATCTGGCTAATCCGAAGAAGGTACGTCTGGTGGTTGTATCCAGCTGCGCTAACTTCTTATCCTCAATCTTTGTAAGTTCTCTGACGGAGTCGGTGATAATCTTGTAGTCATCATCCACCTCCGGAGCCTTCAGGAAGGGTTCCATCCTATGTAGAGGGAATTTCCTGGCGTTGAACGCGTCAGGATGCGCTGATTCTGAGACGAAGTGGCTTCATCAAAAGCTGTGCTGAGGTTGTCTGATACTTGAGAGATCGGGTCGATCGGTGGAAAGGTGAGCATGTCGAAATCATCATTAGACATCTTGTAGGTCAGCGCTTTATCTGTGTCCTTAGAAGGTGATGCTAAGTCAAAGCCATTGGCAATCCAGGAGTTAACATTCGTGATCGGAGAATATGCCTTCACATTCTATCTCTGATTTGGACATCTCTTGCTCTATGGATCCACAAGCGACTTGAGTCTCTATGAGATGATCTGTATGAGGAGCTGTATGAGGAGCGATCCCGATCGCGATCGTGTATCCTTTCTGGAGTCTTGAGATGATTCTCTAGGTCTTCGTGACGGTGGGTTTCTGGCGTAGCTTCCCCTCTGCAGGAGTGCCTTCGCACATGTTCTCGATGGGCGTCAGCGTCCGATGGAGATGAAGACTCATATCTGCGAAGTCTATGGGGTTCAGGAGAACGCCTCGATTTCTTCCTGCGTGGAGACTTCTTAGCAGCAATCTCTGGAGCGTCTACAGCTGAACTGACGTTGGAAGCGGTGTCCAGACTTCAGATGGGGAAGATCGTCATGTCCGTGAGCCTTTGCGCAGGCTTTCCTCTTCATCCGGATGCGGTGGAGAGAGTGTAGAACCTTCACTCAGTCTAGTAGTCGTTGTAGAGGTCTTCATAGCAGCCTTCTCCTGAGCGAAACGACGTTCCATCATCGACATCATCTGGTCTGTAAACTGTTGCATGAACAGTCCCGGGTTGAAGTTCTGCGTTGTCTGAAGAGACTGCTGCAGGGATGATGCATCTGATACTGAAGAGACGTCATCTAAGGCTCGCTGCACTTGTGAAGAGTTGACGCTGCTGCTATCTCTGGTACCCGATGTCTGTGTTAATAGGTCTTCTGTCAATGTCTGCGCTGATATCAATGCCGATGTAGCTGTAGAAGCAGGCTTCGTCTTCTTACTGACGATGGAGACTTCCGGTATGAGGATGGGTGGATCATCATAAACGTCTGCTTCTTTCGGAGGAACAATCTCGGCTGAGAAAGACCTCGTCTTCTGTGTAGAGCTGAGCATAGACTTTGATGAAGTCTTCAAGGTAGTAGCCTTCTTCTGCGTAGAAGATGATTTAGCCTTCTTCATCTGCGACGAGGTCAGCTCAGTAGACGATGATCTCTTATGGCCTCCGGCATGCACCACTGGTACATCGACCTGCTCCCGAGAAATGTTCTGCAATTCACTGGAATTATGAATGTCTGCAGCAGTGGTTAACACACGGTTATCAGCGCAATCACTCGATTTAGACATGACTTGTGAATACCTACGTATCCTTAGCATGTCTATGGATGGAAAAAAGGTAATGAGTAAATTCAACAGAGGTTAAACTTACACAAAACTTACAGCTAGAGCTGAAAGAACATGAAATAGTGCAATTAGGACATAATAAATGAGGGTCAGCCGCAGACACTCAGTACCTACAACGAATACAGGTTTTCATCAAATGTAAACACAATGAAAACACAAGTCAAACAACGGAAAATTTAGATCAACTTTCAAACCGTAATGTAGAATATAATCCTAAAAACCGTATACAGCAACAATTTTGATGTAAGGTCCGAAAATATAAAAGGATATGTGCTGTATAGGGACCCAGGTGCTCTCACAACCATCCACAAGGGCGAAGAAGGAGAGTGACAAGGCATGGTTGGTCAGGTGACCAAAAGGGCGCCAAAGGGAGGAAAGGGACGCTACTCTGGGTGAGTGATTTTACGTCCGCTTTTTTAAAGGGAACTTCAAGGGATTTCAAGTGTTCCACGATCATTCCAAGAGGAAGGAGACAAGCATTATTAGCATGAGTCAGGATAAGGAAAATTTGTTTTTTGTTATACTCTGCAATATTCTTGCCATATTGTGGCAATCTGTAGACTATCAAGACTTGATCAGGCAAATCATAACACCAAGGCTGACAAACTCATCTATTCAGGCAGCTACATTGTCACATGAAATCCTAATGGAAATAAGTATCAATTGCTACCATGTAAATATGATTTATTTATAACACTTATATTTATATTCATAAACACCAAAACAATCAAACATGTTATTTCTTGCTCAAAACAAACAAAATCATCTCAACGTAAATCCCTAGCTTTTCATGTTTTGAATTAAAGTAAATCTCATCAAAATCAGTCCTCTAGTCGGTACTCAGCTAAGATCCATATCTGCATGAAAACCTCATAACCCTACAATTGATAAGCAGGATATATTAAACAGAGAAGACTGCTTTCATTTGTCAGTACATATCTTCTATATTTGCCCAAAAGCAAGCAAGTTTCATTATTACTCCATCCACAAGGAAAGGTCTCCTCTTATTGTATCATGCCAAAATTTGACACCATTGCAAGTCTGTATTTACTAGCTTTCTGTAGCTGTGAAACAATTATCGACATGCAAGCCTGTTTTAATTACTGTGCTACCTCATCTTTCATCGGTATTCATGTCAGTATATTTTGCCTCACATGTCAGTATATTTTGCCTCACCTGTCAGAGTCAGAACTGGAAGAGTCCGGCTTGGACTTTTTGGCCTGGGGTTCTGCTGTCAGGGATAGCTTCCGTTTGCCATGGTTACTGCAACATAAACCGCACTTGTACCACACAAATACAACATCTTTCACTTGTACAACAACAAAAGTAACAATGGAAAACAATGATCGCCAATACACAAGAAAAATACTTATGAATGACATCCTTGTTGTCAACACATGATATCGTCATTTTCATCAATAATCTTATTTCATATAGTGACACAAAAAGGTAGTTGAAGATGCTGAAAGTATCTGCTTGTTATACTTAAAACACTCACTTTTGCCAGGCTGTGTAGAGGTCCTCTAATTTGGGTGATCCAGGCTCCTGACCCTTCTGAAAAACATTAAAATTTAGGGGGTATACGGACGGAAGTCTTATGTGCGGTGTTGAATTGGTTAAAACTGAACTAATAAATCTTTGGCGGTATACCAGTACATCATAAATGTATCGCGATACGTTATTGTTATAATTTCGTATTGCGGTTTACCGGCAATACCGTGCAGCCCAAGTTATTAACCAGTAGAGGACATAATGTATACGCGAGACGGTCCCCGTTAAGCGTACATGTGACTACCTGAGAGCTTGCCATTCATTCGTGTGACTTCCTGATCACAGACAGGGAAATTCTGCATGTTACACAAAAACACATCTAAAAGTGTTATTTATGAAAACAATGAAACAAAATTTGCTTGTCATTGATTGGTATTCAAGTTATTGATTGACATGAATGAAAACGTAAAAAGAAACATTAAATAGTCAAATCTTGTTAACACGCCTTCAATAACTGTCACATTCATTTCATTGGGGAAATTCCCTCATTTCTTGTATCTGACTAACTGACTGAGTTTGGTTTTACGCCGCTTTTAGCAATATTCCAGCAACATCACGGCGGGGGGACACCAGAAATGGGCTTCACAAATTGTACCCATGTGGGGATTCGAACCCGGGTCTTCGGCGTGACGAGCCAACGCTTTAACCACTGGGCCACCCCACCGCCCCTCTTGTATCTACTCAGACGAGGGTTATGGCGTTAAGAAACTCGATTAGGGCCTTTTCGATAGAGTCAAAGTGGAACTTCGCAGATATGAGGAAATCTTTATTATTTCCAAACAGACAATGCATTTATTGTTGAAATAATGATTTATTGTTTTGACTTAATACTTGGATGATCAAGTATTCCTTTTATCTACAACGTCCCTTCACTATCCGTCAACGGCAGATTTGACAAAACAAAATACTACAACACAAAACGGAAAAGGCAAATTCATTGAAAGAAACGCAAACACCAGCCACGTGCTTTCCAAAACCACGTGTTCTTCTTCGTGTTTGTTATGTATCACAAGATTCAACACACACGCAATTATACAACCAGAGATATAAAAATACTTACAATCTTGAATTGCTTCTGGAAATATGTCGCAGCATCCTTACACGACTGCTTAAGAAAATCGTAAACTATATGTTGAAGTGCTGCTTTCTCATCTGCTTGCGCCATGATTAAAACGTAAAGTGAAATACCGGAAGTTCAACATCATTACCCGGGAGAGACCGATTTTCGGGTGTATGTGCAGCACCAAAACATGAAACACGAAGAGTATTTGAAAAACAAGGGCATTAACGTTCAATTAATTTCCACTTCAAGGAAACTGCAGCAATTCCTAATCTTGATTTTCTGAATGCAATTATTTGCATTAACATTTTTTTCCGGATTTTACAATACACTCATCACAGTTATCTGCCCCTAACTGTGGTCATTCCATTCGTCACTTTCCGTAACCTCAAGAAAGCGCTAATCGGCATGTCCCGGAATAACATGCAAATACTCGCGACGAAGTCTTGGGAAAGCTAAGAACTTCCCAACAATAAAGTAAATGTAAAATAATATGTTATAGCAGGGAGAATAGAAGATGTAGATTATCACTGGTTATAGTTGGGAATAGACTTTCTCCGTAAGTACATATTCTACAGGGCCGTAGTTAACTTTTCTTAATGGGGAGGGAAGGAGGGAGGGGCACTATCCATGTTCCAGACCGCGAAGCATCCGAGGATCTAGGGGGCCCCGGGAATGTCTTAAAATTAGATGTTCTCAGATGCAATTCTAAAGGTAATATGGCTCCATTTATGTAATTTCCAATTTTGTATCAAAGATTTTCCCCTGCTATTTTTGACCAATTTTTTTTCATGTTTTTTAATAAAGTTTCTTTGTTCAAATTGTAGCATCTGTACATAATATTCTGAACTAAACTTTTAAAATATGTTTCGACATACATGTATCTGTATATGTGCAAAGCAACTGTTTTGTTCAGTTTAAGTGAGTGAGTGAGTGAGTTTGGTTTTACGCTGCAAATAGCAATATTCCAGCAGTATCACGGCGGGGGACAACAGACTTGGGTAGTTCAGTTTAAGAATCAATGTAAAATAGTTGTATTATCAAATTCAGTTGAGAGTCCAGAAATTGCACGTGACATTTACATCATATACGTGATATCTTCAGGTTTATTCAATATTACTCACTCACTCAGTTTACTCATTGCACCTTAACAAGATAGGTCAGTCAGAAAGATTGCTATATTTATAATTATCCATGAAATTAACACATACATTTACAGTTCCAAGGGAATATCAAAACTGATTTTGACTTCACTATACACTTTTAGCTGTATTTGAATTTCCTCCAGTCTGTCTTCCTAGAGTAGATAGTGCATGGACTTGTTGTCAAATGTGTACTTCTGTATGTGTGCAGCATAGCCAGACCAGTTAGATGTTCTGTGCTCATTGTCCACACCTTGTGCCTCAAAGAGAGGAGATCGAAAGACCTTTCACAAGCCATGCTGCCTACTGGTATGGTCATGAACACTGTCAGATCAAGTTACCACATGATCATTGGGATGAGAGAATGGTTCATTATATAGCATATGTTCATTGGGTTCATAGTTCCAAAAATATAGTCAATAGTTTATATAATACTATTTATTTATTTTCACCAGTCAATGTTTGATTGCGCATTCCTTGTTTTGTATGTTATTCTCTATTTTGTCTATCCTGTCCGGAGTCTATCCTGGTGTCATGTGGATTGACTCCTTCTTCTAATTAAGTCTTTTGTTCGTTAATTATCATTAGGTATTGCACAATATGCCTTCAGTTCATACGGTTCCCGGTAGTCTATATCATTGTCCTGGATTCCTTACTTTATTTATTAATGGTTGTTGTAATCATGTAATTAGGTGTATCATTCTGGTACCGATCATCTGTCAGAATGGCTGCCCGCAATCTTTGCCTCTTTAATTGAGGTGTGGATTTCAGGGCTGCGGTGAGGGTATATCACTCATTCTCAATGATGGGGTGCAAATGCTGTCGCCGCCATGCTTCTCTTCAACTAATTAGCAAATGTTATTTTCAGTGTGGTTGAATAATGGTACCAACCTGCCCAACATACATCACAGACAAACAGTCCAATAACCCCCAAAGTATATTTGTTACAGCTAAGGTAATAGGTCAGTTTGAAATGTTTGTTACTGTCGCCGGTAACAAAACCTTACTTTGCAGGTAAACGTAATGCAGTTTGGTATACAAATACCTGGATATTAGTACATTAGGACAATGATGTTGGTCAAAAGTTTCATTTTCTGCAAATTATTAGGCCAATGCATTCTTTTTAGATAAATGAATTTGGTCTAATGCCATGACGCCAGTTTTGAGGAAATGTCCGTGACTATTTTCAGCTTGACATGTGCATGTGTAGAACAAAGCATAATCTCACTCATTCACTTTGAATGAATACAATTTATCTTTACATTAATGGTACTTGTCATTATTTGGGGCTTAGAATATCTCTCTGCATAACATATCTCAATACACAGAAAATATTCCATGCGTAGAAATAAGAGTGAAATGTCCGTTACCACCGCCAAATTAGCGATTTGTGCTCTTTTTGACATAGTTTAAGTTACATTTAATATGTCAGATGGGAAAAGGAAAAAATATCCAAAGTTTGTGTATGGTTAATGGTAACGTAATGTTTGATTTGCAAGAGTATGTAATATCCGTTACATAGCTTGTGAAGTTCTGATACTATTTTTCAAATATCACGTGACTCCTATCCCATCTGGAAAATCAAAGAGGGTGCATACAATCACCAAAGACGTAAAATTGAGAGTCATCGGAAATAGGAAGTAATGATGTAGCGAACATTTCATTTCTAAATATAAAATCGACACCATAGCTTACTGTTTAGTTATTTGTCACGTTTCGGAGTTTACAAAATAATGTCACTCTGTATTTGATAAGACAGACTTACAATTGGGCAATAGAAACATTACCATAATATCAACAACAACCACAAGGAACATTCCATCCTAGTAACCTATATTATTGTCGGTTCGGTTGGATTAAAATTGATCTACAGTCCTATTATTTCCAGAATTTTATTACAGTTCGTATTATATAAAGTTAATACCCGAAAAATATTGAATGATGATATGTATATTCGAGTTTACTTCTCTGTCGTTAAACAGTTAATATTTATAAAGATATGTAGATTTTCAGTTTGCAAAATAAATTGCTCCCAAACATGCAGATTAAATCTTTATATGATTGTTTTCAGTTTTCAGTATCTTGAAATCTGCCCATGCAGTTTAAGTCTGAAACTATCTGAGGACAAGACATTGTTTCTGAAGACATGACATTGTCTGAAATGTTCGTTACTTATATAGTGGTTTATATCTAGCGGTTGGAAAACTATTAAACCGTGTTTCCTCCTTAAATTGACGACACATATGTTTTATGTTTGAAGTTTTAGAGGATTTGTCACTTAATGGCATTTTTTTCATGTGTATCCTGCGTTCCTAAAGTTTGCTTTCACACAGTTAAACCAATGTTTCCAAGCTCAGTATGTTCTATCCTGCACTGTACTGGCTGGGGATTATATAGTTAGTCTTCTAGCAAGAACACAGTTACAGAGTTAAGGAAACTTGTACTCACAGGCTGGGTAATAAGGGCCCTTGATATAACGAAAATGTCAGTGTTAGGATTCTCTAAGAAGGTACCTATCTTGTTAGCTTATATATTCAAAAGCCTTCAGCTTTTGTAGAATTCCTGTTGGTTTTAAGCAGCCCAATATATTACCTTGACAAAATAAATGATTTCACTCATATAAATGGTTGATTATTCAATATTTCTGTCAAAAGAGTGTTAAAAAAACCATAATCTGTTAAAAAATTCTAGGGGGCAGACTCATTTTGTTTAATGCTACAACAAAAGAATGATTGGAAACGTCGTAAGATCCAACTGACAAAACTGCAATGTATAATGTCAGGTAGTACCTATGTCGAGGAAAGTATCCTTATGGACATAAGAGTACAATATCCCATACATCTGGAATTGATAAAAAACGTGTTCAAGTCATGTGTATTGTTCACAACATATTTATCATTAACTATTTAAATCGTATATTATAACGCGTGTTTCCCAAATGGTAACGTCAGTTTGTATCAGGTGATACAAATAGGCGTAATGTTTATAAGTGTCATTGGTCAGGTGAGACAGCAGACAGACCTGTGTCACCTGGAAACCAGTGTTCTATGTCCACTTTTGGTTAGGAAGCTCAGAGTATGTTTTACTGCATACTCTATCTCCATGCAAAATGGCACCGTGATATATAGCCCAGAAAAAGGTTTTACGTTGTTTTATCTCCATAAAATAACACATATAGTTAGTTCCAGAGTATTCTAAGTAGTTATTGGACCAATCAGCAAATCCAGTTTGATTACGTGACATGGAGAGGGAACAATCTGGACGTTATTGTCATCATTGTAGACATGTAAATGGAACATTGCCCTTATCTATGATTTATTTAAATGTAATTGTGTAAATGTGTTTTTGGTAATGAACTCTAGAATATACCTTTAGTATCACTGGGAATATCCTTTTGACCTGTGGCGCCAAACGACTTTTGGTAGCGTTGGGGAAGAGGCAACTGCGCATGCTTATCATGACGTCACTCTGTTAGAGCATCAGCGGTTCTAATCAGAACACACGCCGTCCGAATAGATATCAAATCAAACCTTATAGAACAAATATCGTCCTAATGTCTTCATTTTTACTAAGGTAAAGGAATACTCTGCGTTCTGATAGTCTACTTATTCAGTTATTTATAGATTGTATAGATTGCTTATTCAGTTATTTATCAACTGGAAACCATACAAGACCAGATTTTACCCCGTTATTTAGAACATTATGAGGAATCGTTTTCTTCTTGCAAAATACATGCATTTTTATTCTCCCATGGGAAGAAAAGGTTAAAGTTAAAATACAGAAATTATTAACAGTTTCAATAAAACATTTTTTTAAATGTCCGCTTGCGTAATGTTAAACATTGTCTGAAACTATGGTAACAGGCTAATGATTAGGGCCTATGTTAAATTTATATAATTCATTTGATTCGTCCAAGATATTTTTATGGATTAATCTTCTTTTAATTTCCCTCACGACGTTTCAGAGACCATTCCAGGTCCCTTCATCAGGTTCAGATGAAGGGACCTGGAATAATCTCGAAACGTCGTGAGGGAAATTAAAAAGAAGATTAATCCATAAAAATATCTTGGACATCAATGTACAACTTCTAAATGCCACTGAAAGACATCATTTGATTCATGAAATCACAATCTTCTTGTAACACCTTGTGTTCTGAAATTAGCACACCTACCTCACAGACTTTGAACACATGTGTTCTAAAACAGAACACTTCTGTTCTAAAAATGACCTATGTGTTCCAATTCAGAACATGCACGGACACGTCCACTGTTCTGCTTGAACACTGGTGGTTTAGGGTGCAGTAAAGCCTTGCATGCAAAATGTAAAATGTCTAACTTGGGATTAATCTTTTACAAAGAAAACAAATCTCAGTATTTTGATCCTAAGTTTGTTAACTTAATGTATGATAAGATAGAGAAACTAACCAATGAGTTCCCTTCCAGCATGCTGAAAGATGAAGTAAATTGTGATACAGGTTTCAAGACAACACAGAGGGTTAATGGATTGAAACCACCATAACCCATTAATGCCCCCCATTTTTTATGGGGTAAAATTTGTTATCATATTATCAGTTACGTTTTCAAATTCTCATAATCAAGTCTTATTGTAAGTTAATACTGTTATACTAGTATTGCCACTTTGCGGACAGAGTGGTACTGTCATGGGGCAGTGGACACGAAATACCGAACACTGTACTGCCCCATTAATGGGACAGTGGGTACGAAATACCGAACACAGGTATGAATAAACCTACATGAGAAGGTGAACTTTAATCGAAGTGAACTGACGGTTGAAGGTTAACGAATTAGCATCATTATTTGGACTTGCTATTGAACAAAACAAACGAACATAAGTCCTTTTCTGGTAGCATATAAAGTTTATTTCCAAGGATTCAAACCTTGAGCAGAGTGAACTTTTTGTTGATAATAGAATGTCCTGAACTGTGCCATGTTTCTGTCATTGTGGTATCAGGGTGATATTGCTCTTTTTATAAACATGCATTGTCACTAAGGTGACATAATCCCCCGCCGCAAATTATCAAATCAAACTTATAAAGTAATGAAAGTTTAAGATATAGTTAAATGTCAACAAAAACATGACCAGTCAACCTCTCTTGATATCTTGCTCTTTAGTTGTTCAAACACACACATATTTTCAAGACTGACTTTGACCTTGACATGAATGTCATAGTGTATGAAATATGCAAAACTAGTACTAAAGAAATTGCTTATAGAAAAACATTCAAGGGAAGTCTTGAAAGTCTATTAAGAAAATCCAGTGAGCCGTTCTTGAAATATCTTGCTGACATTTCAGGTTAACATGCTGAAATCTTCAAAGTGTTGTCGTGACCCTAAAAATTACGTGAAGGTCACCAAAATTGACTGGGCCCTGGGCCTTCCCTAGATGAAACTTGGTGTCAAATATGAAGAAAATCCAGTGAATATTTTTTGCGATATCTTGCTGACTATCTTAACATGCAATTTGACATGCTGAAATCTTCAAAGTGTCTCTGTGACCTTGAAAATTAAGTGAAGGTCACCAAAATGGACTGGGTCCTGCGCCTTCCCTAGATAAAGCTTAGTGTTAAATATGAAGAAAGTCCAGTGAAGGGTTCTTGAGATAGCTTAACAGGCTGGTTTACATGCTGAAATTTTCAAAGTGTCGCAATCACCTTGAAAATTATGTGAAGGTCACACAAATCGACTGGGCCCTGCACCTTCCCTGGATAAAGTTTGGTATTGAATATGAAGAAAATCCAGTCAACGGTTCTTGAGATAGCTTAACATGCAGGTAAAACGTTAAAGTCCCCTTGTGACCTTGAAATGAAGGTCAAGGTCACCAAACCTGACTTTGGCCTTCCTTATACTGTGATGAACCTAGGTACCAAATATGAAAATAATCTAGTGAACGGTTCTTAAGATATTACGGACGGACAGACGGAGCCTAATACTATACCCCCTGCTTCGCGCTAAACGCGTGGAAGGGGATAATAAAACTTTCATACAAAGTTTATTTCCAAGGATTCAATACTTGGGCAGAGTGAACTTTTTGCTGTGTTTTTGAAAACACCTAGAAAATATTAATAGATTACTCACTAGTTGGCGAAGAAGAAACTTGACTCAAATTGGGAAATTCACTGTTATCAAAACTCTAGCAATTTCTACTCTGGTACATATTTTGTCTGCACTACCTAACCCACCAAAAACATTCATCAATGAACTGAATAAAATAATCCATAGATTCATATGGAATAATACAAATGATAAGATTAAAAAGGTCAAATATCAGTAGAACTGATGAGGATGGAGGCCTCAGAATGATTGACATTAAGTGTTTCATCAATGCTTTGAAATTATCATTGAAATGTCACTTAGGGAAAACTTCAAGCTTTAATAACATCTTTCCCTGAAGTCATTTGTACTTACAGTGCTGTTGATTGATCTGGCAATGACAATCCTTATTGGAGAGATGTTTTATCTGCTTGGAAAATAAAAGCACACCTTTGACAGTGATGACTTAGACCAAATCTTGGCTCATTTACTTTGGTTAAATCACTTCTTTTAATCTTCATACATGATAAAAAAAATGGGTTTGATTGCGGTATACATTATATCAGAGATATTTGTAATGAAAAATGGATTTCTCAGTTGTGAAAATCTAAAACTGAGGTAAACTCATTTGTAAAATAACATTCCAGTAAACTGGAGACAACTTGTAGGAAACAGAATTCTCTGCTTAAATCAATTAACATTAATAGCATTTACCAAGATATGATCTCAAGGATATTCTACGATAATTTGATTAAGAACAGCACTACCCCTAAGGTACTAGAGTACTGGATCAGTGTCTTTCAGCATGATATAATTTGGAGTGATGTATTCAGATATTACAGAAAATGTACAAATAATTGTAAGCTGTTAGATTTTCAGTACAAATTTATTTACAGAGTAATTTATACAAACAAAGAACTATTGAGGATGAGTGAGTTTAGTTTTACGCTGCACTTGGCAATATTCCAGATACATGATACATGCATTTTAGTTACATTGATACATATATGGCATGTATTTTAGTTGTGGTCTGTAAATAGTACATGCTGATATTGATCGTATTTTAGTTCAGTGATCAACATTGACAATCCAGTGATCAATAGCTATTGATACATTTATTTTAGTTGCTATGAGTATGGATCTGTGGAATTGTTGCTACTGATACATGTATTTTAGTTGGACATGTATTGAGGATGAATCTAGTTGATACATGTATTTTAGTTATTGATACATGTATTTTAGTTGCTATTGATACATGATATTGATTTTAGTATTTTTGCTATTGATACATGTATTTTAGTTGCTATTGATACATGTATTTTAGTTGCTATTGATACATGTATTTTAGTTGCTATTGATACATGTATTTTAGTTGCTATTGATACATGTATTTTAGTTGCTATTGATACATGTATTTTAGTTGCTATTGATACATGTATTTTAGTTTGTTGATACATGTATTTTAGTTGCTATTGATACATTTATTTTAGTTGATATTGATACATGTATTTTAGTTGCTATTGATACATGTATTTTAGTTGCTATTGATACATGTATTTTAGTTGATATTGATACATGTATTTTAGTTGCTATTGATACATGTATTTTAGTTGCTATTGATACATGTATTTTTGTAAAACAAACTCAGAAGACATATCGCATGTATTTTGTTACTGTGATTTAGTTAAAAACTTTTGGCATAATGTAGAACAATTTCTAAATACCCACCTCCAGTGTAATGTCACATTTACAAAATTCATTATCATGTTTGGAGTGAACTCGAACAATAAAATACTAAATCGCAATTTACTACTAGCAAAAAGATTCATTTATGTTTCAATTATTAAACAACATGCACTTTCTTTTGAGGGACTTTTAAGTTATTAAAAGATGTATAAATGAAAAATATATAGTTTGGAAAAACAATAGCTTAGATCCCTTTATTAGTGGAAACATTTATCTACCTTATTATATGTACTGATGATTGAAGCGCTCTTCAAATATCAGTTGATATTTCCAGTCCCACTCACTACAATCACACTATTAATACCTTATTCCTTCATTCTTATTTACCCTCTACAGAAAATTTAACGATATTTTATGTATCTATATATCTGTTATAACCTCAATTTACAACTATTTTTTCATTCCCCAATGGTGTCATATATATTGTCTATTTATGTCATATGTAATTGATCTGAGAATTGAAATGGAATATACAAAAACAAAAAAAACAAAAAAAAACACACAACATTTTTCTGTGATTCAGTGTCTTACTGTGGTTGCCAGGCTGATATAACTCTTTTCCGCAACCTCTTTTTTCTACAAATTAAACTTTAATAAGAAATTTATTCATAAGGATTCAGTCCTTGGGCTGAGTGAACCTTTTGGGCTGACAATAGAATGTACTTAACTGTGCCATGTTTCTGTTCCTGTAGTCGCCAGGGTGATATTGCTCTATTTATAAATAAAACTTTCAAACAACTTTATTTATAAGGATTCAATCCTTGGGCAGAGTGAACATTTATGCTGTTTGTCTTACTGTGGTTGCCAGGGTGATATTGCTTTTTTCATAAATAAAACCTTAATACATGTACAAACTTTACTTCCAAGGGTTCAAACCTTAGGCAGAGTGATAATAGAATGTGTTGTGCTGTCCTGTGCTGTGCTTGTCTTACCCTGGTCTTCAGGGTGACATTGCTCTTGACCTTCTGATACATACATTCCAAATTGTTAAATGTTTAATAATGAGTGAGTGAGTGAGTGAGGTAAATTTAAAGTCACATCAGCAGTATTTCAGCCATATTGTGACAATATTTGACTATGAGTGACCAAGCTGCGATGGGTCATCTTAGAGCAAAATGTTCCTCTTAGAATAATTCTTATCCATGAAGAGGTTAGAATTGGTCTTCAGTAACCCAAGCTTGTCGTAAGAGTTGACAAATAGGATCGGGTGGTAAGACTCACTGACTTGGTTGACACGTCATCGTATCCCAATTGCGTAGATTGATGCTCATGCTGCTCATCACTGGATTGTCTGGTCTACATTCAAATTTTTGCAGACCGTTAAACAAAAACAACTAAATCACCTCAGAATTTAGAACTAATAAACAGGTGCCTTATGGTAAACCCAGTACAGACTACACCTTCTCTAAATATCACCAAGAAAATATGATAATCAAATGATATCATGCATGATAATTTACTTATTCATGAAAGTAGATCTACATGTTTCCTATAAACTATATCTAACACATATGTACTAGTAACAACAAATTTCAATAATAGTTTTCCACTTAACCTCTACAACATGTCCGAACTCATATGAAACAATATGGCATAGTCATGTTTTATCCATGTATATTCAATATAGCCATGCAGAGAAATGACGTGCCTTATTCCCACAAGGTGTATGTCCATCAATGAACACATGGAGGTATGGAGTATACATTCAATGTAGCCTTGAAGAAAAACAATGTGTCTCCTGATGTAATGGTTATGGCATTCCTGCATCAATGGACACATGGAGGTATGGAGAGCCAACAATGAATAGGGTTCTCTGTGCAGTTTGGAGTAAGAGGTAGCCTTGTCATTTCTGCTTCTTGGATTTTGAGTGGGTCTTTCTGTGGGCCCTCAGCTGATGAGGGAGCGTAAATCTCTCGTCACACAGTTCACAGGCATGTGCTTTCAGTCCTAGGTGGCTCTTCTCGTGATTGCTAAGTTGGTGTTTCAAACTAAACGTTTTCCCACAAAAAGTACACAAAAACTTCTTCTCCTCATGGGATTTCATGTGAGTATTCATGGCTTTTATTTTCACCATCTTCTGACATATTTTACATTCAGCACTGACTTTCCCAGCTTCCATATGAACGGCAGAATGAGTCTGCAATGAACCATTTGATTTAAATGTTTTGCCACAAACAGTACATAAATATGGTCTCTTATCTGAATGTACAGTGTCGACATGGAGGCGGAGAGACGAAGATTGTATAAATTGTGCATCACAAAGTTTACACTTGAATGGCTTTTCATCAATTCGGTAGTTCTCTCCCACGTGATATTTCATTGCATGTCTCACATCACTCCCTGCATATGGAAAGTAGTATCTATTGCAATCACTACATTTTATTTTCCGTTTTCTCTCATGTATAGATAACACATGACGTGTCAAATGATTGGACCTCTTAAATGTACTTGTACACAGCTTGCATTCATATGGCCTGTCTGTGGAGTGGGTCAAACCGTGCAACTGCCAACTCCTATGCAGAAAAAATTTCTGCCCACAAATTTGGCATTCATAGATATACATTCCTGTGTGTACATTCATATGTTCTTTCATTGCACATGGCGAACTGAACCTTTTCTCACATACTATACATTTGTGACGAAGTTCTCGTCTTCTCTTCAGTCTATTAGTAAGCACCCCAGTGTGTATGGACATATGATCCTTAAGGTAATAGTGGCATTTGAACTCTTTCAAACACACTATACATTTGTGACACTTGTGTTCCTTCTTTTGAGGACGATGTTTCTCCGCATCAAAATTACACAATGGTGCTGGTGAACATGCAGCACTGTCCGTGGTGGGGATGTGTGGAGCCTGCATCTCTGAGGATGTAAAGACTGTCATCTAGCGTTTGTCAGACCAGTGAGAAGATAACTATGTTCCATTGTAGATGCAATCATATCCTCAATCTAACATTTGTCCTCGATGTAAGTACATGATCCAGTGGTGGGGGTAGAGTTGGACATCATGGTTAGAGCAACCTTGGCATCTGTCAGCTACTGTGTGCTCTCTGAAACAGAATGTGGAACATCACACACTATGTAACAACAACACTCCTGGGGCAGATGTTGATAGTAATGAATAATGCTGTTATGTACGCACCATTTTCTTTTAAAGAATCATTTTGAACATTTCCTGTGACATCCGTTTCTTGTAAATGACATATTGTTTTCCAACATCACCAACAACTGTAGCCATGTCAAAGATAAGGGAATAATGTTTGACATAAAGGCCCACATGTTCCCTGATCAATTTACAATTCACTTCATCCTTCATGGCACCACTATTGAGTGTGTGATCTGTTGGAAAATGTTGTGAGTGAGAGAGAGAGGCGTGATGAGTGAACACTTTAACCACTAACCCACGCTCATTTGTCAAGGAGATTAACATGGTTAACATGATATGGTAACAGAGAAGTCTACCTATGGGATGTAGCAGCTGATAGAAAGACAGATGTTCTATATATGAATGATGAGGGTGATGATGATGACGAGGAGGAGGAGAAAAGAACCTTTATGTTGATAATAATTCTGGAACAATCTGGACAATGTAAGAATTTACGCAAACTAAGAAATACGGAAGTATTTCATGTGTACAGTGGTACAAAGATATATGCTTAAACAACATATGAACTATTTCACTGTGCTTTATTGTACTACAAAACCTGTAGCTATCAATCAGCAGGTAACCTTTCACTCATGTATCAAGATATATTAACTAGAATAGCTTTCTGACAAAAGATATCAAGCAGATCCAAACCCTTGCTAATATTGATAATGATAAACGGTGAGTATCGCATTCCAGACATCAGGGGACAAAACAAATGGGCTTCACATTGTTCTCGTGTGAGGAATCAAACCCAGGTCTTCAAATTCTTTAACCACTATTCTACCCCAACACCTCTCCGTAGGTGAGATATAAGCCAGATAATTAGTATGACAAAAACGTGTGACATGCAAACATGTGCACGCATTGACAGGGACAGAGATGCCCGAATTGAGAGACTATAGGTACACCTTGCAACTGGACGAAAAACTGTGATGCAGTTACTAGATGCAGTCAGACACTTAGTGAAATTACATTAATTGTTCTGTGACTGAATTATGTATCACTGCTGATGATGGTGTATGTGATTGACTTATGTGACTGATCATGGTGATGTTATTGGTATTTTAACTTGTTGAATATATGACCTTATTAAAGTAAATCATTCGTGCAAGAGTTTATTTCATTACTGGAAGTATAGCTGATTAGTGGAAGTGTCTATTTTTGTAAAGGTATAACAGCATTTACGTGATGTGCAGTCAACCCTAAATCTTTTTGATAAGGGTGTAGGCGAAATGAGGTGCAGGCGATACGAGGTGAGGCCTTGACCATGATTCCTGTTACGAACCGAGTCGAAGAAAAACTACAGAATCCAGTTCAGTTAGAGTTTTCCTACATTAATATCATATCTTAATATTATATCTAATATCAATTTAGAGCTTTTGTTTGTTACTCTTGTCAAAAGGTGTGGATAAAAACAGACTATTAAAACATGTTCACTAATTGACATTCAATGCTGTGTTTAGTTAAAGGAAATGTTGAGGCTCTGCATTGTATAAATTGATTTTGACTAACTTAAGGGTAAATGACCAGATGACCACCAACTGCAGGAAATGTTTTTTGGTAGTAAGTGAAGGCCAAGCAATCTCTTGTGACAACTGTGAAGGCTGGACACACACATATACAACATCAAGCAGACTAACTGGAGATGTAGTGTCCGCAACAAGAAGAACAGCTGTCCTGCTACTGTCACTCAGAAGGAAACAAGCTTCACACCCAGTGACAAGCCTCACAACCATACTGCTAACCCTGGCAATATGCCCGGAAGTAAACAAATCTCAGGCTACAGACACGCACCGAATAGTAGAGCGAGTCTCTGATTGGTGAAATTTCCCACCTCTTTTCACGTGTAACTATATTATCCAATCGGGGACTCGCGCTACTATTCGGTGCGCTTCTGTAGCCTGAGATTTGTATACTTCCGGGCATATGTCCTGACTTCGTTCGAGAATGGACGGCAAAATTATTGAAAGCTTTAAATGGGAATAAAATCACCAGGTTAGTGATACGCAAGGTCATTTACTGAGGTCAACTGAGTATAAATTGTGCAGTTTATTCAACTGTCAAAGCAATGGAAGCGTTTGTCAGACTGAAACCGAACCGAGCTGAGCCGGGCCGCCATTTTGTTTCGATTTATTGACACACCTTTCTTATATCTTATATATATCGGTCATACTTATAAATATATCAGAGTCGGGCGCCTATGGTTTTTGTATTGTCAACAAAGTGCCCGGCATCAGCCTCGATAAGCTGGGTACCGTCTCTCATTTCACAAGTTGACAATGCGCAAAGGTAGCCAGGAGCCAGCTTACCCTACTTAAATGCGATGACACGTAAAACGCATAGTGAGTTATATACGGAATATGATTCAGTATGTTTATCTTCGGAGAGAAACGTCACATGATTCTTTGAATGAATACCCCACATAAAAGTATGCTGTAGAAACTGGAAACATCATAAATGTTTGTTAGCCATTTTCCATTTGTGGAATATTTTAAGATGATAGAGTAGTATATAGAATAGCGATAGGAGATCACTTTTGACAAAAGCCTCTGTAAAGCTTTATTTCATAAATAAAGCTTTTATCAGGCCCTTATCTCTTCCGCTTGTGTATATACCACTTCTGAATCCCCAGCCAACTTTCTGGTCACTATGACTGCGAACCAACACTTTCCTCGGCTATGTATAACCTATATAATGTTGGCCTCGATGAAACAATTTAATGTGAATCTCCTATGATTTCTTTGGTTTTCGTGATGAAGGCTTGTGGGGCCTGTTGTACCCCCTGTTCTATATACTTTTTTTTCTCGTCTTCAGCTGATTGTGGTGCTTTTGCAAGACTTGGACCGGATCTCTCGTTTCATTTTGCGGTACTTGGTGAGTTCAGAGAGGACCAAACGAAACTCCTCCTCGGAGACTTTACTGTCAGTGAGTGCCGTGGAAATACGCTCACTTATCGTGTTCAGCTTTGCTTCGGCCAGATCCCTGATCTTGTCGTGTTTCAACGCTTTACGATGCAATCTGCAGGATGCAAACTTGAACACCAACCCCAACAACCCTGACACCCCAGCTGTTATTTCGATACCTAGCACTATGGGTGCGGCTACGATGGTGGTCAACAACCCGACACCTACTGCTCCTAACCCCATGCTGGTTGCCATAAGGGTGGTGTCAACCCCATCCACGAAGCTGAAAGCTCTATGGTATTTCTTGTATAATGACGCCCGCATATCGCGGTCTTGTTCTAGCTGGTGCTTTATGTCACATAACTGTTTCAGACGGAATCCGTCCATTGTTCACGACTTTGGTTAGGTAGTGGTCTTTGTTTTCTGTGAACACGTAGGGGGAGCCGAGCGTGATGTTGAGAAACCAGTCGGTTCGAGATTGTACCAACCCCCATTTGTCGTCGTCGGTTAAAACGAGGCTGTACTGCTTGTTTCGAGCAACGACCGTGGCCTCGACATCGTCGAGGTCGAACATTTTGCCACCGGCAGGGACTTCAACGTTTGTAAATGTTACTTTTCAGTTGCAAGGCGTACAGTTTACCGTCGATTCCTGGTTCGACAAATCCACGAGTGTCCCCGAGGTCGGAGATCGCTAGGTTGGAACATTTTCTCAATCGCGTTCCTGGACCGTGGGCGGTAGTCATTATCGTATGTGCAGCGTTATGCTGAGGTACCCTATATCAATAGGATGGGTTTTTATATCTAAAATACATATTTTTAATTCCGAGATGGTACCTTGTGTTAATTTCTTGTACTGCGATGAAGAAAACGATTCGGTTCTGCCGTTGTTGTACTTTTCCGTTTTCACCGGTACGGCTCTCAGCAGCATAGAAGGGCATTCACCTTGGATGTTGTCCGTCGTGCTGAGCTGATAGAGATGAATGCACAGTTCGCGGTATGGAACTAGGTCGGGTAATCCCATGCCTGTGACGGTGTTTGTCGGGGGTATTTCGCTCGACGGCAACCCGAGTGTTCTCGCCAACAGCCAGCTGAGTCTCAAGACGTTTCTTCCGTTGTTAGTTAACACGACCGTGCCGTTTGAGTCGTTAATTCTGAGTTCGACTCCCATGGGTTCGAAGACTTCATCGCTGAGCGAGCATACACCGTAGTAGCCGTCCATTATTTGGTTATGTTTGTCATTGACGAACAGCCTGTTGTTGCTACTGTTGATGTTAGTCCATCGCGGTAGGTAGGTGATATCGCAGAGTGCGACTTCGAGTTGACCTGACGTGTTATCGATCGTATGCATCAGTTGAACGGACTCACCGCTCGATATTCCTGGAAGTGTTACGTACATATTAAAGTATATATACCCATTATATAATTATTTTAAAATGGACAAACTGGGAGTGTTTTATCCTAAAATGGATATAGATTTCACGAACATGAAGACCGTGGTCGATGCGGATGGTTTACATTTCAGAGCACAGTTTATTGATGTGTTTAAAATTACAGGGTTTCGGTGACGAATGTGAAAACGTTGCACGCTTGGTTTAACAACCCGATGCAGTTCTGGCAGAATCAAATCAATTTTGCCGTGTGGTGCGCTACAACGGGTGCGGCTTGACGTTGAGCAACACTTGGCGTGGCCTGCTGGGTCAGTCTGTGTTTATGTTTCACGCGCGTACTATCAGATCAGACGTATCCTCAAAGAAATCAGAGCCTCGCTTCCACAGGACAAAGCATGGGATGCAGTGAACAATCCAGTACAACCGACGGGCATACAAACAAATTTGCAACGAATTCAAACTAGATCCAAAGACGGATTGGCAGTTTGGGTATTCCTATTGTTCACAACATGCCCCTCGTAGAAGCCAGCAAGAAGTTGAAAGAATGGGTTGGTAAAACGTATGCGAATGCTTACGTCATGAGTGGAGAGATGACTCATGGCTTTTTACGACAGCAAGGATTACGGCGTTTGGATGTTTGAGCAGGGACCTGCTGACGATTGGAAAATGTTCATGCTGGACACGTCGAAAGGGTTTACTCGTGCCGGTGTAATACGCTTGAACGATTCGATTCGAACGTACATGCGGTCCGTGCTCGGCACTCAGGCGCAAACGCGTTCCAGCATTGTGGGTAAAGCGACTGCTTGCGATGCGCAGAAACAGTTCGTGTCCAATGTTGAGGATGCTATTAATGCTCCATTTGATCTACCGAGTGCCATCCAGCGCTATAAAAACGTGTTGAAATACGCCCGGTCGAAAGTTGACTACGTGTTCCGGTGTGGGATTGTAAATGGCTCCAAGCGACATGCAACTGAGAATCCATAAAGTGGTGGGCTACAACAACGAAATCCTCAAACCACCGGTCAAAAGTTGGGTATCAACCCGGGTAACAACGTCTTAACCATCACTCCTGCGATGACCGGTGAAACTGGCATAGTGGCATCATCCCCGAAACCTAGGGGGGTTCGACCACAACCACCACAGCCCCTTTCACCACGCGAGGTGGTTGAAAATAAAGAACACCTCGATAGTAAAACAGCGCTAGTGGTCTAGTGTGGTGTGTGTGTGTGTGTGTGCGCGTGCGCGCGCGTGTGTGTGTCGCGTGTGTGGACTGTGCCTCATTTGGTTTAAAATTCCTTAGCCGCGACGTACACCAGACCTGCCACTGCGACGATGGCTGCCCACAGGTTTTGCCCAAGCCATGTGACAGTTTTAGCCAGCGTACTCAGTAGCCACGAGACGATGCTACCCAGGATTCCCCGAAGCGCTTTGGCGGCTTTACCTGCAAGTTTAGCCACGGCTTCGATGAGTTTTTTTACCCAGTCTCTGACATCGCCGCCACATGGTGGTGGTGTTGGTAAGCCACTGCCACCCGTCAGCGATACGACCAGAGTCAATATGATGAAGCCCAATGCCGTAAGAACGCTGGCGATGGTGATCCCTTGCTCTCGGAACAAACTTCGGATTCTGTCGGCCAGCGTGGTGTCTTCGTTCAGGACTCGATCGATGGTTTCCCGCACGCGGCTGATCTGGGATCGAAGCTGTTCTCGATTCGAGGAAGCGGATTCCAATCGGGTCCATCTCTCGTCTTGCAAGTCGCGCAATCGTTTTTCGATGATGGTTTTCAGAGACTCGTCGTCTTGGACCTGCCTGAGTTTTATTTTCTTGGGAGTGATGTGCTCGTCGATTTCGTTAAGTTTCCCCATGTTGTTCACAATCGCAGCGTGCCCTTGTTATCGATAACAAACTTGGAATAGTCTCGGTATGGCGGCTCGATGCAATATTTATCGCGTTTTAAACCATCGTAATAATCGTTAATCGGTGATGGTTTGTTTGACGAGTTCGTTGCTCAAGGCGTTGCTGGTAAACAAAGTGTCTTCATCGTAATCCCCCTCATCGAGCGCACCAGCACCCAAATCATCCATCGGAATTTCATCCATTATATTAATTATATTAAACTTTTATACTTATGTATATAACAATGTCACAGTATGGAAGAAAGTTAAATCCTTTCCGAAGATTAAGAGAGCCTCTAGGCACCAAAGCCATGCGTCAGTCGGTGACTTTCACCAATAATCCGAGCAAGATAGATCAAAACCAAACGCTGTTGGTTCGATTCCCGAACCTTGGTGAGAATGACTTTATCGTTCCCGGCACAGTTCGACTGGCGTTTAACATCGTGTTGACTTCCGACAACGACAAACGCAAACTCATGCGGAACGTGGGTCGTACCATCATCAAGAAGACCACCATCAAAATCAGCGGCAACGAGGTGTTGAGCATCGACGATAGCGACGTGTTTTTCCGTTACATGGATCTGTGGAAAAGC